CTTATGTGGTTTCATGGAGTTTTGGCCAACACAGGAATTTGGGTTATAGAACATCATTTCTTTATATTTATTTTTTTTTTCTCTTCCACTGTTTTCTGGGGAAGAAAGAGGGGGAGTGTGAATAGGGCGGCAGGCAGGGTCGGATCTATTTGACTATATGGGAGCATTTATGGGATGACCACTTAAGCAAACAGAGCTTGTCACAAACTATAGAACGATGGCACTGCGGTGTCACACTTGAAGTAATTCAAACCAAAAAAAAATATAATGGAAAAAAAAAAATATTGATCTACTATGCACCTTAATCTGTCATTCCCTTTCTTTTGTCTTACATTTTGGTCCAAGCTTCTTAAGACGCCTCAAATAGGCATGTTCGATTACAATATCATATCATTTTCCCATTTAGCTTGGGGGCCCGTTGCTATTCTTGACACTTGGTCTACATGCAGCGCGCGCAGGCGTAGGGCTTACATCTTCGATGCAGCAGCCTCGACTAGCCCAGCGTCTCTGGGCGCTGAATATGGGGCCTTTCTTGTTCACGACAGGCCGGCTACATCAAACCGTCGAGACTTGGGGACAAGCTAGACCTGTTGAATGCGAATCCGTCCGCGAATCCTTTGCGAATTCTACCCAATTCGCCCTGGACACGTCATGGGCGGTAGCAGCAGCACCCCTCAGAAAGGGACGCCTCATCAAAGGGGACCTGTCAGCGAGATTTGGGTGAAAAAGCCAAGCCCCCCCAGCCACACGTGCGTTCGTCAAGCTTATTTGTCTACTGTATAATAGCCCAGTGATATTTGGTCTTGGGCGATCGTATAGCTGCTAGTCGTGGTAGGGATTGACGGGGGGTTGTTTTGGAAACACGCAACTCTGGCGGGGACCAAAATGGGCATTGGTACCGCGTGCGTGCATTAGGCTGGGGATAATGCCTACTTCAGGTTGCCCTGAATGGATCATTTGTTCAATTTCTTGATTTGATTTGATCTGATTTGATTTTTTGCAAATGACCTTGTGCTTGTTAATACAGATTTCGCTCTAGAATCTCTTCTGCGTCCCAGCGCGCAGCGTATCAACATCCACTTCCGGGCAATGGTATCGGAGTTTGCCAACAAACGCAGCATGGTTTGTCATCCACTATTCACGGATTGCCGAGATGCCAAAAGAGAGAGAGAGAGACACACAAAAAGGGCAGGGAATTTGATTTACACATTCCCTCTATGGTAATATCCACACCCCTCTCCTCTTTCCTCCTCGCTCATCTCATCTGGCGCCCTGTTTCCCCGCCACCGCTATGTATATACTTAGGTGTGCATTTTCTTCGTTTGTCGCTTGTATCGACATCGGCACACGCCCTGGGAGCCCGGCACATGGGAAGATGAGGCACACTTTTTTGGTAAAATTACGTGTAAGAGAGAAACAGCAGACGATGGAGCCTGTGTAAGGTAGTGAGTAGTAGTGCTATGGAGTTTGTCCTCTTTTTTTTTTCTTCTATGCCCTTCGGTTTGACATGCCTAACACCTATTATCCCCGTTCATTATACCCAGACTAGAGTCCGGAGGTATCCACGGAGCCACGATGTGACCCATCGGAGATAAAAAAGAAAATTACCAGAAAAAAAATATATATATTCAAGAAAAACACTAGCTAGACGACAAGGAAAAGAACCAATGGAAGACGAGATGGAAAATAAGGGCACAGACAAGAGATCAGAAAAACTGGCCCCCGGTTTGTCAAAAGTTTCCGCCGCTGACAAAACATCGCGGAGTAAGGTAATAATATTGCAAGTTCCAAGGTCGGAAATATTTATCAGCAACAAGTAACAGTAGGTAGTACTAATAGATCCATCACTAGCAGCAGTAGCAACAGCTTTTTTTTTTTTTTTTTTTTTTTTTTTCCAGCGGGGTCTGTGATTTTCAGCAGTTAACAGTACAAGGCATCGGCGACTAAATGGCCGCTTGAGCTGGTACCTTTTACTTCGGCAGTTCTTGCGAGCCTTTCATCGAAACAGGCAATTGCTAGATGCAGGATGATGAGAGATGCCCCCAGGCAAAATCTTGCCTGGCTCGGCACTTCTACATACTTCCACTGAGTCACCGGGCGACGGCGATTTTGCGGCGACTACTATTGCTAAGGAACTGGATGCTAGTTTGTACCTATGGACATTCTTTGAGCAGTACAGGTCAAAGAGGAATCACCATGTCAAACGCAAGAAATTAGCTTAAAAATCAAGCATGGTGATCCGCGTGGATACGTGTATGACCAATTGGCCGGGTTACTCATGTAAAATGCACGCCAGCATGCAAGTTCAGGTGCAAATATCCGACCTGTCGTTCTGCAGTCTCAAGACCCCCGCAAGCCCGCAATATTAAATCTAGCTGCGGTCTTTTGCGCACGAAACAGGCCATATGTACAAGTCCACGGACTTGACGATTTGTTAGAGACAAAATAATTATCGGGACAGAAAAAAAAACATGCAACGGAGTCAAGAGATCCCCGGCGATCATATGTCCGCAACTAATGGGCTTAGAAGCGGGAAGTTTTCCGTGGACTTTTCTCTACTCCCCCCACCCCTTTCCCCTGCGTTTATGATTATTGCTGCAGCTGCTACTATTAATCTCCAATATAGTAGTGTCTATTTGTGCGTATATAGCATGATATTTGCATGCACAAGACCAAGAGAATTGTATACAAAGCGGCAACGTATCATATCGGGCCCCCCTTTATAATCCGGCACGTCCTCAACTCCGACCGAGGTCCAATCACCAAATCGAGACAAGAAGCGACCACACACGTGCACTGCGACTTTTTGACAGCAAGCATCCGTCATGTATACATGTCTCTACCACTTGGATTGCATGTATATCGCTGTAGATTTGTTCTGTTCTGCAGCCAGTCGGGGTTGGGCTTTCTTGAGCTACTGCCCAAAGCGGCAACAGGCAGTCCGGCCGTCAGGTTTCCGGGCCCGGACCTTCGCAAGACTCCGAACGCCGCCGGGTCAGGCAAGAAACGGGGCCTGGACCTCACTCTTTTTTTTTTCGAATGGCTTTCTAAAAAGGGGTGTGTGCGAAGTGATCTTGTACCAGTAGTGGGCTTGCTTTTGCGAGGGGGCTGTATATACTTTCTGGGGTGTGCACGTTTTTGAAAGGTAAGTTTCTGTACATGTAAGTACTGAGCTGAAATATGTTAAATGCGTATTACAAGAACTGCTGTGCTAGTATGTAGTAATGGATATTAGAGCAGCTTTTTACAAAAGAATTAAAAATCTCATTCCTTCGCTTGCCTGGTGGGTAGAAGATGTAGCGATTATACTCGATACAGAAAGCTTGTGAAAAAGACGGCAACCCATAAAGGCACACACCCATAGCAACTACGGGCAGACCAGTAAAATACAAAATTCGATAAAATAAGTTTGCGATTTAACCCACTTTAGGCCCCGCGAGTGGGTAGCCGGGCTTGCTCTAACTAATAAAGCCCGCTGGTACCTCCGTTCCTCGCGGCCGAATAAGACAGCGCTGCCCACTCTTTGTGGCTTGCGCAAGATACGATTCCTTGGGAATGGAGGGGTCCAGTTCAGGGCTGTAGTGCACGATAGCCTATTCCTCCTCAGCGTGTAATACACGTAAAGGGCTTGTTCTGTCTTGTCTCTTCTAATCATGGCCATGTATACGGAGTACACACAGACCCAGCTCCATGGATCAGGATCGTGATTGGGATCAGGGAGCCACGAAAGCCCGCGCGGAGGACGGCGTGCTCCCGCCGACGCCTTGCGTTTCCCCTCCACCATCGGCCAGCTATTCGTTCCCGATTCCATGTCTATCAGGGTGTTTGTTCAGCTGCCTCCCATGATTCGTTTTGTCATCTTTTTAAATCAAACAAGAGTGCGTCTGTGCGTGTCTCCGTCTTGGCCATGGATCCCCCCTTGCAAATAGGAGTATAAAATAGAATAAAAAAAAAAGAAAATATTTGGTAGCTTAATACTTTGTGTTTATTCAGCGGACTTTGCCCGCTAGCTCGGCGTGTTGCAACATACCGTCTCTTTGTATGTAGTAGGCATCCTTGATTCTATGCGGAGTATGGACGGAGTACAGCACAGCATCCCTTTCGCTGCACATCTAAGCCAGACAGAAACACAGGCATTGCATGGAGTCATATGCATGTGCCCAGCTCACACCATCATGATACAGCGACATATACCTAGCATCCCAAAAGCCTGCTACATGCTCTCCCACTCAATCGCCGTACATTGGCCATTGGCGCGCGCTGGCTTAATACGCTCTCAGCCCATGAGCCACTGTTTTGTCAGCCCTGCCCGCGGCTTAACAAATCAAATATCCAAATATGCACTTAGTTAAAAAGCCTTGACAGTGCCTGTTCGGATAGATCCCTTTCTCATTGGTTAGGGAGGTGCCAGCTACCTAGTTACTATGGGTATGGTGAGTACGTGTGTTAGTCGAGCAAACGAGAACGAGCTAACAATACTCCGAGAACCCTGAAAAATTCAACGCTGCTGCTGACTAGAAACAGCCCAGCATTGGCGACTTGGCATGTCGCTCTCGTACTTTGTCATGGGTTGCAAATCAAACTGCAAATAAACGGCGGCTCGTGTGTCACCCAGTGCGCGTCCCTTCATCGCCGTTTCAAGTAAACTCATTCAATGTGGCGTCTCCAGTCGGCGTCCTCTTCCACTCGTCGCGATTGAATGACAAGCTTCAAAGCTTACCGGACGGGACCCCTGCTTTTCAGCCATGGTTGGCACGTGGATACGCCCTTTGACTCAGCGGAGTTTAGAGAAGCTTGGGAACGCAGTGCTAACTCCGACAACACCACGAAGCCATGTGCTCTGTCCGGCTTTGGGCATTTGGCAGCGAAGGATTAGGTAGGTTGTGTTAAATGACTGTTTAGACCCCAGAATGGCACGAAATGCCCAGAGACAGAGGCCTGACTTGCGCAGTAGCTGCCTGATTAAAGCGCTTTCTGCTGGCATCACGATCCCTATCAGCACAGCACCCTGCTCGCAGTAAGACACCATACATGGCATGTACTTGCAGCAGCATGTGGATACGCGTATCACCAAGCGGAATTGATGTCGTGAGCGCCCGTGACAGATACCAATCAAAACGTGGGGAGCGGGTCAATGGCCGATGATGCATGTCCAGTAATCTGCTCTCATATACGGCATATACGACGAGCAGCTCGCATCTACCTAGCAGAAACTCTCTTTGCTTTTTGTGCAAATGCCGCCTTCGCTTATTTTGCAAATTGCAATCAAAACAACACAAATTTGATAACAGGAGCAACAATAACAAATCCAAAAGTCAAAATGACTAACCACCAGGGGCTGTACAAGAGTCTCTCCGCGCTGACATAGAAGAGGCTTGAGCTTTAGCTCTTACACGCCCCCTCCTTCGCATCGTCTAGCTCGCCAGCAAAATGTTTTTTAACATTTATAATTTATAATTTAGCATTTTCCACGGCAGCAACCAGCCGGCCGGGCACAAATCTAAAACATCGGTGGCGTCTTACCAAAGAGCAAGAGGCGACAGCAAAAAAAAACACAATATTGAAATAAAAAAACCGGCCTTTGCCAGGTGCGGCAGTTGTGAAAAAAAGTTTCCCTTCCTAGCTTCATCTTGGCAATGAAATCTGCTTGGCTGCTTCGTTTTCTACTGTGCATATTTCTTCTCAAGAGCTCCAAGGAAGCTCTAAACCTTAGAGCACTTTCTTTATCTGGATCAGGATTCAAGATTGGCGGAATGGCGCGCGATGCCTGCCGTGATAGGTTGACATCGGAATCCTTTTGCCGAGTTCTGCAGCTCTTCTGAACAGCTGTGCTGCGCAAGAACGTGGCTTTCCGACGGACGAAACAATCCTTCGCTTGAATCCGTCGGAGCTCAATGTTTCTTCCTTCGATGCAGTGAACTTCCTTCTGCCTCATCCTTACTGGCCTGTTCGCATAGATGCCCTTCCTCATTTTCTTTTGTACGTGCTACGGGCCATCTTACCCCTCTTACAAGCCCTCCCTCCTGCATTGATTTGCTAGCACTGAATCTTCATGACTACAGTAAACTGAGGCTGTTGTGACAACTTACTGATCTGGCGGTGTCGAGAGCTGTTTCCTTGTTCAGCCTTGCCAGCGATTGTTTAGATGAAGTATTTCGGCTAACGATGGTAGGTGCATAGAGTTAAGAGTTTATTCCGAATGGCTTGAGGGTGTGGGGGGAGAAAATGCCGATGCCGAGAGCTCGTTACTAGGCTTAAAACGTGATCAAAGAACCAAGTGCCGTGTGAATGGTCTTTGTTTCGTTATAAATGGTTAGATCTGTGTAGCTACAGACTTAGGTCGTGCTTTGGGCCCTTGGTGACTGTGTGAACTTGCTGCATATGGCGAGGTCATGTTTTGACTGATGTTTACCTAGCACAGATGCATTGGTTATTTATCATCATCCTTGATGACTGATGAACTAACTATTTAAACGTACATAGTCTCAGAGCGTATTTGAGCTGACATTTTCCGTCAAACGGGTTCTAAAAACATGATGATGTCGTCTAGTTATACTAATATGTGAGATCGCCGAGGAGCGTGATCATCCTCCATAACCATCTTGCTGCAAACAGCCATGATTGCCACAAGATCTTCACCTGTCAAAGAAAAAAAATAGTCCAGAAGGGTCCAAAGTACTAAACTACTAAACAAGCTCTCACACGATCTTGACCTTTTGACATGCAGACCTGCTCCTCCAACCTACACATGAGTCAGGAAGAGCGGGCTGAAGATCATCCAGAGGATGTGCTCGTCCAGCACTAACCAAACCTTGATAAAAATCCCAGATTAAATACATCTCCTCTCGTTGCTTTTCGCCCAATCACCGCAAAGTCTTTCGGGGAAAATCTCCATTCCACCCACCTCCAATCAGCTGGCGGTGGCTTAAGCCTCACACAGCTTTACTCAGCGCCAACAAGTTGAAAAGAGCAATGACGAGCATTCGAGCTTGCAAGATAGCTCTAAAACAAGTTGAAAGCTCCTCCCCACCCTCGCTCAGCCCTATTATGCCCCATCCTTACACCCTTTTCTTTTCCGAATCCTTCACTCGGGTAGTTTGAAGTTTGTGCCCGGTAACTTGGGTCTACGATACCGCTAGATAGAAACTCGTTTGCCATTGCCATTTGCTTGTTTAAATCACTGCTAGATTCAAGTTTATTTTAATTCAATTTTTATTTTATTCATTTTAACTAGTAGTTTGATCTTTTTTTTTTTTTCTTCTTTTATCTCCGTTAGACTCACACCCCTTCCTTCGAATCGATTTACCCCCCCTCTCCTCTTTCTCAAACACCCAAGCACCTTCTCGAACTTCACTATTGGCTCTCTCACAACAAAGGCGTCTTATCGACTTTAGTCGGGGCGTCAAAGAACCTTTCGGGGGGCTTTCTTTCTTTTAATGAAGAACTTGTTCGCCCTGACATCACAATTTCTTGGGTCAGGGGCTAACACCATTCCTCTGGGATATTGATGTTTGCTGGTCGGCGATCTCCGATGACGAGCTTAAACGAGGTACAACGCCAAATACCGGTATTAGAGTTATGCTGACAGGAAAATACTTTCATATTCATGTAATCCGTCCCGTCTACAAAGTAAGCATATAACCAAGAGTCCATATTTCGTGCCGCATAACCGGTCGATCTCGGACGACAGCCATGACACGCAAATCGAGGGGTCCTCCTCCCCCTCTCCCAAGCAATTTCCATCTAAAGGCCGATTAGTTCCCATCTTAAAAAAAAAAAAAAAAAAAAAAGCCCGGTCCTTTTCGTACGAGTGCAAAACGTGCTTCTCGAGAGGCACGTGTGCCAAACTCGACGCCAGCTCGCTCTGATTGCTGGAGGCGACCCAAAGGCGGCTTCGTCTAACGGCCCAGCCGCACCACCAAAGGGGGCGATTTCGATCCTCGATTGGCCTCTCGTTGGCGAGGCTGGGCGCTATTAGGAATCAGACTTTGCGGGGTAGGCCGATAACCAAAAGGTCGGGACAAGCCTCCTTTTCAGCTGGGCTGGCTTTCCCCTCCTCTCCTTTTTTTTTTTCTGCGGCTTTCTATAGCGTTTGCTTAGGCAGCTTCCTTTGCCAAGTATGGGCTGAGAAGAACGTTTGCCTAGGGGGGAGAATGACGGCATGTTGTTACTGCGTTTAGGTTTGCTAAGCGTGTATAGCATGTGTGTGAATAGTTTCGCAGGATGAAGCTGAAATTGGGCAAAAGGGGGCTATGCCAATCGTTGCTAGGACACGAGTCAGTTCATAGTGCAGTGTAAAAGAACATAATTTATGCATAGAATGATGGAATGGCTATCAGTTCGTTTTAGAAAGAGTCAACTGTACGTAAAGGGTTCAGAGAAGGTCAAAAACGAGAGAGAAAGGGGGAACTATGCAGTGTGACTATGAGGGCTTGTGATGTTGGACAATTAGCCGTAGTGAAGTATTATTTGGTTATGAAGGCCATTAAAATAATAAACTACAGTCATTGTATCCATTCGATATAACTATGCATTAGATTTCTCTTCAGCCAGCATCATCAATGCTAGACTGATGGCATCTTTTTGACCTTCTGGACAAAGTTACGAGTACTTCAAGGGAATTCTCTTGGCGAAATAGTCCTACAAGGTACATTCTTCTAAGGATATACCGAACAATATCTAATTTTTTTTTTCTGCTCGACTTTCTAGTTTAGTAGATTATGCAGAATCGTGTGCATATCTATTATAACATTGTAAAATTTCTCAATAAATGTACCCATTTATCGAATATGAAATCAGAGTGCGAACCATTTGCAGGATATTTTGATCAAAATAGCTGAATAGGATAACCATTACTCGCAAAACACATAAAGAGAATGATCACTTGTTCCTAGTTCATTTGAAACTATACCGCTGCTTTCCACGCAGCATCAAAAGCAAAGCACTAACTCGCTTCAATAGTTCATCACTGCCGTCCGTATCGGTTTCTGTAAGATTACCAATTATTTTCATACTGACATCCAAAGGTACCAACAGATGCCATTTGGGAAGCTTCAACCATGATAAAAATAGTTCATGGTCTACTTTCACGCTATAAATAGGATATCCCCTGAAACCCTTTGTCACAAGGTCTTGGTAAGTTTTGCTGACTGTGGTTTGGCGACATGTGTTTTCAGAGACTTTTAGCGTTCTTCATTCATTCACACAATTGTCTTTATCTGAATGCCTGTTTCAATACATCATGGACTCATATTTCAGCTTTGGCGCGTTGAATGTGGAGGATATACCCGCAACACTCGGTCTCAACGGATGCTATCTCGCTGCTTGGTTAGATATTTATTGCTCATATAGATGATTGAAGATGTTAGTCGCTGGGTTCTTAGCTTATGATGATTGAAGAGTGAAATCGGAAAACCAAGAATACATCTCTTGTTCCAAAAGTCGACAATGACTCTGGAACAAGGGCACAGACTAGCTGAAACTAAAGCGGAAATCAATGCTTCATTAACCTGACCTGGCTAATGTAATGTATTAGAGTCTTGTTTCTAAATTCAAGCTCTTCTTGTGGTATATACAGAAAATGTTTCTCAAATCACATTCCATTCAAGGTCCTCAAAAAGCCCATCCAACGCCTCCTTAACCCAAGCATTGCAGTGTCTGAGCATCCCCGTAAACGCCAAATAAACCCGTTTAACCTCTATAAATCATACTCGTATAATTCCATTAACCCATGCCCCTTTGTATCATGGCTTAATGTCAAGGACTTGCTTCAACATGCTCTCGCTCGCTCGCCACCACCGAGCCCTCTGCTCAAGATCATCCGCAACTCCGCCAAGAGCGGCCTCTTTTCTTCTCTGAGCCTCACGCGCAGCCGTAGTGCTATTCTGCCGCTTTACCTCCAACGGCTGTAACTCAGTCTGCAGTCTCTCTACTTCTTTTCTCTTCCTGGGGACCTTGGATTGCAGCGCCTCAAGCTCGCGCGCAAGCTCCTGCTGCTCTGCTTTCCGCTTCGAAACAAAGCTCAGTGTCTTTGCAAGAGGCAGCTGGAGTTTCGGGTCCGCATCCGACGCCTCATTCTGATCCTTGAGCTCTCTGATGCGATTCTCCAGCTCGACGGTCTTGGCAGGCAGCTCTTCCAACCGCACAGTCTCCAGCTGAATCTTTTCGTATCTCTTGCTTAGGTCTCGCCCTCTGGCTTCCAAATCGGAAACCATGTCTGCCACTTCCAGCTTGAGATTCTTGAGCTGCGCCTTAGCCTCTGCATTTTCTCGCTCAAGATCCAGGTTCTCCTGAAGCGTTACGATGAGTGGCGGGTCGCCTACGATTGCGCGGATAAACTTCTCCTTGGTCACTTGCTCGACATAGGAAAATCGTAGTTTAGAAAAGAGCTCTTTGTAATGAATGAGATCTGCATCCAGGCTGGTTGGAGAAGGGCCGTCAATGGACGTGTTGGACGCGTCGGAGATGCGCTGGCGGGCATCGTTTGGCGTAGAATTTGAGATTGGCTCGCTCAGTTTGATGATGGAAAGCTCATTTTTCTCCTGAAGACGGCGCAAGGTCTCGAGCACCTTTTCTGGTGTTTTCGCGCTCATCTTGTGGTAATCGGAAACGATGTCACAGCGCAATTTGATACAACGAGCGTCTTTCTCTCTCTTCTGAGGACCAGTATCGCCAACCTGTGAAGGAGAGTCGATGCAGCGTGTTGACATGGAACCCGATGCAGTTTAGCGTGGCACTGCATGAGGTTTGCATGCATCACTTATCTTATCAGCAGGGATCTCATGCGCTGAGTCATCTTGGCGAACTCGACTGCTAGACCCTGTTTCTTCAACACCCCGGATTTGCTTGCTACGTAATTGACATAAACTACAACCAGTCTTGTGCTTTATTATCCGCACTATTCTGCTCTTCCCATGCCCAACGACGAGCTTCTCACCGACGAATATGTCGCCGACCTTTTGGCCAAAGAGGCCAGCGATTGCTCGCTAAAATACTCAGCAATGGGTATGGAAGCTTTCAACACGAAAAATAAGTAATGGAGTCCGCTGCTCTGCGTATGGAGGATTGTTCTGACGGAGTTGAAGGCCGTCCAACGCGCTGAAGCCGAATACGAGATTTTTGAGAAACATCATCAATGAAACGGATTCACACAACAAAGCGCTGCTGGCTAAGGAAGCGGCCGAATCAAGAGCGAGGCTTAAGGATCTGGAGCACGCCGAAGAAGTCAAACGACTAAAGACAGATCCAACACCCAGGGATATACGAAAACGGCAGCTTGGAAACATTCAATCCATCCTAGGCGGATCAAGGCACAAACGCGGCGACGATACGAAGTCAGCTGCTAGCGAAGAAAGATCTAAAAATAGGAGTGATGGCAATCGCCATTCGCATCGGTCGTCGCGTCGAGAAAGAGATGCAAGCCCTGATCGTCGTAAATCGAAGAAGGACTATGGCCGACTATCAAGAAGCCCCCAGGACGACGAGCGAAGGACGCACCACGAAGATAAGCCACGGAGCTCCCGAAGAAGGCACCGTGATCACTCTCCAGAGCACAAACGTCGACATTCTCGCGATCGCGGAAGAGATCGATCCAAGTCGCCTCGCCGCCGGCGTCATTCTCGATCACCTCGAACGAAGAGAAGTAAACATCGGAGCCGTTCTCCTTTAGCTGCTGAAAAGCAGTCTTTGAGAGATGCCCGTAACAGACATGATGATGACGAGTCAGATCCCTTGGAAGAATTTATCGGACCTGCTCCGCCTCCCAGATACCGTGGACGGGGAACCGTTGGAGGAGCTTCTGGCCTGGATCGGCGGTTCTCTGATTCATACGATCCGAGTACAGACATATTGCCAGATGATGAGGAGGCCAACCTTGATGATGCCGTGGAAGCGTTTAGGGATCGCCAGAAACTGCGACTGATCCAAGCAGAGCGGGCGAGAGCAGCCGGGATCGCGGAGCACCAGATTCAGAAGATGAACAATAGCCAGCGAGAAAAAACGGAGGAAGACGTGGTATGGTCCAAGGCCGGCGAAAAGAGGGAATGGGATCGCGGGAAAGGGGAGAAGGGCGTAGATGACGAGGACGATATTACCATGCGCGGCATCCTATCAGAGGAGTTTTAAGATATTTAAGGAGGCGTATCAAGATTAGTATTAAGATGGGCACATTAGCATATAGGCCTAATAGCTGGCTGGTTTGAGCTGATGATGTTTAGAGGCGCTGGATTGGGATTTCTCTTAGCCTATTGCTTGGAGAACTTTTGAGCCCATCGATGAGTTATGAGTTATGAAGCAGTAAAAGATGCTATTTTTAAATTTCTTCTTTACGAGCAATTAAACATGTACGTGGAGATAATATCATCACTCGCGTAAACACATACTGTAGATGTGCAAAAGCATAGACCACGAAAAGTGGGAAGCACATGCAAATCATGTGCATCCTATGCAAAAGGCTGCCCCTGGCTACACGATGCGACATGAAGATGCGCTGGGATTGGCGGCGCAGCATCGAGCCCCTTCGTATTCGTTTGTGATCCAGGAGAGCACGTGCGCACTCCAAGAACTAATTGCTCCCGTTATCATCCTTATCACAAAATATACAAGGAAATGCACCAAAGACGCATTTGCTCATCTCCCGTCTCACTCGCGAAATCTGGATTTCAAATGCCCTCCGGACGATGCACTCACAAGTGCCGGGAATGGAAATGCTGCACTGCACGCAAGTCATGCCATCTCCACCTGATGTCGTCACGCGCAGTTGCGTCATGCAGCTTCTCAGTGCCCAAAGGCCAGTGGGTTTCCGAGTGGGTTAGTGGATACAGTGGCCCCCAGCTCTGGCGGCCATCAGAACCTAATTCTGGCTTTCAACGGCTCCCCTTGTGCTAGACGCCGAGCTACGTTTGGATAGTTTGAGCGGGATGCAGGAGATCCATGGCATGTTGATGTGACGCTGCGAACGCGGCAGATGCGATGACGAAGAGAGACAGAGATCATGAACTACTAAGGCATGAATGATGCTACGGATAAGGTACCTAGCCTAGGTATTCATGCCTTCTCCAGACACATGCAGCAGTCCCGCTTATCTTGTTGTCCACCCAAGCATGTATGTAGCTCTGACAGGTATTCTGCTGCTGTCGGCTGATTCAGGGAGGCAGGTATTAAGGCAGTGTGCACTTCAGGCTCTATGCATAGGTAGTTACTTTGCAGCAGACACGGCAAACACGGTGGCGCCGCCTCATGTCGAAAAATCTCCTGCTTCTGGCCAATGCAGCAGAACTACATGTATATACGGAGTACTGTAGAATGGAAATAATACTAACTTGTAATACTGCCGGGAGCTGAGCTTGTCCAGCTTGTGAGGCAGCCCAGCCCAGCGCATCGGTCCAGGGCTCCACCAGCTAGCAGCTCTCAGCCCATCGTCCCACAGCCAGGGCCGCACTAAACGCGTGCCTCGATCATAGAACCCGCGATGCCCCGTCTGTCAGATCAGGGAAATGCCGGGAGATGGCAGCAAAGGCGTCGTGCGATGGCGCATATCGCCCAAGCCCGCGGCCTTCCGCGTGCTGTGAGACAGACAGCAGCAATCAGCTGGGCTGCGGCAAACGTCACATTGCCGCGACAAATGCGTGATGTCTTTCTGGGCGTCGGAAACGGATGTTTCAAGGCTCTTATAGCGCCGCCGTCGAACTTACAGGCGACTGCCCTTGGCACAATTAGCGGCCTGGGCCCCCTCCGCCACTGCCGCCCGCTCGCTATAAGCTTCGTATTGGTTTAAGTACAGCATGCACAGAGGGCCATGGTCGCGCATTTTGTGCCCGCCCCGCCCTGTTTACTCCTCATACCTGCCTCTACTTTTATCCTTTAGACGTCGAACTCTTTTTCCTATTTTCCTTATTCACACCGTTCCTCCTGTGCACGTTGTCCTACGTCGTTTCTACCGTCTCCTTAGAAAGTGATTCTTGTGTTTGTTCTCGTTCTTGTTGTTTCCCGCGGATCCGATACCGTTTCTTCTTTTCGCATCCTGCCGCCCGGCATTGAGCCCATGCGGTTGTCTCAGCCGGACGACGTCAGCCTCTCCCTGAGCTGAGGCATAACAACCTCATCTTCGGCGAAACAGAATCTAACAACAAAGCAAACAAGCCCATACATCTGCAGCTGGCCCACAGCTGCGCACCTCACGATGCGCACTCCTCGGATCGTGATCCTTGTGTTCTGCATCTCCTCGTCTCTCTTCCTCCTCTTCCGCTCGGCGACAGCGTCCAGACACGCCGCATCGTCTCGGTACCCCACTGAGAGCCGACCTAACAGATCGATATGGGGACTCATCTTCTACAACACGCCGTTCTCCCTGTTCCCGCCCAACGCGGCCATCAGCTTGACCGACGACAACAGCACATCTTTTGCAGCTCGGCCTGCAGCGTTCGGGCCTAGTCTATCGCCGAGTGGGCTGAGCGGGCAGCTGTGGGTTGGGAGCGGCTTCACTGAAGACAGCTTCGATGTCAACGGGGAGCTCGGTTGCAGCGATCTTCCTGGCTGGGACGGTGCAGATGCGAAACATGCACTGAAGCAGAGCGTTCACGGAGCTGCATTACGCGCTGATGCCTTCAAATCTACACGCCATTCGCGGGCAAACGACGACCTTGTTACTCGAGACAAGTCAGAAGCAGATGCTGAAGCGGGCCTTCACCCGAACGTTCCTGCTGATGATGGCACCGACAACCACCTTCACGTCAGATTTAGCAGCGCCCTCCCTCGGCAAGACGCCTCTGCGTCCTCTCACGCCGATATCCAATCGATCCAGGAAGGAGCTGAGATCAAGGGAAAGATTGTTCTGCTGATGCGTGGAGGATGTGGATTCTTAGAAAAAGTCATGTGGGCACAGCGCAGAGGCGCCATTGGCGTTATCGTGGGCGACAACGTCAAGGGAGGACCGCTAATTCAAATGTTTGCCCATGGCGACGATGTCGACAACGTGACGATTCCGTCAGTCTTCACAGCTCGGACGACCGCACAACTGCTATCGTCGTTGACACAGCCTGGTAGTTTTATCGAAGACACTCTCGATGACAACGGTAACCCTGTCCTGAAAGTCCAACAGGGATCCAGGGCAAGAAAGAGCAAGGGCTCGGGTTCTAAGACAACTCAGTCGAAGAAGTCAAAGAGATCGACCAAGGAAAAGCGGCTTACAAAGAGAAAAGAAGCTGAAGATAAGCCGGGTTGGTTTTCGCGCTTTTTCAAATGGGGCACATCTTCTCGCAGCGTGCACAGCGAGAGCCGGCCACCAAGCAGCGGCCAGATAGACTGGGTTGTGGTTGAGGATTGGGTTGACGAGAAAGACAGCATTACAAGACCCAGCATAACCAAACAAAAGAAGCAACCGAAGCAACAACTAAAAGCAGGAGGCGACGACTTCATCATTGGAGTTCAGGACTGGCGGGACCCAGATGTTCTAAGCAATACCAAGGCACCGGCCTCTTCTCCTACTAGCTTGAAGGGTGAGGTCTCTGACAAGGCGGCGAGCCCCGACGAGCCCAAGGGTGGAAGCATTACCCCAAGCAGTGGCGAGTATAAGCTCCATAAGGGGTCTGAAGATGAAAACGAATCTACCTCTACCTTCGAGCTCAGAGGAGTCGCGCCATCCGGCAAGGGCAAGAGCCTCATCTCCAGAATTTTTGGCGATGATGATGACGAAATAGACGAGGTCCTCGAGCTTGATAATGGTGATTATGATGACGACATTCCAGAAGAAGACGAGGATCCTGTGCGTCACGAGGGTCTCTGGGTTACCATCACGCCGACCAGTAGCGCCAGCCCGTTCTTCGATACCCTCCTTGTTCTTGTAATCAGCCCCTTGGTGACACTTTCTATTGTATATGCTCTCCTAGTCTTGCGTGCGAGAATCCGAAGGAGAAGGTGGCGGGCGCCCAAGTCTGTGGTGGAGCGACTGCCCGTCAGAACCTATCACACTGTTGCACGCTCTCCCAGCCTGTCACCTAGGGTTTCTTCTCCCTCAGGCGCAACAGCAACCACACCACTGTTGCAGTCTAATCCTAGGCCCAGCAGACCACGACCTCGTTCCAGGACCGCCAGTGGAGCCTTGGAAAGCGCTAATTTCCACGCCCCAGCTTCCAGCAGCTTGCCGGTGCTACAGACAAATGCTCGTGCTGGTCGTTCCGGCCACGAAAGGGGAGCCATCTCGGGCGAGTGGAGAAAGTACATGGGAAGACAGGTAGAGTGTGTCGTCTGCCTGGAGGAATATATCGATGGCGTGAGTAGAGTAATGAGGCTTCCTTGTGGCCATGAATTCCACGCCGACTGCATGTGAGTTTTCTTCTCTCTTCCTCTAGAGAATATCAGACTAACTAAGATAAAAAGCACTCCGTGGTTGACTACTCGTCGACGAACATGTCCAATCTGCAAGGGAGACGTAGTCCGTTCTATGGGTCGCAGCTCGTGGACTAACCCTAGATATGAACCGTACCACGATGACGGTGACGACGATGACGACGAGCAGGCGGCCGAAGGTTCAGCATCATCCAGCGGCGATGAGGATGTTGAGCAAGGCGTAGCGGAAGTGGAACCCTCTGAGGCACGCCGATCGAATTGGCAACACAATTTCTTTGGCATCATACCTGGTGTTTCTGGGTACAATCGCAGACAACGATCCCAATCTCCGTCTCCAGAAGATCGCCAGGCGAGATCTCATTAATAATAGAATATTCTCTCTGGATGCCGAGCGTACTTGAGTCAGCCTCTGGTCAATAATATTGTGCCAAGAGCTGGCACATAGGATCGAAGTTCTACGGGGGCATATCTCGGCTTCAAATTATCTCAATGGTATAGTTTTGGCATTAGGAGCAAGGACAACTATTTGTTTTGGCGTAGTGGGTAATAGGAGGAACAGGAGTTTCTTTTACTTTTCGGGAATAAGCAGGCATTGTGGGAATTATAGCCTTGAAAGGATCTTTTTATACAACAGTGCTTTTTCGGGGAAATTTTTTTTTTTTTTTTTTTCATTGGCCCATCTGCCTTTATGGCAAAGTGATGGTCATATGCTGCTCGAGGGGAAGAGAGAGAATATAGGAGTGGAGAGGCTTATTCGATGGATGGAATGCCTGCTGGGGTGCTCGAATGGGAGATTACTATGTTATATACCCTTGTGTTGGTGGTGGCTCGTATGAATATTTGGTATTTTATGTACGACAGCGCGATAACGGATGCTTGTCATTGATGATGACAGGCCTGGATCTCCTTTCACTTGATACTGGAACTAGCAGTACTCATAAAATGTATGGAATATACAAAATTGATAAAAAAATTTAACCTCTGAACATTTAAAAAATAATTTGTAAAATATTTATACCACTCAAATATTCAATACCAATGTGTAAAAAAACGGAGCTTTGTATGGATTATATTTGATACCTTCATTTTTACTATCTTGCCTAACTGGGTTAGATGCCGCGCAGCTTGCAAAAATATACCGCCCGAATGCCAAAATATATTGCCCGAATGTCAAAAATATACCGTCCGAAATGCAAAAAATATACCGCCCGAATAGCAATGGTCTTTCTTATTCCATGTACTGCATCAACAACATTGGAGACATTACTTAACAAACGAAGCGGTCTCGGCGTGCAATTTCATTATTTGAGGCTATAGATAAGGCAGCTATATACACACACACACTGTTAGAATAACAGAGAGTGAAAAAGTATTAAGTGATGCAATTACCTACTAGTAAAAAAAGGCGAGCCCACTCTGACTTGCAACGACGCTCCGATGGCGGGGGAACCAGCAATTGATAAAAAAGTCATGGTGGGGTCACATCCCAGCTTTAGCTTCCGAGTCAACGCCAACAAGCTGTAAAAGTTCAAATCAGACATTTTCTGACCTTTTTCAATATTTGTTTACTTGGTCTGGACGATCTGTTTGCTGCCAAAATCTGAATCATTAATTAATATTCAGTCATATCTCAGCCACATCCTGTCCTTCCATCATCACCTTCATCCCGCCCTTGAACTGCGGCGTGTCATTGCATCAGGCTCCGAACCGGCCTTGTCTAATACCTACACACATACAAATCATCCATCACCATGTCAGCGCAATCTCCTCGCAAGAAGTGCGGTACGTCAGACAAAATCCTCCAATTCAATCCATCTCTCTCTCTCTCTCTCTCTCTCAGGCAACCAACCAACCAACTAAAACTTCTCTCCAGGCGTCCTCGGCTGCACTGGCTCCGTCGGCCAGCGCTTCATCCTCCTCCTCCAGGGCCACCCGACGCTCACCCTCCACGCCATCGGCGCCTCGTCTCGCTCCGCCGGCAAGAAGTACAAGGACGCCGTGCGATGGAAGCAGGCCTCGCCCATTGGCGACGTCGCCGACATGGTCGTGAGGGAGTGCCGCCCGGAGGAGTTCCAGGACTGCGACGTGGTCTTCAGCGGGCTCGATTCCGATGTCGCGGGCGATGTGGGTGAGTTAAATTCTGCAGTGGTCGTATTAGGTCATTGAAGGAAAGAAGGGGATCAAAAAACTAATCAATCGTGAAAAACAAACATAGAGATGGCCTTCCTCAAGGCTGAAATCCCCGTCTTCTCCAACGCCAAAAACTACCGCCGCGATCCCCTCGTCCCGCTCGTCGTGCCCACCGTCAACCTGCCTCACCTCGACCTCATCCCCCACCAGCGATCCGTCCACAAGCTGTCCAAGGGCTTCCTCGTCTGCAACTCCAACTGCGCCGTCATCGGGCTCGTCATCCCCTTCGCCGCCCTCCAGGCCGCCTTTGGCCCCATCTCCACCGTCAGCATCGTCACCATGCAGGCCGTCTCGGGCGCGGGATACCCGGGCGTGTCCAGCATGGACATCATCGACAACGTGGTGCCCTTCATCCAGGGCGAGGAGGACAAGCTCGAGACCGAAGCCAGGAAGATTCTCGGCTCCATTGACGATGGGCGCACTGCCTTTGTCGAGCAGACCGGCCTTCGTGTCTCGGCATCGTGCAACCGCGTCCCCGTCATGGATGGCCACACTGCTTGCGTGAGCCTCAAGTTCGAGCGCCAGCCTCCTCCTTCACCGGAAGAGTGCAAGGCTGCTCTGCGGGCATACGTCTCCGAGGCCCAGAAGCTGGGATGCCCCTCCGCGCCTAACCCACCCATCAAGGTCTTTGAGGAGGACGACCGGCCGCAGCCGAGACTGGATCGTGATCTGGGCAGAGGATACACTGTCAGCGTGGGCAGAGTGCGTGCTGACGAGAGTGGCATCTTTGATTTGAAATTCGTTGCCTTGAGCCACAACAGTAAGTTCTTTTTCTCTCAATATGACTTGCGTTTTGTTATAGGGTAGATGGAGCTGACTTTTGTTCTTGCAGCGGTTATTGGAGCGGCTGGCTCATCGATCCTCAATGCTGAGGCTGCTATCCTCAAGGGCTACATCTAATCATACTTGTGGTTCCAATTATTCTTTTCTGTTTTGGATGTGTACATATATCAAAAAGGTTATCGTGTTTGAATAGATATAAAAATTCCCAAGTAAACAGATGCTAGCTTGCGCAGGCAGAACCTCACAAGATGATACGCCAATTTCTATTAAACCATGATATTTTGCGGTACAAACCAATGTATTAGTTAATAGATATAAGGTTCTCGTGGATATCATTAGGCCTGGATACTGTACATGTGGGGATTGGCCTGGTTCACGAGTAGTATGTAAAATAACTGGTATTTCCAAGCTGGTATAGAGAGTAAAAGAAACCGATACAATTGTTCTCTGAAGAATATTCTATCCATTGGAGACTGCCTCGTGGTAAGGAGGCTTCTCTTCACACCTGATGCGAATGCTCCCTAGATCCAAACAAACACTGACAAATCCACGTAGAATATGTCCATTCAACGTGCCAAAACGCCCAAGTGAATACACCATGACGCCTCACCCCGTACAACCCAAACAAGCAGATGCCAAATAATTAATGCCAAAAATCGAGCGATCCATCTCCATGTTCGCTCAAGTCCATGTTTCAACCCCTACTATCCGGGCTCCTGAGTTTATGCGTGTGTGCTTCGCCTATTGTTGGCGTATAGCCTGAATTGCACGAAAATAGTGCCATCTTCGACAACAGTACCAAGGGACCCAATGAGCCAAGGGATCGTGTTGATGATGTATTTCCTCTCTTGGGAGTAAGCCACGATGCTGACTGCGTATGTCAGGTTTCCAGTAAGGGAGAGCATGAAAAACAGGATGGAAAGGCCTGGAATGCTCAATTAGTATGATAACATTGAGGTCAATCTGGGACGGGGTCTCTTTACCTTCGCAGGACTTTTCGCGGTAGTTTTTGATGATTTGGGGAACTCGGGCACTAAATGAGAGAGTTAGCCTGATGCGCATCGCGACTGAATGTTCGAGTGTGCAAAAAAAAAAAAAAAAAAAAAAAAAAAAAAGAAGAAGAAGAAAAAAACATACCAGAGGTAGCAGACTGCGCTGAAATATCCCAGGACAATGCCAACCTTCTCCAGCAGGTCTGGCGATGCTTGTATCGCGGCGTTGAAAACAACAGGATCCGTCTCCTTGTATGCTCCAGCCTTGTAGGAGAGATACCACCCAATGAAGCCAGCAACGTACACGCCAACTAGGCTGGCCGTGTTAGACATCCACGAAGAGCGCTCCAGCAGCTCATCGCCAGCGGGTCCGATTTTGCCGCCGTCCTCGCTCGATACCGAGTGACGATGACGATGCGCCGTCGCGTGTCGGTCGCCAAGAAGGGGTGCTTCTTCATTCTCCTCCGCCGCCAGAGCAGCTCGGCGAGCATTGACCGTGTTGTAGTAGATGCATTGCGAGATGAGGAGCAAGTCGGCGACGCAAAAGTACATGGCCAATGCCACTGCTGTTGGCGCCAGGTGTGTCAAGAGTCCGCCTAATTGTCGCGAGTTAGCTCAGCTCCGCACAGCGGCTTTCTCCGCGGGGGGTAGCAGCAAAGGAAATTTTCTTGCTCCTCACGAAAATTGGGAATTCGCAAGTATTCTGCACGAACCTATCAAGTTTGTAACATCGCCAATCATCCACACGGCTAGAAACGTTATGCTTAGCCCGTCGGCGCTCTTCGCTCGGTAATTGACAATCATCTGAGGGAGCTACAAGGATGACTGTTAGAAGAGTGTTTCTTTGAGCTGCAAAAAAATAGAAAGAAAAAAAAAAGTGAATGCGCTACGTACAATGACGCATATCCATGCTGCCATGCTGATGCTGCCAAAGATGCCCGATATAGCTTGGTGGAGAGGCAGCTGCTTCGCTGCCTCGTCCACGACGCTCATCGCGAGAGACGCCATGGTAGCAAAGTGACTGGAACGGTCTCGGCACCTCGGCGCGCAGGCACAAAAGACAGAAAAATGGACTTTTGCTTTCGTTTTCTCCGCAGAATCGAGCGATGGAGAGGCAGTCGAGTGAAGAGGAGGTATGTCGAGGAGGAGCAGAGGGCGAGATTATGTGGAAATCTAAGGCATCGGCCGGTCGGGGTGCCTCACGAGATCATCGGTCCTAGTCATAAGTAGCTGAGAAGGTCGGAAGGGACCCATCGAGGCCGTCGTCCTTATCGCGGGCTGCTTATCGCAGAGGTCAGCGATAGAACCGCGGGCCCCCATTGGCTGGCTGTGGCTGCGGCTGGACGGGGCCAAGGGACACCAAATCTTGCACACGACACGGCTGGGACGCACGTCGCAGAGATCAGGGTCTCCATTTGCAGGCGTTAGCGGCGGGGAGCGTGCGCGCGCTATCTCTGGATGCGTCATCCTGCAACCACGGGCTGGGTGAAGGGATTCGCAGTGTGTGCCTTGAGCGGCACGAGATAAGAGCAGTGGTGGCATTTATATGTGCGCCTTGGGGAGAGTCAGTCGGCGAGCCTCGTGTTACCGTTTCACTGCATGGAAGAGAACAAAAAGATGTCTTATCTAGAGAGCGCACAATACTGCACAAACCTACGTATTTCGATGAGAAGCAGTACGGCTCCAGCTGAGTACATGGAATTGCAAACTCAATTGCGGCGGTGCCGAGCAAGCAAGGGGTGGACAAAATAAGCGGAACGGTGTCAGACAGCAAGCAAGCACATAACATAGTATAATGCACGCTGGTAATATCTAAGACAGGATCCGTAGGTGGATATCAGATGTCATCATAGGTACTAAGGTATATACCTACACAAGCATGTAGACGCACAAGTATGCATCTCCTTTATCTCCACGTATACACTTCTATTTCTACTACTATTAATCTCACTATCCTGCCTAAATCTATGTTTACCATCGCTCTCTTTGTTAGTAGTGACTTAGAGTATGCAGCAGCTACGGAATACCCCATCTTTTTCTACGGTCCCGCCTATTTTGTCACCGCTTGCCGAGGCCGGAGTGCAGTGACAACACTGGCCCGCAGCGGTGCGCCCCAGCAGCCCCAGCCTTCTACGCAGCTCCCACTTCCCTTTTGGGCCGGCACATGGCTGCTGAGCAAGCCCAGCTGATGCGCAACCAAAGCGCGTGTGATCCCCCCAGGTGCGCATGTGCTAAGCAGGCAAAAATGCATGTACATAGTACATACTGTATGCACTCGGGCCGGCAGCGTCGCTCGCACGCAGTGGCTGAGCTGCCTCTGATTGGTAGCCGGCGGGGGGCGTCTCCTGGAAGTGCCGTGCGTAGCTGCGGAGCGCTAAAGCGTGCATCTTCCGGGGTAGCTTCACGTCGTCACTCCCTTCCGAACCCTCCCCATGCCAACCTTTGTCCTGCAACAGTCATCCTTTATCCTTTGCTTTTTTATCATTTCGCTGCATCTAGAGAGATCGAATAGAACTTGGCTTCGTCGCGAGAATTGTCTCATCAGCACCCGCTCTGTTTTTTTTGCCGCACCATGAAGCTCTCAAATGCGGTGGCCTTCAGCCTCGTCTCCTTGCCAGGGGCCATGGCTTGGGGAGGTGTGTATCGACTCCCCCGTGATGCACCACCATTATCACTTGCCGTCTAACATCAACCCTCTTCGCATCCAGGTCTGGGCCACGTAACGACAGCCTATATTGCAAGCAACTTCGTCGCCAACACGACCGAAGCCTACCTAAAGCAGCTCCTTGGCAGCCAAGATGCCGATTACATGGCCAAGGTAGCCTCCTGGGCCGACTCGATCAGATACACAAAATGGGGCAGATTCACAAGCACGTTCCATTTCATCGATGCGCACGACAGCCCTCCCGAGGACTGCAATGTCGACTTTGAGCGCGACTGCAAAGAGACCGGCTGCGTCATCACCGCTCTGGCCAACTACACCAAACAGTCCGTCGACCCGTCACTACCCGCGTGGCGCCGAGCGCAGGCAGCCAAGTTTGTCATTCACTTCGTCGGCGATCTGCACCAGCCGCTACACAACGAGGACGTCGCAAGAGGTGGAAACGGGATCCACGTGTTGTGGAATGGACGTGAATTCAACCTGCATCACGTTTGGGACAGCTCCATTACGGAGAAGTGGCTTGGCATGCGTGGGAGAAAGCCATATCGTTGGGCGGAGAAGTGGTCTAAAGATCTCACAGAGAAGATCAATAGCGGCATATACGCAGACGAAAAGGGCGATTGGCTAGCAGACTTGGACTTTAGCAACCCGGAGGAGACGGCATTGGCTTGGTCACGAGAATGTAACAAACTTGTGTGCCAGTATGGTAAGTCAAGCCCCAAGTTCAGCACCCAAGTATGGCTCGTCGCTAATCTCATCGATTTATAGTCTTCCCCGAGGGTCCCAAGGCCATTGCTGGCCAAGAGCTGAGCGGCGAGTACTACGAAAAGGCAGCCCCAGTGCTTGAAAAGCAAGTCGCCCGTGCCGGATACCGAATGGCAGCTTGGTTGGACAAGATTGTCGACCAATATCTAAAGTTGGAGGCAAGCTACACAGGAGAGCTACCCACCGAAGACTACATTGAAGAGCCTTTGGATGAATTTATGGAGGAGCCTATTGGAGAGCTATAATAGAATACACATATAGAAAGATGGGATCTTGGCTTTTTACTTACAGTTCATTTCATGTAGGGTGGCAGGCGAGTATTGTGCCTTTGGATACACAGTCATTATTTTGGGTTAGCACCCCTTGGTTAATAGAGCATTACCGAATATTTGTCTCGGCGTGGTTCATGTAGTAGCTACGCCAAAATTCTCATGGAATATGTGAGCTTCCTCGCGCTTCAGCTCCTCTGCTTCTGTGCTAGCGACAGTAAGATAGTAGGCTGCTCAACCATATGTCTCAACCAAGACCAGATATTAAGGATTTCGCAATTCTGTGATACTTGTTATATCACAAATTTGAAATATTCTTATTTTAAGTCAATTTTAAAAGTTTACTTTCGTGTGCAGCTTTTTAGTAAACGAAATTTGAACTGGTGGGCATGGTAATTTTTCTTTGGTCTTGCATGGCTGTGTTTGCTCAAGTCTATATTATTCGAATACACCCTACTCAAGACGGTATTATTCAAATGTCTTCCAAATCATTGGATTCCAAATCTCAAGCCCAAAACAGCAATTTAATCCAATCTAGTGCCTAGATTCGGAATTGCCAAGACAAAATGTTTCTCTGATTAATTTGCCTCTGCTTCGTGCGCTTCCCTTTCCCACCTCCTGTTTCGTTCCAGGGTACGCGAGGCGGCCACCACCAAAGCCTCGACTCCCGCGCACGGAAGACGGCAACGTTTAGGCCCAAAAAGCGCCAATTCGACCACGCTTCTTGTGCCCTATGACGTCCTTTGCCAAGAAGATGAGACCGGGACCAAATGTTCCTCGAAGCTGTCAGTCACAAGCGGCGCGCGCTGTTTTGGGCCACAGAGCCTGTTTCAGATGGCGTTTAGCGAGCGCCAAGGAGGTGTTTCACGACCGGCAAACGGCACTGTGGGCCTCTTCGAGATATCTTCATCCTTCACCTATTCCTCCTCTGTCCTTTGCGCCTATGCACAGCCCCCCTGAAGTTTCACGGCCATTATTCCTTTTGCCTCGATACGAAGAAACGAAAGGGACTTGTCACAAACGTGTCGAGCGGAGCTGGGCCTTGGCACTTTGCCGGATATAAGCACGCCAAAGTGACCGTGCAGAGGAGATGAACAACCTTGAAAGGAGTTGTGAGAGCTGGGGTTATTGTTCCGATTTGCCGAGTTGGAGGTCCTTTGGCCACCACCTCTTTCTACGATTCTGACAGATAGTATTGGAAATGAAACATAATCCCTACCGCATCTTGGAAATATCTGTCATACGGAGTAGGGACCTAGTATAGCCAGCCCAGCTAACAGATGGGTGTACGGCATTCAGCTGAGGCGGGATTCATCAACATGAGATGGACGGATTTCAAGGGCCAATCTTCTTCGCGGCGACCCCTGATTGTGCCTCGCGTAGGGCGATTGCTTGATCATACCTACTAGGCCACCGCTGTAATCTTGCAGTTTGATTATCAAAGCCAAGCGCAACCACTCTGGAAATGACTGCTAATCACAATGGATGTCCACGTCAATGCGGCCCTGGATCTGGGCCACCCGGTGCCGATGCATTGCAGTGCCCATCTGCAATCTACTGGCTACGAGACGACCCATATCATACAAGTACAACACAGGGCGCCAAGCAATGCGGCTTTGGTGCGGTATATGCAGGCAATAGAGAGATCCAGAAATGCCAGGCCCGCAATGCTTGGCTTTGTTCTTCGGACGAGGGAAGCCTAAACCAACCGCCAGAGTTCCACTTCTGGATGTTTCGTAGGTGTACATTGTTGCGCACGTCCATGGATTACCGCATGTAGGAAGCCGCTTGAGGGCGGCTGTATCAACATGCCTGGCTTTCACTCATAGCTACCTATGTTGGGTAATTGATGACGATTAGGAGCCTGCAGGGAGGCGGGAGGCGGGACGATTGTGGATGTGAGCATCGATCTTGCTGCTGCAAGCCAGCCTTGGCGAACTAGGTATCTAATCCTCCTATTTATGATATACATCTGTGTTTACATCGTATCTTAGCAAAACAATACATTCATCAGACTTGTATGGAGGAGGAACTACTGATAGCTATTTAACATTGAACACATCATAATATGCACTCTGTAGATTACAAGCTAGGAACCTACCTAGGTAGGTATGCTGCGGCTATAACGACATGTCCACTGTAAACGTGCTGTATCGTCCTTTCGCAAAGTCTTGCTCCGGCTGCAGTAGCCACGTGCTGTTGCTTCGGATCAACTATTCAGCCATACCCTAACCAGCAGCTTGTTGATCTCAGCAATTCTTCAACATCGCTGCTCTTGCTTCATCTGTATTACCCTCGAAATCAGCAAAGCAGAGCACAGCCCCTCAAACAGCTAGTGACTGGGAGCTCTCCCTGTCGCCTACAACCGAAACGCGAAGCGCCACATGGAGGCTGCCGATCTGGCCTCCTGATTGGCCACACCCGCCCCCGAGACGCCTGAAGCCGCATCAGTGGCATCCGTACTTTAATCTGCGACAGCGCCGGGGTCTGTTCATCTCAGCTACGGCCTCGACTCTCTGGCTGCCGAGCTGCCACGGCGCCTGAAGACCCTAGAGAAATAACTCTAATTCCGGGCTCACGCGAGCACTGCGGGAGGCATTGTGGCATGGCCGTCTACTGTACAAAGGCACTGCTCTGTCTGTTGCCTGTAGGACAAATCACAGCGGTATGGCAACGGTACGATAGAACTTTGACTTCCATCATCCCTATTTTTCCAGCTCTTCTATATCAGTCTGCTCACAGCCAATCTACCAGGTACCCCGTACTGCCCTAGCACAAGACCCAGGATCTAGTACGGAGGCCAAAGTGCAAGTAGAAACAATGGATTGAGCGAGCTCCATCAGCCAAAAAAACCCCTGGCCTTTCGTGCCCCAGCAAGATCTCTGGTACCTGCGTGGAGAGGCGGTTAGACCTTCTCGGAGGCTGTTTCGAGCCCCGACTCTTTAGACAGCGCTAATGCCGTCGCACTTGGTTGCACCGCGCCGTCAATATGGGAATTGCATCCTTGAATTGCCATTCTAGGCCGCCGTCCTATTCGCTCCGATCCCAACCCCGGCTCCAGGGCAGCCTGTAAGCCAAAAGCGACCCCCGGTCTCTGGCCCTGGTCTTGCCTCTCGGATCTGTTGTGAACCGTCTGAGGCTCATGGAACCGCACCCGTTCATGAAAGTGGATGGCTTCCCCGTTCTGTTTCTGGAACTGAGGCGCCACTATTCCAAATCCCTAGTCGTGCCGGCTTCCCGATGTCTTGTTTCGACTCCGTATCTGCGGTTTGCATTGACGCCAATGGCCTTGGCGTCTCAAAGCTATAATGGCCTCGCTCCCCCCTCTGTTGTTTCTCTTTCTCTTCTCCTCATCCTCCAACCATTCATTTTCCTTAATCCTTTAAGCGACCTGGTCGTTCGCCTTCTCTTTCGTTCATTCTCTTCTTTCCTTGTGTCTGTGACACTTCTTTTTCTCTCTTTTCGACTCTGGTCTGGTACCAATCCCTAAAATTTCAAATCCCAAGCTTTTTTTTCTACTCCTCTTTTTTTAAATATTTCTCTTTACATCTTTCAATATGCAACTTAAGAATGTTCTTACCGGCCTTGTCGGCCTCGCTGTTCTGGCTGACGCTGCTTCCATCGAGCGCCGATCTCCATTTGGCCGCACTTTAGAACGACGCCGTGGTGGTAACAGGGGTGGTAATCAGGGCAACAATGGCAACAACGGTGGTAACCAAGGCGGTAACCAAGGCGGTAACCAGGGCGGTAACCAGGGCGGTAACACAAACAATGCCGGCAGCGGTAGCTTGACGCTGGACTCCAACCTTGTTCAGACTGGTTCCCAGCAGAATGGTAACAACCCTGGTGGCGAGGGCCAGGCTGCCTCAGCTACGTGAGTATATCACTAGATTTAATCTATTATTGGATAATGGCTAATCAATGTACAGTGACAATACCAACTTCATCAACTTTTGTCAGGGCAAGACTCTCACCAACGGTGCGCAAGTCAAGACTGGCTCTTGCAACGGTATCCCCATGGGTAACATTCCTTCCGTCAACAACATGGTTTCATCTGTTTTCGTGAACCCCCAGAACGGTGACACCATTGCCTCCAATAAGACTTTCAATATCCAGGTGCAAATGATCAACTTTGCCCCTGGTACTTTCACCAACGCCACCAGCACATACTACTCGGCTCCTCAGGATGTTGATGGAAGCGGTAACATTATTGGCCACACCCACGTTACTGTCCAGACCACTGGCAACTCCCAGAACCCTACCCAGCCCCTTGACCCTCAGAAGTTTGTCTTCTTCAAGGGTATCAACGATGCTGGTAACGGCCAGGGTCTGCTTTCTGCCACTGTTACCGATGGTCTGCCTGCCGGTAACTACCGTCTCTGCTCCATGTCTGCTGCTGCCAACCACCAGCCTGTGCTGATGCCTGTGGCTCAGCGTGGTGCTCAGGATGACTGTGTCCGCTTCACTGTTAGCGACAACGGCAACGGAGGCAACAACGGTAACAACAACGGCAACAATGGTAACAACAACGGCAACAATGGTAACAACAACGGCAACAACGGCAACAACAACAACAACGGCAACAACGGCAACAACAACGGCCAGAACGGCAACAATGCCAACAACAACGGTCAGAACGGTCAGGGCCAGAACAATGGTCAGAACGGTCAGGGTCAAAACGGTGCTAGTTCCACAAACAACGCCGGCACTGGCAGCGTTCAAACTGGACAGAACGGTCAGAACGGTCAGAACGGCCAGAACGGTCAGGGCCAGAACAACGGACAGACTGGACAGAACGGTCAGAACGGTCAGAACGGTCAGAAAGGACAGGGCGGTGAGGGCCGTGGCCGAGGTGGACGCAAGGGTGGCAAGGATGGCAAGGATGGCAAGGGTGGCAAGGGCAAGAATGCTGAGGCTGCTACCAGCGTCGCTGCTGGAAATGCTGCTGCTGCTACCTCTGCTGTTTCCAATGCTGCCTCTGGAGCCGGTGGTGCCACTGCTGGAACTGCTCTTGGAGGCATTGCTGCTCCCCCCGTCACCCAGTCTGGCAACACTGACAGACCTTTTGAGGTTCAGGGCAACACTTTCACGACCAAGGCTGCTGCCAGCCAAAGAGCCTGTGACATTCAGAACAACTTGTGCGCCAATGCTGTGAACAGCAAGGCAATCAACGGCGTTTCTGTCGGTGACTGCAACAACCAGATCCCTGCTTGCGTTGCTGCTCTTTCAGCATCATCATGAGATGTTATGAGATACGTACGGAGATAGAAAACATTATTGGGCTGTAAGTCGGTGTTCGACTAAGCCTATCTACAGTCCCAATCGCGGGAAGATCAGGGAGGAAGGAGATTTTTTCTTTTATTTATTTGTCTGCGACATGATATGTAGCTTATTGGATTGTTAGGAATAGTGAGTATACTTGTATACAGTGGATCGAATTTATACCGCTTAAAATCATTTCTTGTGTCCTTTGCAACGTGAGAACGACTAACTAACTCTGAACTTTGAAGAGCATCTTAAGTTGGATAGCTGGACAGCTGCATTGCTAACTGCCACATCCATCCACTGCCAACTCAGTGTGGCATTGACGATGCAATATGAAAGCCTAAAGAGGACGTGCTACTATTATCGCTGCCTGTAAATGGTGCACAGTAACTACTAGGTAATGGTCAAAGACATAAGGGGGAAAGACTTTGCGAGCAAGGGCTAATTTACCATAACCCAGCGGTTTCAGAGCGCAGGACCTAAGGGGCTGCACCAGTGTCGGACGCTACAAGGTGGGAACTGTGGGCAAGGGGCTCTTTTTTTTTTTTTGTGTGTGTTACCGTTGGCGCTGAGCAGGGGCAGGGGGTTGTCCGAAATGAGAAATTTTGATGAGATTTCCTTTTTCAGGTTGATTTTTCAGTATCATTTTTGTTGGTACCTTGTGTGATATGAAATGCGTGCTATGAGTTGTGAGTTGGTTGAGGATTGTGGTTTGTTCTGTGATGGAGATGGGCTCTCTACTAAACTTGCCAGTTTAAACATGATGGAATTGAAGTTTTTTATTTATTTTTTTTTTTTTTTTAAAAAAAAAAAAAAAGAAATATACTTTGACTTTGATTAGTTTTTATAATTGACCTGTTACTTTTCCACTGCAAAAGCAGAGAAAAAGGTACTTGGGCAGCTGGCTGCATGTCACTATGTCGACTATGTAGAGGTAGTTACAACCACTAGAATACGATAGAAATGAGTGAGAAATCCATACATGTTATAATTGGGTATCTGGATCTACTTTCAACAAGATCCTTCTATACTCTTGATTCTTAGGTATAGCAACTGATTCAACATGTGTATATCACGGTATAATAAGAAAGAAACAAAAAAAAAAAAAAACTCCAGGATAGGCAATCAACGAAACTCGCTGTCGTGATGCTTCGTCCTTTTTCCGCCAATAAAACGCCATAGCAGTAATTATCCGCCTCTCAAAAATATGACTTTAGCTTCGCACAGCGAGGCAGCAAGTCACTATTAATAAAAAAAAAAGACGCTGGGATTGAAATCGTGCCCGTGCCTAACGACGGGTGTAGGTATATATCGACGCATGGGTGAGACTATGCCTCGTAGTTGTATGTGTGTATGTGTGTTGATTCTGCGAAAAGGGTGCATTGCAGCTCATCCTCTCTGGGGTCTACAAAAAAAAAAAAGTTAGCCTCCCGAAAATCCTTCATAAAGATGTATAACCATGTCATGAAATTGTAGGTAGCATGTCTAAAAAAAAAGACAAGAAAGACGTGACAAGAAACATACGCGCATCCCTGAGGTGTCACCACACCGAAGAAGCAATCTCCAGGCTGCTTCTGCACAATCTGGTCCTCAAACACCGGCGTGATGACGATGCTGGCTGCGGCGAAGGAGACTGCCGTTGAAAGCAGGGCGAAGAAGAAGGCCGTCTGCATCTTGATTTGAGCACAAAGGTGTATTTGTTTCTTATCGTGGAAAAAAGAGAATGAGATTTGGTCTCGTGTGTTAGTTGCGAGATTGCGCAAAGTAATTAAGCAAGCTTGAGTAGCAAGTATGAGAGAATATGCAGCCGCAGACACAAAAAGCACAGCTCAAAGGATAGTATATGACAGGCAAGGCAATGATTGAAGCAAAGATAATGAAAGGAGAAGAATGAAGCGACGAGAGAGAAAAAAAAGCGATTTCTAGGAGTTGATGCTTTCCCCCCCCCCCCGACGTTTCTCGTGTCAAGTGCAGTTTCAGGGACCTGGTCCGTTACCCCGTAGCGTCGGGGCCAATCGCGTACCGGCCTTGGTAAGCGCTGAGCATTACATACATACAGTAGTATTAGCAGCCATTGGGGGGGGGGGGTGTTTGTAAGGCTAAAACAATGCCGTGTCTGATTTCGCGAGGCTGAAATGCCATTGCCAATTGAGCGTTGTTGATCACATGCTCTTAAACTGGTGCAGCCTTGCCAAGTGTGTGTACTCCGTATTATAGACTCAAAAGCGTCAAAGCGCTGGTCCCTCCAGGCATCTACCCCTATCCGCAACGTTGATACAACAAGATATGAGTCGCCGTATTATTGTCCAGATTATTTTGTATATACTTCAACATAGATGACACATTATCAAACAAGCTTCGTAGCTGACCACAAGTCCCCTCCAACCTGTTTTTATTTTACCACAAGGACTCCTCCAAATGGGCACAACCGGGTATTCTCAATCTCCGTCGGTGTCCCATCATCATCCACACTCTCATTACCACCACAAATCTCTCTTCTCACCCTGCTCTAGCGTCCAAAAAATCTCTTCTACTGCAGCGGTACCGGGGGCGGGGGAGTCGTCTTCGCACCGGGAGGAGGAATGAACAAAGGCAGATATGTCACCGCCAAAGCCATGACTACAATTTCCCACATCGTTAGCAACTGTTGAACGTCCCATCTCCAACGATCTGCGAAGGGGAAAACCGTACCTGACATGCCAACGGAAAAGTAACCAGGAGTGCCACCGCTCTTCTGGCTATCCTCGCTCTCTCCCAGCCAGGTCTGGATAGAAAACACGACCGCAATCCTAGAATCCCACGCGATACGTCAGCACCTTATTCCTTCTTCTTTCTTCATTCATCCAAGCGTTCATTTTCCATCATATTATGTATATATCGCAGGGTAAATCTCGTACCATCCAACAAACTTGTTTCGCATAAACATAGCCGCCATAGGCAGCGTTGACGAAAGCGTAGACGAGAAATCCGTAACATCGCCCTTGACGCTCGGTTCCTGATACGGGACGACTAGATTTTACATCCAAACAAGTTAGCTATAGCCCTGTCAAGCAGCTAAGAACACAATGGCATGTAGACGGTGCAAGCAGCAGATCGACGAGGAGAGATCGCCAGGCTGCGGCTGCGCGGGGAGAGGAGAGGAGAGGAGAGACAGAGGCATTGCGGAACAGCAACGTACTCAGGTCGGGCCGTCGCATGTCCTTGGTGTTGGGCGCCATGATTATGGTCGTTAATAGAATCTGCTGAAGATGCTCAAGGCGACAGATTGGCGAATGCGAGGCTGATGGGGATGCGCCAATGTGTGGCCACGAGGCAATGCGGAGGAATTCACGGAGTAGCTTAGCTTCCAATGAACTCCCCAGCTGGGCTTAGCGTAATGTGGGTGAGCCGCTCCGCAGCTTTTTCGACCTCAGGCTCTGGGCCCAGGTCTATCAGCACGTTTTGCTCCGGAAATTCATGACGATTGAAAGGAGGAGTAAAAAAAACATCAAGGCAAAATTATATCGGTTCCTTTCATGTTCTGATGGCCGAGTCGAGCTGCAAAAAAGACTCTCCCAGTCGGTCTCAAGGCTCTCTCATCTTTGCAAGAATCGCTCCTGCGAATCTCGGTTAATAACCCAACGATTACAAAGATGCTAACTATCATACAACAAAATTGCGCTTGCTCGCTCAACATAAAAAAAAAAAACAAAAAAAAAACTTCCAGAGCAGGCCCTGCAAAAACGCTCCGGATTGCGAAAAATTCCCGCCATCGCCAAGTCAACTCCGTAAAATAAGGGTATTTTTTTCTTTTGTTCCATTATGAGTTGGAATCTCCTTTTTTTGTGCCCCCCAAGGCTTTTCCTGATGCCTTTTTCAAAAACGCCAAATTTCCATCTCATGGTACTCTGATAATAAGTTTCCAACCCAGAGCACCGGCCTCGCGGATTGCGCAGGCTAGACATCCCCGCTTCCTCCTGCTAATGATGGCATTCCATCCTTTCTGAGAGCACAGAGCCCGGATGAGGATCTCCATGTCGGAGCCAAACTGCCGTTTTCGAGATTCAAAGTGCATCTTCGCCGCTGCTGAGAAGCTTCCCTTACGCTCAATAGGCGAAGAGCCAGGCGACTCCGAGCGGTCGGCAACTGGTGACTGCGGCACCGAAGAGAAATTGGTAATGCAATCAACCACCAGCACTTGATTCTGAGCGGCTTGCCCGCCAGGGGGTGTAAGGAGGTCCGATAGCTCGGCATCTCGTCTTCGCAAAAGCTCCGAGATGTGGATAACTGTGTAATTATAATATTTGTGCAGTGGGTGGCCTGCCGGTTTCATTAGCATACCGAAAATTATCAGAATTATCCAGTGTAACAAAATGCTTACCTGCTCGATACATCGACCGAGACCCGGCGCCCAGCGTGTTGGAGCCGGTAAAGTCAATCTGCTGCAGCGTCGGGCTGGAAGGAGACTTGAGGACCCTGACCCGTGAAGACGGGGAGCACGGGTGTGCGGTGACAAAGTTAATGTCGTACAGCAGCGAAAAGGTAACCGTCTCAGTCTTCTCTCCCTCGATTGACACAAAAAAGTTGATCTTGGCAGGATACGACAACAGATCCGGAGCCCTGTGGTTCTCGTGAATGGGGGTCACGATAATCTCCGCGAGAGGTGTCGGATGGACACACTCTGCCACTGGCGTATCGAGCTCCAGCGACTGTAGTTCGACAAACACGCCCGGCGGAGCGGGTGTGTAGTTGTTCTCGTGAGGGATTATAAAGTCTGCGGGAGAAATCGACTCTTCATTGCCGTTACCAAGGATATAAGACTCGCGCTCGACTCGTTTCTTGCCCCAAATTCTAGCCTTCTTCCCCAGCTGCGAAAGGTCGGCTGGCTGATAGTCAGTAAAAGGGTAGGCAGGCCTCGACGATGGGAGTAGTAACTCACAGGCAACATCATGAACATCAATACTGATCCACCCCTCGGTCACTCCCTCGGGGATGATATCTGTCGAAATCCACCCCATACATTCGGCAGATCCTTTGCCAGCGGCTAGAACTCTACCGACAATGCAAGATGTACTCCAGAAACTCTTATCGTGGTAGACGAAGCCGCTGCTCAAATTGGCAAACGACCCTATTCGCGAAAGAGCCTCGCTGTCGTTCTCAAGCAGAGTTGCCATCAAAAAGTGGCTCACAGCATCCCCAGGCATCATGAGCCCAAAGACATAGGACTTGGAAAGCCAGCCAGACTCGTGGAGCGCTGCCGCCATTCGACGCCGCCTAGCCCGGGCTCGCTCCTTGTGATGTCCGCGCTGGCACGTAACATCCCAGGCCCCAAAATACGAATCCTGCTCGGGCTCTTTCTTGTAGGGCGTCGGCGTCGGGGGCTGCAGCAATGACGACGGCGCAGCCAACCTCTGTACCTTTTCCGATATACGTCTCTCGTAGCCGTCGATGCCTGGCCACATGAGTTTTCGCGCAAAGTGAGTTAGGCCCTCGACCTGGCGTTGGCCGTATCTCCCTCGAATGGTGTAAAAATGAGGTGGTGATGGGGGTCGGTTTCCATGCTTGTGTTGGTCGTGGAAAGAAATCTTGCTGGCCAGAGACGCCAGCCAGCCGGGAGCAGCGCCGCTGCTTCCACGACGAGGTTCCGGCCGTGCTGCTAAAGAGCCATAGTCCTCTCGCAAGATTTCAATGTTATTCAGCCAGCTACGAGCCAAAAGCAGAGACCATTTCACAGAAGCGTTTGCGGCCCTCTCGAACTGAACAACGTCAATGGCTCTGAAATGGGCCGCTCCATACTCCTCACCGTCAGTAATTGCGTCCAGGCGGATGAGCAACTCGGAAGAAACCAAAATCTGCATTAGTAGCCAATACTTCTCTTCTGCCCTCTCGGCAGAGCTCTCTGCATCAACAATTGCGGTGCTGTCGTCCAACTCGTCACCATGCGGTTTGCCCCAGAGAATCTGGCCTAGTCGAACACGCCATTCGACATGCGACAGGTCAATCCAGACATTGGGGGCTCCCATGCACCTGAGGATGGCACTGATCTGGTTGGGAAGGCTGTGGGGGTCTTTTTTGTCAACCGGGGGGATTTTATTTGGTCTCATCAAGACGTGGAACAGGTCGTTGTAGGTTTCTTTCGAAGGCTTCTTGCCAAAATCGTTGTTGCGGTAGATTTCACCATTGCGTCTGAGCCGATCCAGCAGCTCTCCTTGAGGAAGACGGTGTAGCCAGCCATCATGAGACAACATACGCTCGCGAGCTTCAACGACGGCACGAGCCTTGGTGCCGAGGCTTTCAAAGCCAAACTGCTCCTCTTCGAGTGAGTCGCTGACGGCCAGTTCGAGAGCAGCCTGGTAGCCCATGGTGCCCTTCTCCAGCCCCTGCATGCTCAGCATGTTGGGTCGCTCACAGCACCGCACATGGAAATGCGCCTTGCGCGTATCTTCGACCTCTTGCTTGGCCTCGGGGTCATGGTTGGCGTCCCTCGTCAAGTGAGGCCACACAGTGACGCCCCGCCAGGCCTTGGCTTCGATTTGGACATGGTCAGTCAAATCCCGGATCTCCAATTCCTCGTCAAACGGAAAGGCTACGCTGGGATGAGGCGCGCCGGGGAAGTGGCTCTCGCTGCGGGCGAAATACTGGGGAGCTCCAGAAAAGAGTTTCTCAACGTCATCGTCACTGAGGAATTGGGTCGAGGCCGCTGCTTGCATCTCTTCTAAGGATTGGTGGGCGTTACCTAGTTGGGTTCGATGGAGGATGCATTAGCCGGTAGCAACAAGCACTTTTGAGATTGTATTTATTTTTCGGTGAAAGCTCGCTGGACCCTCGGCGAAGGAGAATTGACAGAAGGAAAAATTAAGAGAAGCAAGTCGACGGCAGAGCAAAAATGGCACTGAAGATGGTTCGATCTCGCCGGATCTCCGGGTTCAGTTAGCACGCCTAATTTAGCTGCGGAGAGTTGGCCATCAGCAGCGGGGCACCACCAACCACAGCTTCACGCAGAGACAAGGGACCAGCCCAAGGGACTGCTCCAGCCAGGAGAGACAGCGCTATTCTCGGAAATGGTGGTCAGGTGGCTTGTTAGCAGCAAAACAAGGGCACTGTAATGAGACATTTGAAGCTTACTTGCACTGCAACGCCCCAGGCTTTCAGGGGGGTGTTACTGTAGCCGTCTGTGGTTTGCTCCTACGGACAATTACAGAGCAGAGCAGCAGCCCGTGACAATTGCTGCTTTTGCGCTGCTTTTGCCTCCCTCTCGCTGTTTTGATTTGTTTTGATTTGCTTGTCAAGCAGCCGAGGTTGGGGGCGTGGGGGGCCGCTACCAGGATGCTGAATGGCTCGCCGCGGTGTCCGTGATGAAAACAGTTCGTACGGCTTGCAGATGCAGCTGGTTGCAATTCGCCGCCTGGGTTTTGGCAAGACTGCGCTGCATGTCGAAATCAAAGCAGGGTCGCGTGCCGTGTCATTGCTCGCCACCCTCTTGTTATTGTCACTGTCATATTGAAGTCACCGGTCTATCGGCAGGTCCCTAGATTCCCCCGCATTTTACAAATAGGCAGGCGTAACTGTAAATAGCAGCTGGCGCAACAAGTCCTCTCGTACCCGGTACTTGTACGTACAAAGCCATACTGGTGATCGGCTGCCTGAATGTCAATCTCCAAGCGAATGCCACCCACCCCAACCCAGTGCAGCTGCCTGTACAGTGACTGGACGAGTGGCAGCAGAAGCAGAAAACGGGCCCCCAAACCGCCTAGCAGTTGCACTAGCCGGTGCTCGCGTTACGGCCGTGGAATGGGGCCGTGCAATGGCCTCCTCGGCGGACCGGGGTCCGTCCCCCCTGAACTGCACTGCGCCTTCAGAGCGCTTCAGCACTCAATTTCAGCGGCACGCAATGCGGCATAGCATTTCGAGCTCCCTAACGCCGTAATTAATGGGGCTTTTCGCTCCTGGTCAATCTGAGCCCATCTGGCGTGCTGGGATCGGCAATCAGCGCTCATTCTCGCCTCGTCCAGATCTGCGCTGGACTGGCTGTTTGTCACTCCAAGCCGCCTGCAGCAGCCGGCAGCTGATTGGCCGGGCCGGGCCTGTCGCGAGCCCCTGGGCGGGAGAGTCTGCCCTCTCGTATGATACATCACCAGTCATCCGTTTTTGCGGTGGTACCAAAGGCGACAGTAGAGAGACTCTAGGGGATGGATGGCGCCGGAAATGGGCGCATTCTACTGTCGCCGTAGCATGACCATGGTCGTACTGCAGCGAAGCGACAGCATATGATGCAGGGCTTGCGCGAAAGAAAATTGAGTCTGACTGGGAGTGGTTGCATGTATTCCGGATGTACATGTACGGTCATCTTCAATGGTCTTTCACATCTGCCCAGAGTCATCGTCTGAGACTGGCGGCTGCATGCAGTGCGTTGGGAGGTATTTGGTTCTTGGCATTGTGCTGCAGAAGGAGGTCCCTCGCATGAACGACACCCAAAACCTCTTGCGCCTACCCCCGAACATCACAAAGCCAAGAATTCAAGGGGGGCAAAAAAAAAAAAAAAGGGTTATCAAAGTTCCTTTAGATTGATAACTCTATCCTATTCTTTGGTTCCTGCCACTTCTCCGGATCACCGAGGCCGCGCGGCCGCGAAAACGAAATTACTCTGAATCGCAGCCGAGCGCCAAGCCCTGCGTGTTTCTTATCCTCTGATATGTAGCGGGCTGAGCAGCATCTGCACACAAAAGCAAGGCATCGCCCATAGTAGGTAGTGGTGGTGCCAGCAGTGGATAGTACTGGAGTAGACAAGACGGCGCTTGCTGTTTTTTGTTTCAATCGACCAACACCACAGATGCATACATTTGTAGGAGACGCACCAAGATATAAAAGAGGAAAAAAAAAAGATGCCGCACAATGTGAGAAAAGCGGATGGTCCGCAGGAATATCTTGTCACGCCAGGCAACAGCTCGGTACCTGTTGTAATATCATTTACGCACGTGTTTCGATAGGCATTAACGTTTTCCTGGGGGTATCATTTCGCCATCCTGTGCGCCGTGTAGCTATGCTTCATTAAAAAAAAAAAAATAAGGACCATGCCAAATCTCCCTTTCCCCTGGTGGTTACTCGTGCAATTGCGGAGTTAAACGGCCGTCTCTGCGTTTCTTTCGTAATTCCAACTCTGCATATGCTGAAGCACCATGTGCCTCTTTGGCAGGCGCCTCTTCCTTTGCCTTCTATATCGTTGTTCGCCTCTGTATTATATATTATAATGTAGCCCCTTTTATGACCCGCCGTATATCAAAAGAAAGAAGAAGGAATGCTTCAAGCCGGTTGAGTATCGTGGATAACTATGAGCAGGTACTTTTGGTCGGGCACTATGACAATCTCCTGCCGTTTCGTTCGCAATCGGAGCAGCTTTAATTCATCCTACAACCCAAGTTAGTCTCCTTGTGATCACGCAAAATTGTAGACGATCAAAAAAAGGGGGCTGAGAGGGGAAGCGTCGCAACAAGGGTCGTGCGTACCTCTCCGTCCACATCTTGCACCAGCTGTCCGGAGCTGTTCACGAAATTCCAGATCATCTCCGCAAACTCCTCGATGCCTTGCGACTCGCCTTCCTCCGCTGCGGGCGCATCGTTGGAAAAGGAGGCGGCCGTCGACGCGTTTCGCGCTTTCGCCGTCTGGAGCGCGTCGATCTGGCCGCTTGTCTTGAGGATTGCGCCGCTTGCTCTGTCCAAGACCATGCTTGCCTTGACGCCAGGTTTCCTAACTAGGCGACCAAGTTTCTCCTCGAGGGCGTCGTGCCCGTTTGCCTGGAACCGCCCATTAGCTAGAGTCGCATATCGAGGGAATATGTAGCGGAATTTGGAGCTTCTCGTACCGTAGGGTTTTCTGACATTTCGCTGCTAATTGCGCGTGCGCTACCCTTTGGAGATGTAACGTGGGGGAATAAAAACAGGATTTTTTTTTTTAAAAAGAATTCTAGATGTCGGTAAATGCGACCAAGACGTTCATATCCAGTAGCTCTCCTCAGGGTGCCACTATGCGAGCGGTTCATTGACGTAGCTCGGTCGCGGCACATTACAATTCTGCCATGCGCCACCGCCAAAATTTATAGACCCACCAGCGGCATCTGGAATCTGCAGCTCAACAAAAAAATCAATCATTACTGAAGTGCATGAGACCTCATTGGACTAGACTGAAGACAGCTCAAGTATAATTTACAACTTTTTTTTATTCCTCAAAATCTTTATCATCGTATAATTGCTCCAATAAATCGCTGTCAAGATGGGTTCCAGCGCCAAAAAGAAGAAGGAGAAGAAGAAGGATTTTCAGGTAAAGCCTCTTATATGCCCTATCCACCCGAATGCCAATTTACTCATAGCTGGGTAGAAACCCAAGTATAAAGTAGGCAAAACTGCTCCCAAGGCTTCGAACTTCACAGATACCAGCTTCAAATCCAGAGGTATGACAGCTTGCTAAACTCTTTCACAATGCAAAAGCCTAATACCGACGACCATTAGCAATTGTAATGAACCAGCAGTCATTATCAACTGCTGCTCCAGACGTTGTTCAACAATTCAAGCATAATCTTTCTCTAGCTTCATCCTCAAAGAATGATAAACAGCGCCGCGATGCCTTGGCTTACCTCACCAGCCAACTCTCCTCACAACCTCCAGTCAACCCCGTTGGGACGAACAACATCCTCTCCAAAGTTCTCCCTCTCATCTCAGATAGATCAACACCAGCTCGGAGCCAGCTGCTAAAGCTCCTTCAAGCACTTCCAAAAGACGAAGCAAAGCACAGCACTAGGGAAGCCATCACATTCATTCGCGCTGGCATGACCCATCTCTCGGCTGATATTAGCAACGATTCACTTGGATTTTTGGAGTGGCTTCTTGATGTGGCTGATGACGACCTTGTCGGCATCCCTGGTGGATGGTTCAAAACTTTGACCACATTCTGCGTTATTATGGGCTGGTCTCCATCATCATCAGCGGCCGGATGGACATCGGCTCCAAGGACGGGGCCTCAAGCAAAGGGCGCCCAGGTCCTCGCACGCCAGATGTCATTATTGTCCAGGTTCATCCAGATAGGGATGAAGCCGGTTATCCCTGTTATTCCCAGTCGTCAAGATTACTGGGACAACCTTTACAGAATACCTCGCGATCCACATGCCTTTGAATACCTGAACCTCTTTGGAGGGACGCGAGACGAAGCGAACGAGATGCACACAACTCGAGAAGCAAGGCAGGAAGTTTTATCCCGGAAGTTCTTGGATCCCATTTCAAAGGGTATCGAGAGAGCGAAGAAGGAGGGCGGAGCAGTAGGTAGAGCAGCTACTGAACTTGATCAAGTATTGACGGATAGGATGCGAGACTATACTGCTTCAGAACTGATCACTGACCAATACTTATTGGATCTGTGGTAAAGAATATTGGCTGATACCCTCTGTAATAATCTCTATTAGAAGCAAAGCTCACAAAGGAATGCTTCTTCTTCTTCTCTCTTTTTTCTTGGCCTCTGGCGCACACACATATATTCACGGCGTATGATATAGGAAATTATTATTCAGCACCCCAGCTGTAGCTAATGTCTCGAAACTACAGCTGTTTTAATCTTCTTCAACTGCTCCTACTGCTTCAAGTGTTATATAGTTGCTAAATACTTCTTTTATATGGACTGACTGCCTCGTTAGGCCAAGGCTGGTCTGCTGGAAAACGAAATTGGGGCGCTGAAAAACAAGTCCCATTTTATAGCAAGGCTTGTTGTATTATTCATGCAATGGGTATAACAACACTGTTGATTCTGGAAAAATATGGGTAGGCCAAACTGGAGCACGCATTTGGCTTCCAACTCTGCTTTTGGTTGGCACAATATGAATAATATGCTTACCCGACATCGGTGGAAGCAAGCAAAGCCATATCGCAGCCAGGATACTCTACAATTCTGCAGCAGCCGTGTATAGAAAGGGTAAATGAAAACAAATTATTATCATTCCTGATATTATAGTCTAATTTCTTTCTTTCTTTTTCTTTTTCTTTTTTTCCTCCACAGTCGGAGGATATATTGGAAGTAAATGTACTTTTTGGCATCTCCATCTCTATGATCGGAGAGCTCAGCTGCCTCTCCTTCGGCCGCAGCTATTACCGGGGGACAGCACAAGTTAATATTCTAATAAAAAGATATAATGCGGTATTTTTGGCAGTGTATTATTTTATTATATCCTATTTACCTATTTGTTGACTGAGAGATTGTGCAGCTTCCCGTCAACACAGCCTCCTAATGCATGGATGTGGTATGCAGCTCGAAATGATCAAGTTTGAGACTTAGACTGTGTATATTTTTACTCATTAGAAAATCCAAAAAGAGATATCACTACGGTTACTCAATTTTATTTGCGCAGCTGTGTGACAGGTGGAATTCCCCATCGAGGCTTTATAGCGGATTATCCTCCTCGTCTAGGCGCTCTTCTCCCCTAATCTTCTCTTTTCTTCCCATCTATAGGCCTTTTGCTCGCCCCGAAGCACATATACTAGTGCATGTGGCTCACCGAAAGTTACTGAATGTCTAGAGGTTTATTTTGATCCTGAGGAAGCTCCCCGGTGCACGTGCAGCCGCTTCCTCTCAGCTATTTCAACATCTCCCACCTCTCTCTTCTTCTTTCCCTCCCTCCCCCCTCCCTCTTCTTTTCTCCAATGCCGCACGCTGTCAAACAGGTTCGTCATTTTGCCAGCACTTCTTGATCCTTCAAGTGAAGAGGCACTGTTGCATCAGTGCTTGACGTTTGAGATATCATCTCGCCAGGGCAGGTATTTTCATCTCTTGGCCATCTCGTCCATCCTTCCCAAGCATCTTCAGACCCGAGATTTCTTTTCTCTGATCCTACCATCGTTTTGTAGCCTCATATATACATCACTCTCTTCTGAGCTGCCTTGCATTTGTCAGTTCTCTTGCAACTACTCTGCTCCGCCCATTTGGGATTCGCCACGCCGTTGGTAGTTGTCATCAAGGCAGTTCATCTCCTTAGGAGATTCCTGTCAAGTGGCCTTTCACTTTTTCCTGAGCTAGTATTCAGTACTCTCTCACAGCCTTCCTAACACAAGACTCACGTCCTCCATCACTTCTCTTCGCAGAGCTTCATTTCCAGATTGGGTCACCAGTCTAACAAGGTACTAGTGCTTCCAACTTCTCGATCAACTCAGCATCATCTTGATTTGCAAGATGGCGGTTCCAGAAGACGCATCGGTCGCGGAAACTGGGGATCAGCCTGCTCCCACTGGCTGGGTCGAGCGCACAGCCTTCGACTACACTGCAATGGCCGAAGCTGAAACAGCTTCTACTTGGGACGGCAATGCTAGAGTTTACCAGTGGAAGGACGAATATGGAGACGTCGGCCCTGCTTTCGAAGAACTGGAGGTGGAACTGTTTGGTGATCCTGAGTCTCGCCGTGATCGCCAGACCGGTCTCGACTTCTCCAAGTTTGTTCTCAATCCCTTACTCAGGAATAATGCTAATCAAACAAGGATCGAGCAAATTGAGGTCATCCAGGAAGGACCACAGAGAATTGAGTATATCAAGACTTTCGCCGACGCCGGAATTCATCCGGTCATGCTAAAGAACATTGAGCTCTGTGGATACGAAGTTCCAACCCCAATCCAGAAATTCACTATCCCAGCCATCCTCCAGGGCTACGACGTGATCGGCGTCGCTCAGACTGGTAAGTACCTACATATCATTTCTATTATTGAACTTGATTATCTAACGTGACCCAAGGCTCTGGAAAGACTGCTGCTTATTTGATCCCAATTCTCAGCAAGCTCATGGGTAAAGCAAAGAAGCTAGGAGCTCCCCGACCCAATCCTGCCAGATTCCAAGAGGGAATTGATAATGTAATTGCCGAGCCACTTGTGGTTGTGGTAGTCCCTACTCGGGAATTGGCAGTGCAGATCTTCAACGAGGCTCGAAAGCTATGTTACCGATCCATGCTCCGGCCATGCGTTGTGTACGGAGGAGTTCCTGTCCGCGAACAAAGCGGCCTTCTTTCCCGAGGCTGTGATATCTTGATCGGAACTCCTGGTCGCCTTAAGGACTTCATTGGACGTCCTGAGGTCTTGTCTCTTCGCCGCTTGAAGTACATGATCATCGATGAGGCTGATGAGATGCTCAATGATGACTGGGAGAGTGAACTTCAGGCCATCCTCTCTGGCGCAGGTAAGGATTTTTCTCTCTCTTTTTCTTTTTCTTCGAGATGCTAGTCTCCATAGCTCGCTGATCGCTAACAAACTGTTCATTATATAGAACAAGACGTGGGCAATGTCTACTATGGTCTTTTCTCTGCCACCTTTCCTAAGGCTGCGCGAGACCTCGCAAAGAAGTACTTGTGTGATTCTCATGTGCGCTTCCGAGTTGGTCGAGCCGGCAGCACCACAGAGAATATAAAGCAGATGATCATCGAAGTTAGCCGAGAAACGAAGAATGAAACTCTTCTGACTCTCCTTGAAGAGATGAATGGTGTTCGCACCATCATCTTTGTCAATAGCCGTCAAGCTGCCGATACACTTGACGACTTTTTGTTCAATATGAAACTACCAGTCACTTCCATCCATAGTGACCGCACACAGGTTGAACGAGAAGCCGCTATGCGAGCTTTCAGATCCGGCCAAGCCCCCATTCTCGTCGCGACTGGAGTGACAGCCCGCGGCATTGATGTCCGCAACGTTATGCACGTCATAAACTATGACCTGCCATCGATGGAATATGGCGGTATTGAAGAGTATACTCATCGAATTGGTACGCTTTGACTTCCTGATATTAGCTCCTCAGTCCCTAGTCAAATATTTTTATGGCAATGGCTAACCCTCTGTCTAGGTCGTACCGGTCGCATTGGCCACCGAGGTGTTGCGACTTCCTTCTTCACTGAACGTGATGAGCCCCTTGCAAGCGTCCTCACTAGGACTCTGCTAGAAACCAATCAGGATATACCCGACTTCCTTCAGGCGTATGTCCCAGAAAATTGGGCCAGCGGATCCAAGGTGAAGTTTGAAACCGAGTCTGATTTCGATCCCAACGATGTTGCAGGTGCTGGCAGCTGCGAGGCTGATGGTGCTGAGGCTGGAGGCTGGAATGGAGATGACAGCGGCCATGGTGATTCTGGCGGCGCTTGGGGCGGCTCCGGAGCAAACGATGGAGCTGGTGATGGCGAAGCTGTCAACTCTGGCGATGGCTGGAACCAGGGAGCCTCTGATGATACTGCTTCTGGAGGCACTTGGGGAACCGAAGCTGCTCAGCCAGCTGCTACGGGTACGTGGTGAGCGTATATCTTACTTCGTAATTACCGAACTACTACGACAGAGTCTTTTCTTTCTGAACAATTTGAGGGTTATAACTAGGGCAAACGGACAATACTAGGGATAAGGATTTTTAACAAGGTTAACAGGGAATCATAGCTGAATCATCAGAGTATCTTGAAGGTTTATCAAGAATAGGTAGATTAGCTATGATAATTCAACCTGAAATTTGCTACTATTGACTTTACGAGCTATTGATAAAGTGATTTCGAGCAATAAAACTAGTAGCGAACAGAGAACTGGTAGCAACTGGCATTTGCTGATATAGCTGGGTGCTGCTTAGGTGATGAATGCGTCCATTATGATTACAAATTAACATTGGGTGATAAATATACATGAATTGCCTGCGATTCCGCTTTTCTCGCTGAATCGCACCACCTCATCTTCCAATAAAGCCAAGTAAGTCAGACATCTATTCTATTATACGATACGCTCACATATTCTTCAAGATTTTAGTCACACCAGCGAATTTTCTAGCCGACGCACCGTATCCCACCTCCACGACGCCCTGAGTAAATCGCCAAGAACGATCCTGGCTCGCGATAGGGTACTGCACGGGGGGAGGAATGGCAGTCTTGACACCCAGCCAGCCGAAGCGGTCCTCGCAGACGGCCTTGATGTTGCACAGGCCGCGGAGTCCTTCCTCGCCCGCGAAGCGGCCGTAGCCAGAGCCAGCGACGCCGCCAAAGGGGAGCTGGACGGCGTAGTAGGCGGCGAAGTCGTTGACGGCGACCATGCCGGCCTTGAGACCGCGGACGATGGGCTGCAGGGCGGGATCGCGCTCTGAGCCGTGGACGGAGGCACCGAGGCCGAAGTCGGGGGCGTTGGCGACGGCGAGGATGTCCTCTGCGGAGGAGGACTTTGCACGCAGCATGGTGAGGACGGGGGCGAAGCATTCGTTCTGGGCGATGCGCATGGAGGGGGTGACGTCGACAAGGAGCGTGGGCTGGAAGTAGTGGCCTTTGGGGTGGTCTGGGTGGGCGTAGCGTTTGCCACCGGCGAGGAGGCGGGCGCCCTGAGAGACGGCCTCTGCGATGAGCTCTTCGAGGCGGGTGAAGGAGGCGTCGGAGATCATGGCGCCCATGTCTGCATCGGGGCCGAGGCGGATGGCCTTGACACGGGGCTCTAGCATTTCGATGAGACGGTCGTAGACGGCGCCTGAGGAGATGACACGTTCAATGCCGATGCAGTTCTGGCCGGCAGCTTGAAAGGTGCCCCTGAGGATGATGTCGCGGATACGAGGGAGGTCGCCGTCTTTCCTGCCTCCGGCGGACTCGAGAACAATGAAGGGATCTTTGCCTCCCAGCTCGGCGACGACGGGCGTGAGGCTCTTGGCGGCGCTGGCGGCAACGTGGTGGGCGACGGTCTGAGAGCCGATGAAGGTGATGTGGCTGATGCCAGGGTGAGACGTCAAGTGGCCAGCAGTCTCCGGCCAGCAAGCCACCATCTGAACAAGCTCGGGGTCGTGGCCGTGGACGCTGAGGGCGCCGCGGGCGATGTCGAGGAAGTAGCTGCTTGACCAGGCCGTCTGTTCAGACACCTTGACCACGATGCCGTTGCCGCTGAATATCGCGCTGATGATGGGGCCCATCAGGTTGTGGAAGGGATAGTTCCAGCTGACCAGCGCGGCCACCACGCCCAGAGGCTCGTAGTGCACCGTGTTGCGTTTATATGCCATGAGCAGGTTGGTCGGTCTGCGGGACGGTCGGAGGGCCTTTTCGCCGTGGGTGAGCGTCCACTGGATCTTCTCGACGGTGACGAGGATCTCACCCAGCTGGGCGTCCACCATGGTCTTGCCGCTGTCCAGGCCGGCGATGTTGCAAATCTGCTCGGCATTGTCCATGACATACTTCAAGAGCGACCGCAGCACGGCTTTGCGCTGCTCAAAGGTCGTATTGGCCCATTTCTTTTGCACCTCTGCCGCGGCAGCAATTGCCTTGTCGATGCCATCTTCGGTGGTGGCTTCGACGGCGCCGAGGAACTGTCCCGTAGCGGGCGCGTAGCATTGAATGGCTGAGCTTCCGGGGATCCTTATGCCGGTCTGCTTGACGGTCGTTCCCTTGTCGGGCAGCGTTGGCGGATACACGAGGTACCATCGGGAATCGGACTCCCAGGACGCATAAGCGAAGGCGGCGCCTGCTCGGACGATGAGGCCGCAAAGGAGAGAAGCGAGAAGGACGAAGGAGGCTTGGAGGAAAACAGGTCTGCAAAGACAAAATGACATGTTAGTTTTTGCTTTCCTCGGTAACAGCTGTATATGAATCAACTGCTAATATCAAGCATGGCGGAGACACGCACGAAATATCAAGCTGGGAGCCCAAGTGGCTGCTCGGGCCGCCTGCAAACGAAGCCAGCTGCCCCACGAGACGCTCCATTGCCTCGCATCCGTCTGAGCCGCCTACAGATCAGATGGCAAAATAGGCACGCACGGAGAGGGGAGAGTAGGGAGAGAAAAGAAAGAGAGGATGAGGTGGTCTAAAGGAGAGGATCGGACGATTCGCTGTTGGAAAGTCGTCTGAATTAAGCTGCAAAAAGGTGGGGTCTGCCTAGTTTAGTCAGGCACCCTGTCAAGAGGCATTGTCCAATAAGACTGCAGTGCTTCAACTTGTATATGGACAGTATATACGCATGTTCATAATCGGAAAATCAGCTTCAACTACATCCACGGACTACCAACCTCACAGAGAGAAAATATGATAATGCAAAGCCGTCATTAAAATGCATGCATGTGTATATATAAAAAGCTTCTTCAATTTCCACCTCGCAAAGGAAACAAAAGTTACTACTTGTTACTAATAACTAAAATCCATGCCACAACCACCACACACATCATATCCAGGCTTTATTCGGGGCCAATCTCTCTCTCGAGCCACCTTGCCCAACGCCAAGCCCCCTTTCCAAAGCAAAAGCAGCTTTGTGTGCATTTGCTCTTCTTAATACACTTACAAACATTCAAGAAAAAGAAAGCAACCAAGAAAAAAAGGAATAAATAAAAAGGACTGTCTCTCTTCAACCTCCTCGCTCTTTCCCGTCTCTTACTCCGTCCGTGCAATCAAACGCACAATATGTTGTTATAATAGTAATGATAAAGGGGGAAATATACTCTTTGAGGGAATGGGAGGGTTTGCGTCGCTACTCATCTCTAGAATGCAGAAAAAAGGCCAGAAATGAAGGAAGCGAAAAACAGTGCGGGAAAAACAGGATTGAAGGAAAATATAGTGAAGAAAAAGCAGTGGAAGCAGAAAAAGAAAAAGAAATATAATGCATCGTTCAACCAAACAAAGAAAAGGGTAAAAAGCCAAAAAAAGAGGTAAAACAATCCCATAATCTCCCGTTTCCTTTTCAAACGCCATGCAAATATCAAGCCTCCTCTCTGTATAAAGAAGGTCCAGACAACCACGTCTCTTTCGGCTCTTCTTTCTCCTTTCTTTCTTTCTTCTCCTTCTGCCACGGCGGGCAGGCTTCATAATTGTTTGCAGGCGTTACAGCATTGATATGCACCGCGACAGAAAAGCAACTGGGCGTCTCAATGCGCGCCTGAACGCAGGGTGTCGTTAACAGAAATGGTTATAGGGGTAGCAATTCATAGATCGCTCATGCAAATCATCAAAAGCATGAATGCCTTAATACAGTTGCTTGAATATCAAGCATCATGCGTCGGGAACATTTTAAAAACAATTAGAACAAACGGAGAAGTAGGGGGTAAGGAGACTGGTCGTAATGCAGATATACAACGAAGGGAATTTTCCTGAAGCACTCCAGTTCCGTGCCTATACATTGGCGCTCTTGGTTAATGACAGCCCACGCAATCTTGCACCTAGACCTGCGGCTGCATGTGACTGGCTTGATTCGATACGAGACAGCCTTGCAGCAGAGGTAAAGTCGCTGCTCGCCTCGTAGCTATACCGTATGCGGTCCATGGATTGTCGCATACGATCATATGACGGTCTCGCCCGATCCATGCTTGGCCGCGTAGTCGTCGGTACTTCGAGAGAGTAGCGAGTCGCTGGCGCTTCCATAGAGTAGCGGTTGCCGGTGTAATTCGTGCTGTCGCTGCCTGTCTGGCTGTGGCCGATTTGCGTGGTCGTTCGTGTCACTGTTGAGGGGGGGTATATTGGGCGCAAATCCTCATCAACGCTAGCATATTGGTTGTGATTTCCCCGCGAGCTGCCGGATGACTTGGATTTCTGGCTCTTTTCGTCGCTGACTGCATCAATCGATTTGCTCTCTGCGTTCAGGTGAGCAAAGGCACCCAGCCTTTCCTGCTCTCGAACAATGTCGACATCATAAGGGAAGAAGACCTTCTGGATAGACTTGATGACAAATCTTGGGAAGAGGCAGATGACAGGGACAAGCACAAAGACAGCCCAGAAAGTGGCCTCTCCATATATTTCCTTGGCCGCTCCATAAAACTGGTCAGATGAAGTAAATGATGTGTAAATGCCCGTCCAGAAGAAGATGAAGATGTCACTGAGGAAAACAATGAGTAGCATGAGCCAATCCCATCGATAGGTGTTCATCAGAATGTAGGCGTTGATCGTCAGAACAGCGGGGTGCGCGATATATACTCCAAGGCGGAATCTATCATCAATAACCAATCCGTTTTCGGTCACAGGTCGTGCAGGCATAAATAGTAAGTACGGGATGTAGAAAACCATGATGGACTGATAAACACCGTCAAGCATGTACAACCTATGGAATTGTCAGTAAAAGATACATTGTGCCTCAAGAAGTTTAAAGAAAAGAGAAGAGGGAGGGGGGACTAACCAAAACTTCTTCTGTGTCCATTCCAAGCGTTCAATACCACGGCGATACAATTGCGGCACGGCCAACGAGACGGCATCCGAGACGTCCTGATCAAGAACACCCATAATGGCAACTGGCACCGAAGTGAAGAACAGATTAAACATCAGAATGTAGGTGTAGTCAAAGAGGTATGTCATATCAAAGTTGGTGTAGATGGAGAACCAGAAGATGCTGAAAGTCCAGACCAAGTTCTTGTAGAAGAAGTTTGGAATAGACTCTCCCAAGCGACGGTACGACCAACGTCCATGAACGAGCACCAGGCGTTGCAAGAACCGGAACTGCGCAATTGCATAGTCAGAAGACATGGCAGCCTGTCGACCTTCGACACCAGCAATACCAACACCGACATCAGCCTCTTGAATCATGGCAACATCGTTGGCGCCGTCACCAATGGACAAGGTCATGACATCCAGTCCGTTCTTGACCATGGAAACGACAGCGGCTTTTTGCGCAGGGCTGACACGGCAGCACAGAACAGAGCGGCACTGCTTGCAGAGCAGAAGGAACTTTTGCATCAGGCGCTCATTCAAGGCCCATCTAAGGGTGAAACCATCAATGACCAATCCATGCGTGGGAGCCGGGGGCTCGTGGTTCTTCATAGCAGCAGCAAGATCTTCGTCGTTACCAGTCAAGCCAAATGTTCGCAGATTCTCGTCCAGAGACTTTTCGATGAGACCAATGAAGACATCTTCGGCACCTACGCCTTCAGCAGCGTCCTCTTCGACCTTAATGTGAATTAGCTCCATGTCGTTGTTGAGCAAGTTACAGGAGAAACCAATGTTGATAGCAGTCTCGACCTTGTCGCCAGTCAAAACCCAGAGTTTGATACCGGCCTCGCCCAGCAGCTGAATAGTGTCGGGAACGCCATCTTGGAGACGATCTTCGATAGCGGTACCACCAAGAAGCATAAGATCCTGCTCAATGAGCTCGGCGACGGCCTCAAGCTTCTCCTCACGGTCTTCAAGAGCGGCAGCGGCGATATCGTGTTCCTTTTTCCAAGTACGGTACTCCTGTTCAGTGAGCTCCTTTTGGGCGATACACAAGGTACGCAGACCCTCGCGAGCAAACATTTCCAAGTGCTCGGCAGTGACCTGTCGCAGTTCCTTTTGCTCGCCTCTCTTGAGCCGAGCGTAGATGACGGAGTCGGCACCCTTGCAAAACAGCATAATTCGACCGTCAGGCATGCGGATAATGGTACTCATTCGCTTTCTAGTGGAGTTAAACTCGATGGTGTTGAGAAGCGGGTAGTGACGATCCTCGCCCATAACATTGACATTGATGCCATCCGAATTGTTACCCAGTACAGTGAAACCCATGTCGCGGGCGGTAGCAACCAAAGCTTCTTCATCGGGAGATTGCGCCTTGAAGTTCATGATTGGCGGATCACCAGGAGTGCGTTCGGCTATCACGGTGTGGCAAAGAGCCAGAGCGAGCATGAAGTTTTCGTTGGCTTGCTGTTGCTCGGTTCCATGATGACCAGCTAAATCGGCAACAAAGTCGGGGGCAATAAAGGTGACAGCATCGTCATGGAGATAAGGATTGTCATGAATTTTGCGGAGGCCAATGAGCGCTTGCACTTTAGCTTCAGCGATCTCGCCAAGAATCCTCTCAGTTTCCTTTTCGATATCGACACCAAGGCGCTTCTGCATACCGGCTTGGGCTTCGGTCCAGGCTTCACCGTATGGCTGTCCGTTGATCGTAGCTTTCTTGAACTCCATGACGTTTTGGGTAAGAGTTCCCGTTTTGTCCGAGAAGATGTACTCGATCTGTCCAACATCATCGGAGATGTTCCAAGTTTTAGGGACACAAGGTTGATCGATCGGCTCGTAATACATTTGCACATCGCTGTAGATGAAAATTGCCTGCAAGGTTCGAATAATTTCCAGAGTAATGTATAGGGAAATGGGGATCAAGTTCTGGAAGACGATGATTGCTGCCCAGAAGGTGACGAAACCAGTGACACCAGGACTTCCGCCAATGGAGCCAAAGTCAAAGAAATACAGTGAGGCATCCGTTCTAGACCAGGCCACACCGTTGATGATAGCCGCAAGCAAACACATGATGGAGAGGATAATAAAGTTGATAATAACGGTCCAGTTCATTTCACGGGCAATGCGCGATCGCTTGCTAGGTGTCAAACCAGCGTTCATCATGATTTTGGTGTCGTGTCCGGTGAAGATGACAACGCCCAAGATCCATTCGGTGTTTCGCAGGTTGCAGCCACGTAGCATCAAGTTGTCAATGGTGATGGCCTCGGTCATCTCTTCAGGCTCTTCATCCAGATATCCGGGGATCTTTTGCTGCCATCTAATAGCACCGTTGTACTTGTACAAATTAGGTTGAGGCTCCTCGCTCTCGATGCGGAACTGGGCACGCTCGCAGTCACGGGCATGTTTAATGCCACGGCCGCAGCGGAGAGCCTGTCGAACCTTGAGGTTGGTTTCGCCGTCCAGGTTTTTCGTTTCGACATAGCAAGCGCCGTCGGGGTCGGAGGTGGATAGGATGATGACATCAGCAGGGAGCTCATCATCCTTGTAGATACGCACGAAATCTCCGACCATCAGGTTTTTCCAGGTATCCTTTCCAAAGCGGGCACCTTTAGGTTCGATATCATAGTTGATCAAATCCGACTTCATGATAGCAAGGGCCGAGGCTCGTTTCACGTCCTCCTCATCGGGTTCGAACTGGATGGCGTTAGGAGTAGGTGAAGAAACAGGCGTCATCTGAATATCATCCGGGTTAGAGATGTAGGACTCGCGGCGTTCAAACGGTGATGCCATGGATTCACGATGCGTTCTCCTAGTGCGGACAGATTCAATCGAGGCTCGGGGTTCGTCTTCGATGACGGGCATTTTGCGTCTCTGGCGCTCAGCCTGAGCCTTCTTGGACCATGTGCTCTGAATAGCCCACCAGATGCGCCCGAAAAATCTCGAATTAGCTTTCTTAAATCTTCTCCAGGCGGATACATTGTCCTCTTCGACGTTGACGTTGTTCCAGTTATGAAGACGATGGACAGGGGCATTGTTCAGTTCGTTGTCGAGCATGGTTCTCCGGTAGTCTTCGATGGCATCCTTGACGGAGGTAAGAGCAACGATAACAATAAGGGGAACGGCGTTCAGTCCTGGGTTAACAGTGCCGAAAATGGAGAAGGCCTATACAAGAGTTAAATAAAAAGATTCTTCAAGTTAGATAGGGTTGAAGGCGAAACTAGGACGAATTAAAGGTTTGACAGATATACTTACACCTAAGATGATCGTGAACAAGAAAAAGATGTTGGCAATGTTGTGAAATTGAAACCAAATGTTCTTTGGAATGAACGAGAGAGGAGTGTACTTGGCAGTTCGAATCTTGTTTCGCGGGTACTCGGCGATGGGGTGGCCTTCTTCCAGCATGTCATCGGGGAGCGGCAAGTTGAAGTACAGTTGGCGATTCTCCTTGTCGTCATTAGAGCCGTCATCGGACTGGGCGGTGGTTTCTCCGGTAGGCTTGATGTCCTGATCGTCTCGACCATCATCACCGCCAGGGTTCTGCTCTGGGGCACCGCCTCGTCCGCTGCGGCGCTTCTCACTGGCGCTGGAAGTCGTCCTGTTGTGCTGCATGCGATTGAGCAGCGACATGCGTTTCGTCGCGCTGCTCTTGACCGTCATCTTTCGGGTAGCCCATCTTGCCCTCTGCGTCTTGGTCAGCTTCGATTTGGGGCTGCTGCTGCCTTCCGCTGGAGGAGGCGGCGGCGGCGGCACTGAGTCGCTCATTGTGGCTGCGATGTCGCGGGCAATCGCCCGTTCAGCCGTGAATGGCCAGCCAGGTCGGGAATTGGAAGATTCGGCGTCAAAACGAGTGACGGAGCCAACGATGGAATAGTCGCTTCGAGGTAATCGATATTAGGAGGTTCGACGAACACGATCGGGGGGGAACAGACACGGCCCAGGGTCGAGGGCACGCTTCGAGGCGAGCAGCGAGCGAGCGTTTGCGGGAGAGGAAAGTCGCGAGACAGGAGAAGGGACCCGTTGAGGTGCAGAGGCTGAAGCGCACCGGGGCTCGACAAAGGACGTCGATGATGCACGTGTCGTCGCGGGCGACAATGAAGTTGGAGGATGAGGGAGGCGGAGAATAGTGCAGGAGCAGGAAGGAAAGTGAAAGGGTAAGGTATAGATGGATCTACTAGTATCGCCTGTAACGTGGGCTGGGTGACGGGAAAAAAAAGTACATGTAGCCTTTAGCGGAGGTTACGGCGCGCTGTTGACGTTGGACTGGCTTAGTTCCCGGACCATCCGACCGACCGAATCCGATGGCGCAAACACGACGATATTCGAACCCCACACCAGAGGATGTCGTAAAAAAAGAGAAGAGAGTATCAGAAGGGGAATGCGAAGGAGAAGAAGAGGGTGCAGCGGGTTTAGCGCATGCTGGGGGGGCTGGCGCTTCTTCTGTCTCTGGCCGTGTCTCTGTCTCTGCAGTCCATACCTGGAGCTGCGAGAATATGCATGGCCACGAAATTGGTCAGCATGGGGACTTGCTCGCCGATGAGTCCGCACCGTTCCCCAAGGTATCCCCTAGCGGCCAGTACCTACACAGGTGACGGACCGGCTGTGTGTAATCCATGTTGCTGGGCCTTCTAAATCGGTGCATCAGCGCAACGTCGTCATCGCGCCTAGTGCCGCACGCCCTGATTGTACTTGGATGCAGCAGCCGCTGCTCACACTACTCTACTGTAGGCAATACTATCTCGCTCAGCACATCCAAACGTGCACCGGTGTGCAGTAGCAGCAGATCCGGCCTCGTAGCCTCTTCGCTTTTCCGCTTCTTTTCCTTTGAGCTCTCCTGCACCTCGGCCACGGCCTTGTCCGTCCGCGAGCATTGCGATTCTGCGCCGACGGCACGGAGCACGGGTGATTGCTAAGACAGCGATCCAGAGGCCAGATCGCCCTGACCCCTTGAAGCGTGCCTACTGCCTAGTACCTATATTTGTACCACCTACTGTGGGCTAATCACGACAGTTCCTGGCCCATGTCCCACGAGTAATGCATGCCTCAATTCTTTCGCCAATCGCTGCGTGTACTGTTCACGCAACGCTTTTGCAGCATTGCTTTGTCGGGCGGTGGAGTGCGGGCCCCTCCCCGGAATAAGGCGGCGCCCACTGTGCACGGAGGACAGCAGCACTTTATGTCCGGCAGAGGTAGAGCACCCAGCGAGGTACTTCCAAGACCGTACGGACAAGATGCACGGAATACGGACTTGAGCCCCTGGTTTCTGGCTCTTGACTTGCCTGAAGCACCGGATGGCCAGCGGGCTGGAGGTACCTAACCAGCCACCGGCAGGGATGTCCTCAGCCTGCGCTACAGGTACCACGTTCCTATTACAAGCAGGAGCTGCGTCAAAATCGCTACCTGCACGCAACACGGGATGCATCCATCTGCAATGCTTCAAAGGCGGGCTGCTTTGTTTGGTAAGCCTGTCCGCGGAGTGCCAGACTCGCGCTAGCAGGCCCAGACATTAAAGAAATTTTTAAAATTTTCCTTCTTCCTGTTTAGCCTCATTGGCTTTTTTTTTTTTTTGTCTTTGTCGTTCCTCCATCTTTTTTAAACTGTGGCGTCGACGCCTCCTGATCGACTACGGAGTGTACGACAGCCCCAATTGTCATGAGGCGCTCCGCACAGCCTAAATTAAGAGCCTGGCGGAGGAGGAGGCAGTGTCTGCACCACCACGGGAGCCGCTGAAGCAGCGAAGCAGCGGGTAAAACCAAGGCTAGGAGGGGCAGAAAACGCCGTAAATACGAGGCTCCGTCATCGAGGTTGTGGCTTTGCTTACACAAGCCGCCTCAACGTGGATGTGTCAGCTCCTTGTGGCAGCAGTTGACTGACGGGCGCAATTAGTTATCACCAAATAAGCGGCGCTAGCTGATTCCAAGGTTTTCTGTGTTGCCGCTGTCACTGAGTCGCTGCCGAAAGGCGCCTGGCAGAGTGTTCGGCAGAGGCTGGCGCTACGCTCCGAGGTCATCGCCACACAGATGCATGTACGAGTGCCCGCGCAGGGACGTGTCTTGCCTCACTGGCCACAGCGAGCAATCTTCAAGTGCGTGCAGCAATTCGTCGGGAATAGGGGGCTCGTCCACTGCTGAGACAGCGGATTCCTCCCAGGGGACTGCGAGTGGGGGTGTGCTCTGCGGTGCTCGTCCAGTGCCAAGTACCTACTGGTTCAGAGCGAGTGTTCAGGCCTGCACCAGCAAATTACCTGTCGTGGCCCTTGTCTATCGCGATACGATGCGGACGAGTGCCGCTGTGAGATGGGCCTCGCAATAGTCCGCGCGTAATAGAGGGCCCTTATTTATTTTTGGAGGGGCCACGACGACTCTCAGCACTTTGTAAACAGCACTTACGCCGTGCTACTATACAGCTGCTACATGCCGCGTGCGCGACATGCTTGAGGCTTTGATGTACCACTTATAGATACTACCACTTATAGTATCTAATACCCATCAATTTCCTATTTGACAATGATGCATTGCACAATGCTGCAGGCACGTGGGCACTTGTATTTGACGCCGACTCCAAACATTCTCGCCAAGCTAATGCCACGCATTTTTCGTCCCATGGAATGCTTGTTTGTAGTATTATGCCAAGCGCCGTATTCTCCATCGGCTACTGCCAAGTTGGGAAATTGTCTACCTTTGACTGCAGCTCTCTCTCATCAGCCTCAATAAAGTGCTCACGCGAATGCAGGTTGGCAGCAAGCTCTACATTAGCACATAAAAATCGCAGCACGGGAGCTGACTTGGACGAGAGCTCAAGAACGATTGGTGGCCGTGCCGCGAGAACCCCTTTTTGGGGGGCCGCGGCCGCTCTGCACCCAAAGCTCCTCGCTGGTTCGACTCACATGCGTCGTGAATAGCATCAGTCGCCCATGTATACGAACCCCCAGCAACGAGGGCCTAGCCTTTTTGCTCCGCTCCTTCGAGAGCCCTCTTTCCCACGCCAGACCGAACCTGGCTTGCCCGCCTCGTGCCGACCTAATTCGTACGGAAGGGAAATTTGGCGATGGCGCCAAGAGGGTCTGTTCAGGGGTGGGTTCCACGGAAAGTCGTCGCTTCAGCCAGGGGTTCGAGCAATGCAAGTCACTCCTCTGCGGAAGACCCAGCAGTTGAACTGCATATACTGTACTTGTACAGTAGCAGCCTAGCATGCTAGTTCTCCGTACTACTTTTTAGTATTAATGCTTGGCCTTGCCTGTTCGTGCTACTGTAATACCTAGACTGGATGCACTTGCAACCACTGTTGGAGATGTCAATTTCGGAGTTTGGAAATGATCCCGGCATACAGGACTGCTGCCCATACAATTATATTCCCGATGCATCGCTCTTAATATTGGCGCGGACTTTGGCCATCTTTCCAGTCCCGTCGTCGTCGCTACTCTCATGTTCCTGGCCGGTACCCGCGGTCTTCGAAGCGGCCGGTTACCGGAAACTGTCCTGAGCTATCCCATCGTATCTCGTCCTACTGGCACAAGGCCTTCTCCGCCAGAGTGCGTAGCCGAAATAAGGCCCAGCCCAAATTTCAGGGATGGCATGAGCTGCCTACGCGCAGATCTGGCCGCTACCTACCACTGTCCGGCTGCGAAAGGGGAGACGAACCAGGTTTGTGACTTTCTCTCCTGCTTGGCTGCGTGCGTTCTGCCTTGCTTGCTCACTTTATTGGATCTCTACTATCGCACTCCCTGCCCGGTCCAGACGCGAAAAAGCTTGTCGAAGCTTGGCCAGCATACGTACTCCATTATTCGCAATTACTTGGCATAGGGGCGCAGAGAGTTGTTTCGAAATTAGCCTCCACCCCTTCGCTGGGATATCAGATCTCGCAAACGGTGGACTCCGAAGTTCATGTACTCTGTACTACAAGTTTTTGCGTGATAAGGAGCATGTGAGACATAAATTTTGGTTGTACCATTTGCTCAAGCTTAACTGAGGCTGGGGCTGCGGCATGTTCCTCATGCACATCCAGCCTCTTTCACTACGTTCGAATGAGAGACATTTGTCTTGTTTAGCGCGTGGCACTGGCCTCTCCAATCCTCCATGCCATAGCTCGATACACTCGGTAGCCAGTGGCATACTACTACTTAGTAGTAGTACTAGCATCTCGGGTTCGGGTGTCAGCAATCGCGCGTCGTCATTAAAACACACTTCATTCCCCGTCCAAGGTTTGTGTTAGGGGGCATAGCCCTACAAGCGGCGTCTCACGTTGCGGCATGGCTAGAGATCCTCCAGGTACGGCGTAGCATTACGGAGCCCGAAAGGAGATTAACGGACAAGGCAGACCGATCCTCCAGAGTCGACCAACGGATTGCCATGCTCCGAATTGAGCTGAAACACGGTTGTGTAGCCGCTCACCTGCTACCCTGCATTTGCTATTTTTTGCCATTGGAAAGACAGATCAAAATATTTAAAAAAAAAAAATACTCTGTAGTGGCTTAGAAAGACTTTGTGGGTGATGACTGGCGTTCTACCTAGGTTCGACGTTAAGGTGGTGGGATATTGCCTGAGAACTGTAGTCGTAATGACGGCTTGGATTCGCCCGCTGTCTGTTCGCAGGACCTTGCATTTACAAGACTAACTTGAAAAGCCTAATGCCACCGTCTCTCATGTCAGCAAAGCTCTTGGCAGAGGCTGCTGTCAATTGAATTTGTCTCGCACCCGGCAGGATACGAAAAATTGCGTGCGGATCTTGTAGATCTCCAAGGGATCAGTCACATGGCGATCTTCAATGGCACGGGCACTTTTGGGCGAACGATGCTGAGCTCACATGGGAAGAAAACAAGTACTGTATGTACCAAAGTTCCCTGTCCAGATCGGCCGTCGCCTGCGCCACATCTGGCGATCAGGTAAGCCAGGATGCTGCGCCATGAAACATCAACAGGTGGGCGCTAATTGGCTGGTGGGACTCTGCTTTCACGACGAACCTCACTTCAGGGCATCTCACTCAGCTCAGCGCCCAAGGATTGTCAGCTATCAAGCGCCACAACAATAGCAACAGCATCAGTGGATAGACATCACCGACAAGGCGCGGCAACTGCCCAGCCATGGCTGGAAAACCGAAGGGGAATAAGAGCATCCTGTCGTACTTCCAGCCTTCCTCTCCGCCATTGCCGTCGTCCCAGACCTCGGCGCTATCATTCAGAGATACGTCTCCACCGGCGCCGTCATCGCCGCTCAGCTACAAGGCTACACCTGTTGCAAAGAAGGTTGCTCCCCTGGAAATCGGCGCATCTGACGAAGAGGCTGGCGATGAAGGATTCTCGGATGACTCTCTAGAAGATCTATCAGCTCTTCTGGGGCGAGAACGGCCCGGTCACACCCCTCCAGCAAACCAGGCTTCATTTTCTACCCCAAAGGCCAAGAGGACAGCAATAGGACCTTTTTTGTCTCCGTTTGCCAATAAACCCAAACACAAATTTGATCTCAAAGCCCTAGCCAAGGATGCACGTCGGGACAATGCCCTAAATGCAAGCTCTATGAAAGCGAAAGCATCTGCAGATGCCGCGACTGAGCCCTCATCACCACTACGGGGAGAGGCGTTTGACCTTGCTTTTACTGATATCGTCAAAGAAAAGAGCGGGCAAGATGCTCACAAAGTTCTCAGGGCTGTCCAAAGAGCAGAGCCAATACAGTCTCAGCCTCAATACTGTTTCTTTACGAAAGACTACGGAGTCCTGCCGAGCTCGCCTGTTCCAAAATTTCCTCGAGGTTCACCATGGAACTTGTTAACTCAAGGCAATCAAGCAGCCAGAGAACGAAATCTTACGTCTGGCATCCCACAAAACATCTTGGCGAAGAAGGGAGGCTTGCCGGACTCTCTATTCGAGTGGATCTTGGATGAGCTCTGTATTCAGAGGTCTTCCCTTGTAAGACGCGAATACTGTATTATCATCGACAGTTGCCACGATCAAGTGGAAAGGCTCCTGACTCCTGAGCGATTGGAGGACCTCTTTCTTCGACTCGGTGCTACCGACGAGATCAAAATTCGAGATTCTGAGATACCCATCTCGAAATTGAATCAAGAGCCATATCAGGATCGCGACTGGTCATGTCTGGAGTCATTCTTGGTTCTTTTATCTGAAGTCTCAGACCATTTATCAACGGAATCTGTCATCTATACAACGCTTACTTTACTTCGGATGTCTATGGATAAGCTTTTGATCTACAACATCGACCTATTAGTAGCATACGAAGAGGCAGTCGAACAGCTAACCAATGCAATTCCTCGCTCATTATGGGATTCGTTTGTAAGTAGCTCTCTTTCTAGTACTCTTTACAACTACTCCTAAGTGCTAATCCACCTAGTGTGTTGACGCATGCTCAACCTTGCACGCCACAGTCAAGATTCAGCATATTAGAGCGAATGCTTTGCAATGCCTACCTATTCACAATATCAGAACACATGAAATCCGGAGAAGACTTGCAATTTCATTCTTGTTTGACGACCCTAGTCTAGGTCGCCAGTCTCCTGAAATAGTGTTTACTGTCAGAAACGTCATTAATCGCCTCGGCGAGGAAGATTTCAATATCACTTCACAAACGGACTTTGCGGAGCTCAAAGCCATGATGACCATTCTCGATATTGCGGTTGATGATGGATCGCCGCCCGAATCAAACAGTCCAGAAGATATCCAGCAGTTTAATGAAGATATCGACGAGCTCGCCACAAAGCTCAGAGAGATTTGGCGCAAGATTAATGATTCAGGCATGAAGATTACGCGCACTGAAGCGAAAAGTGTTGTCGAATGGGTCCAGCAACGCCTATCTAATACCGTTCGGACGCGCAAAAAGGCGAAGCAGAGTATTTTTGATATTCCGGGCCAGGAGGACCTTGCGTCTCTGCCCAAGCAGCAGGAGTACATGGCCAAGTTTTTCAAGAAGATACCCAAGCCGCAAGCAGAAAGTGATTAAAACAAAAAGAACAGCATTTTTGTACCTAATGTTATATGACATTGCATTGAGGGATGTGAGAAACATTTGGCGTTTAGAGAGGATACATTGGGCGGCCTGCGGGCCTGAGGATTTGCTTCAATGAATATTTGATTAGAACGAAAAACTTAGCTTTGTAATGACATATGATACAACATCTAAGCTAGAAAAAAGCACAGACTAAGTCGACAAAATGCATGCCTCGGAGTTTTCAACATGCTGGCCCCTCTACTCTCTTCTACTCCCCACATCCTTCCCTCTTTTCTCCAATCAAAGGTAATAAGATATATGTTGCCAAGTGACTGCCGGAGTAAATCTAATCGTAGTATTTGCGGTTGGGGTTCTTTCCAAATAGGCTCTCTCGTACGGCCGGCGCCGCAGCGTGTTCTAGCAACTGCAATCGGGCCTCTAGGGTGTTGTCAATGTCAATCTTTCCCTTTCCGCTGAGGATGATGATACCGCCGGCACTGCAGTGAGTATTAAAGTTAGTAATTCAACTCGCCTCATGAACATCAATGGGCCGGCTCTGCAACGTACATTGAATCATCCAGGGGATTGGACTCGTCAATTGTGGCGGAGACATCCTTGCCAACCTCCTTCTTGTACTCCTTGGCCGCCTCCTCAACGGCCTTCTTGACGGCATCATAGTCAGACTTCTTGGCCCGAAGTTGCACCTCCGGCTCGTTCATAGCGTAGAAGCCCTCCAGAACGAGCCCAGTCAGCGTCTTCTGGTACTTGGCCTTGTCCTTGACCCCCGAGGCGAGCTGCTTCCGCGCCTCGTCGAAGATGTCGTCGAGCAGCTCCTGCCGGGCGCCGAGGACCTTGAGCCGTGTCTTGTTGGCGACGGTCGACCGGGTGATCTGCTGAGACATGGTGGCTTGCTTGAACTTCTTCTCGTACTGGGTGTCGATGGCGTCGGTCTCCTGGCGGACGAGCTTTGACTTTTCGATCTCGAACTCCTCGTTGGCCTTGATCTCGATCTCGCGGGCCTTTTCCATGGCTTCCTGCTTGATGAAGGCGGTCATCTTGCGGAGCTCATTGTCGACCTGTAGCATGGAGACTCTGATTAGCATTGACGGTATTCGTCTCGGGGTCGAATAGCTTTGGGGTGACCTGCCTGCTGGTCGGATAAGGCGTGTTGCGACATCTTGGCTAGGCGGGGAGGTGATGACGTTGAAGCAATTGCGAATGCACTCGGTATGGCAAGGCCTAGGAGGGTCCGGACAGGCTTAGGGCCGTTTTCAACTGTATGGAAGATGTGATGGGAGGGTGGTCGAGAGTCTGTTGGTGAAGCTCTGGATAGGTGAGGGATGAACGTAATATCTCGGAGCTGTGATGTTGCTGCTTGGATGCAAGTGTGGAGCTGCGCTACAGCGAGTTAAGAGAGCGCTGTAGCGCTATTGGTACGTTGGACGGCCTCGCACCTACTTCTGGAGCCGCGAATCGCGCACCGCCACAGCCTTGTCAACGGCGGCCTTTTTGGAGTCTGTTTACAAGCATGGAGTACATAATATCGTATGGCTAGCCTTGTAATTCTGGAGTTGAATACTTTAAATTAATACAAGGAAGAATATTCATGGCGAAGATGTTCATGAGACTTCCCCTTTTGTGTTCATAAAATAAGGCATTAGGAGCACTCCTGCTTGTAGCTCATACAGTACAGCCTCAGGGCAGCTCTGTTTGATGACGAGTGTCACATGACCCCACCAGCCACATCTTAGCCCAAAGCTCTCCCCCCAGCGAGGTTATGCACCTCGCTGCAGCTCAGCACGCGGTGCTCCATTCGCATACCGCTTGACGTCGTCAGGTGGCTCTGCATGATTTATTGAGCGCCAACGCAACTCTCTGCACGCTGCCTCACCCGTTGGGCCCCAGCTGATTTAGTCTCGCTATCCGGACGAATTACTTGCGACCACAGCCGCGTTTTTTGGGGGGCTGGCACCTTCCGCTACGACAGTCTATCACGAGTATACACCATATTGCAACGATATAGTAGAGTGCGCTCGATTCGAACCCGGGTCCAGTACCATTATACGCTCGGTGACATCCTGCTGACGGAAGTCGCGGCAGCCCGAAAGCTATATCACCATCCTTTTCTCTCTTTTCCTCCCATCGACGACGAGAAATAGGGAGGAAAGCAGGGGCGAAACGCTTTACAGCTTCCTTTAATAGCCTTGTTTCGATTCTCGATATCCAAGCTGCCCAGCAAACAGCACTTATACCTATGCGACGACCGGGTGTCCTCTTGTTAACATCAACCGGTGGATGACCTTAGGTCTGGAGACGGCGTAATGGGGCCTATTGGGAATATCTCCCCCGGAGGGAGCATAGCTGTATGCATACATGCATTCAATCTGTCCCTAAGTCAAGGGGGTGGGACGTTTCAAGCTATTGCATCTTGCTAACACTACACAGCTAGGAATCCTCGTTGGCCTGATCTCGACTAGCGTTCAAAGCATAGGCCTGACTTTGCAGCGAAAATCACATATACTCGAAGACGAAAAGGGGCCTCACGATGTTCGCCGGCCGCCATATCGGAGAAGGAGGTGGCAGGTGGGCATGGGCATGTTTGTTATTGCGAATATCCTCGGGAGCACCGTCCAGATATCGACGCTGCCGTTACCCGTCCTCTCGACCCTTCAAGCTGCGGGACTGGTGTTCAATTCAATATGCGCGACGCTTATTCTCAGCGAGCCATTTACTCGTTGGTCCCTATGCGGCACCCTGCTGGTCAGCGCCGGAGCAGTCTTGATCGCCATCTTTGGAGCCATTCCATCACCGGCTCACGAACTGGATGAGCTGTTGGAGCTACTGGCCCGGAAGCCGTTCATTGCTTGGATGATACTCCAGGCATTCTTTGTCGTGTCGTTGGCTGTTGTTACAGATGTTACCACCCATCTCTCCAACCTGTCGCATAACGCCCGATTCCGTCTAATACGTGGCATAAGCTACGGTGTCATCAGCGGAGACCTCTCGGCACACTCCCTATTATTTGCGAAATCCGCCGTCGAGCTCCTCATCAAGACAATTGGCGGCAAGAACCAATTTCTTCGCTGGCAATCTTGGGCCATCGTCCTGGCCCTTGTTTCTTTAGCCCTTTGCCAGCTTTACTATTTGCATCGCGGCCTGAAATTAGTTTCCACTTCCGTCTTATATCCCCTTGTCTTTTGCGTATACAACATCATTGCCATCTTGGATGGCCTAATTTACTTCAACCAGACGAGCCTCATCTCAACGCTTCGCGCCTGTCTGATCACCCTGGGCACCGTCATACTTTTATCGGGCGTTTTGGCTCTATCTTGGCGTCTAAGCGACGAGCAGCATGCTCCGGCAGTTGGTCAGTCTTCGTTGGCTCCCGGCCTTGGGCTTGTTGACGATACTGAGGGTGAGGAAGAATCACTAATGGGCCCAGAAGCCGCTGCCGAGGTCGATGAGGAGCTGCCCTCTACGGCGTACCAAACGTTCCCCGTGATACACGGTGATACCACTCCTTTGGCACCGACGCGCAAGAAGAGTCTGGGTTGGGTGGAGCGGGCCGAAATCTGGGGAGAACTACAAGATCAAGATGAGCCAACCTCGCCTGCAGCGCGGCGCCGCTCGATGACGCTCCCGATGAGAACCGAATCAACGCCGCTGCTACCGCCTGTAAAGAGGGTCATGAGTGGCGTCAGCTTGACAGGCCAACCGAGCTCCAGCGCAGATCCTTCTCCTCGAAAGTTTACTCGCCGACGAAGGAAGAGCACTGGGTTCCCGGGTTTGGTTGCGCGCCGTAATCTTCGGAGGGATTCAGCTTTCTCAGATACCCTTGGTGGCTTATTCTCGTTAAACTGGCTGAGGCGTAATAATAGAAGTGCTTCTATGGGTAACAGCAGCATGGTAAACGAAAGCAGCCCGTCGCGTCAAAATTATAGAGATGACCCGGAAGAGGAAAGAGGTTCGGATGGCAGGGCCAACGACTCAAATGTATGAGTTAGAAAAAGGAAAAGAAGAAGAGGAAGAAAACAAGAAAGTTGTTACAATACATGCGATTGTGATTTGGGAAGGGCGTCTTTTAGACTGTTAATTTCACCCTGAGGAGTTTTGCCTGGACAGCGACCGAGGCGTGTTGAGCATTTTGATCTCCAGATTGAATTTTTCTTGGAGATAGCGAGAGCCTAACGCTGGCCTCTCTCTCTTTTTTTTTTTTTCCCTTCTTGTTTTGGGTCCTCTATTTCATTTACTTATATTATACCACGATGGAAATCTAATTTGTTCATGGCGGGCTTGCATTGCGCTAGATATTGGGATGCGACGTTGCAAGAGAATATTCAGGAGGCCATTTTTATATGCATACTTTTCTTTTTCCCCCATTTTTTTGCTCTAGCAAAATTTTAAATTACGATATGTATTTCTACTAGTTTTAGGCATCAAGACGCTTTGTTTCTGGCATGGGAGTGTGGCTGAGTCTTTCATGTTTCTCAGAGAAAAAAGAAAGAGAAGTTTCATATTAAAAAAGTACTTTTTGGGAATTAGGTAGAGTAAGACTTGAAAAACAAATTTGTGCAAACGCTATGGATAAAAAATTTTGACAAGATGAGCTGTTCATACATGATATGAAGTTGAGTCTTAAAAAAAAAAGAGTTTTTAGAGATGTAGAGTAACCGTGACTTTTTTGCGTGTTGTCTTTTTTTTGTTTGTTTAGTTTGTATATCATTAATTTAACATTTTGTTTCATTTCACCTCTTTTTTTTTGGCTTTACAAACCGCCATAGTTTCTCTTCTGATCAATGATGTAGTAGCGCTCGATTTCCTTGCGCTCCTTGAGGAGACAGGCGATGGCAAGGATCAGGAGGGCGTCGATGCCTTTTTAACGGGGACCAAGTTAGCTATTTTTCTCATATTTCTCTAATAAAAAAAGGCTCATCATTTTTCATATAGATTGAAAAAAAAAAAAAAAGGATAGAAAAAAAGGTATCACGTACCAACCATGCCAAAGATGGCTGTGAAAAGGTCAGTGACAAAGGCGTTGGCAAAACTGGCCATGTTTGTGGAGCATCCGCGCAGAAGAGCGGCCGCGGCAGGGCTGGGACAGGCAGAGTCTGTGACAAAGGCGGGAGTTGTGCTGTTGAGGTAGCCGCAACATTGAAACTGCGTTTATGTCAGTATAATGTCTTGCGTATATTTCATACAACATCATATATATATGTATATATGAGAGAAAAAAAAGGGGGGGGGGGTAGGGGATAGGGGGCAAAAAGCTTTCCATACCGAAACCTGCACCAGAGACTGAATTGACGAATCTTGGTCCTCATACACGGGCAAAAACGTCTCCTTCAACTGCAACGTCATGATCCAAAGGTACAATCCCACAGCCAGCGAAAAGACGGCGCACACGGTGATCATGTAGCCGCTGATCTTGAGCAAACTCCGCTTCACTAGCGCCATGGCGGGAACCGTGAAGAGGAACGTGACGAGAATGAAGATTGCGTTGACGATGCCCACAACCAAGGGGAAGCGCTGGTAGAGCAGGTGTCGGGTGGCGTCCCTGCCGTCGGTGGGAGTCTGGTCCTTGAGGTTCATGGCGGCGATGGAGAAGCCGAGCTCCATGGCGCCGGAGGCGAGGAAGAGGAGGTCGGCGATGACCGTGGCGACGAAGACCTTGTCAGGCATTTTGAAGGCTTTGTTTTTTTTTTTTTTTGTCTTTATATATCGAAAAGAAGAAAAGTTTTGCTGTTTTTTCGGTATTCCGGCTTTTCTTTCGTTCCCTCTCGATTATATGTTTGTCACTTGAATTTGACGACCGGCGTCTTAAAGTCCTCTTCCTTAAATTCCCAAAAAGTGAAACTCGAAAATAATAGTAACCAAGACCTAAGCTCGGTTATACAAGAATAGTAAAAAGTGAAAGAGAAAAAAAATAATTAGTCGAACGAATGCATTGGCTATCAGACCTCAACTGCCCGGCAGTTACAAAAAGGAAGCAGACTCCGAAGAGAGAGAGAAAGTCTGAGAGTAAGCCTTGCAAGAAGAGAAAAAGGAAACTAAGGAAAAAAAATGGGTTTAGTCACGGAACATGCACCAGGCATGAAGAGAAAGGGAAAAGAAAAAAAAAAGAGAGAGAAAGAGAGAAACAAGAGAGAAATGAAACCAAAGACGAGAGAAAAGAGACTATACGAAACTCTTGCCCACGCAAGCGCTTGGCTCTGAAGACGGGCAGGTTTCTTGTCGAGGTCCTTCGAACGGGCGGTGTTTCAGGAAGCCAAAGGTGAAGCAGAAGCGCCGCGGACAGGGGCGGGTGGCCAATCAGCGGGCCGGATTGGGACCCTGAGTCGCCTGATTGGGGAGTCGTCGAGGGGTCCTGGAAACGAGCAGTCGGCGGGTTCTTGGCGTTTGGAAGCGGTTTTGGGCTGCGGTCCATTCATGGGCTGATGATTTTCGTTGGCAATTTCGCTGCCGCGGTCTCTTCAATGCGTGTCTTGTCATTATGACTATTTCTATCTAGACACCGCCGCGCCTGGTTTTGCACGGCCGCATGAGATGAAGCATCATTTCACTTTGATTTTCTCATTTACTCTTGTGTCTTTCCCTAGCCATAGAATCCTATCGCTTGTTGCCCTCGCCAGGGAAACAAAAGACATCCAGCGCTCTAAGCCTCGTTTCACTAGACAAGGCCCCGTTTTCGGCCTTCACCCGCGCGCCTGGTCTCGCTTGGCCATGGAGCTTCTCACGGTAGAAGATGGATGAAAAAGAGGGAAAAGAGGGCAAAGCGAATGGGGCCTCACATCTGAGGCAGCGCCTCGGCTGTCGCCTGCTTTCTTGTCGCCTCTTTTCTTAGGCAACGAGAAAAACATCCGGCCTGTGAGAATTTGGCAATCTTCAGCTTTAGCAAAACTCTCCGCCGCGGCCTATGCTTATAAGGGGGACATAGGCCCCGTAATCTGCTCGCTACCCGTTGGCACGGTGAGCTTGCACTGTACGGGATTGCGACTGGGGTGGCACAGCACAGCACAGCATAGCACAGCACGGCACGGCAGCGCAGCTTCGGCCTGGCTCAGCCAGCCAAGGCACCGCGTCCAGCCGTCAATGGTGGTCGGAGGACTCCGAATGGACGGCTCTGAGGTAGGCACAAGCTGCTCTGCCAGTTCCCCCATGAAGTAAATGCTGCAATGGCAGCTTACCAGCAGAACGCGGTTCCTCTGCGCAGAGCAGAAGTGTGGTAATGTGAGCGAGCGTCCACCAAGGCTCCAGGTACATGCACGTAGCACATGCCCATGCCTCCAGGCAGCTTGTAATTCGCCGCGGCCAGAGGCTGGTGGAGCCACAATTCGGTAGGCCGTGGTGGTTGGAGAAATCCTTCGCGCACTGTGGCCAGCCCTGCTGCTTTAGCTGCCTAAAGTGGCAATGGCCCCCATTTCTGCTGCTGCCCCAAGCTTTTCTGACAGCCGCCGCGAACGTGACTTGGCGTGCCTTGGAGCACATACTATGTACGTAGAAGTTGGAAATGAAGGAATGAAGGCATCCCGACGGCTGGGAGTCTTCAATGCAGCCCCCAGCTTGATATGCTGTACAGGCCCGGACGGGCGCTGCCTTGCTGCTGTATCCGCGTGAATCGAGAGCACGCTTCTCGCTAGGACGGATTGGGGGGACGATTATCTGCATTGCATCGAGCTGCGCATCTTGGTACGTACTTGTATTAGCAAGCCGGCAGCCTCTCTGCCCGTCTCTGTTTGTCTGTGGGCCGTGACGGTATTGGCATGGCCCGTGTCCCCCGTCAGCTCGATGTGGCCGTGCTCGCACTCTGCGATATGGGTGGTACGCGTGTGCTGGAAAGTGTCTGTCTGCAGCATCCCATCCAAGCAGCGCTGCCAAGGCACAAGAACCAAAAGAACGGCAGAGCACAAACAAGGTCCAGGGCCTCGCGTCAGCCCTCGCGTCGCTCCCCCGTCAAAAGGGCGAAAGCCTTCCAGCCCCATGACTGGCACTCATACTGCAATAATACCTAGCAGCACTGGCAATGGCGTTTCTGGGCATCTGGAATGGAGCTGCAACGGCCACTTACTGTAGCACCACTGCATTTCTTTCCTGTCTTTCCCCTCCTAATTTCACGAAAAAAAAGTGGAAGAATGGCACATACGGAGCAATTCCGTAGTGTGATAGGCCCAAGGGCTAGACAAAAGTTCGCCAAAATAGCAGCGGTGCCGCGGCTGCACCTGAAAGCCATAATGTCATTCATGCAGTACGCAGGGGCTTTTCAGCGCGTTTCTGCAACATTTTCCTGCAGCGGTTTTTCTTCAGCGCCGTGCTAGCAATATCGAAATCAGTAGTATCGAAGCCTGGCAGGGGATGCTGATAATAAGCGGCGAGCCGTCGAATGCAGGTCTCACCTTCTTACAATCCGTCGATAAGGTGAGCAGGTATCTTGTTATTCCATGTGCAACAGGCCCTGGGCAAGCCTCGCACGCAATTCTGATAGAGCCGCCGTGTGTCGGTACTTACGCGGCGCCCTGGCCTTGACGGCTCTCTCGAAAGCGTCCTGGAACAAACTCCACCGCGTGCTTACGGGTGCTAATGCTGGCCGTGGCTCTGATCAATAGGATTCCGGAAGCCCCTGCTGCATCTGCCGACCACCATTCTGCAGCAAGACACCATCGGAGTGGAGGCCCTGTTCACAGGCCCCGACATGCTGACGGCCACAATGTGCTTGCCAGGTTTGCACATGGCTAAATAATGGAGGATGGCGGTCGAGAAGCGAGTCCAGCCTCTCACCCCTGAGGGCTGAAGTGGAAGCAAGCGAGCCAACGGCATGCTGATGCAGCCACAATCCCAATCTTGGTCAAGTGACGAAAGCAGCGAGTGAGAGAGCCAGAGCGGCAGAGAAAAAGAGAGACAGAGCAGCGGCCAGAGCCTTGATTGGGCGAGTCAAGATTAATCGCTTTCGGTTTCGGTGTGTGGGATACGGAACACCCAGAACCCCGGAAGCCATCAAAGTGGCTCTCGCGTGCCGCAATACGAGAACAAAGAGCAAAGTCAATTTCCCTGCGGTTGATCTGTCAGAGGCTAGTCGTTATGGAGAGGCGGCGCGAGCGTCCCGTAGATCTCATCACTTTACCTTGCCTACCTGACCCTTCTTTTTACCTTGTCCTCTAACCTTAGTTGAGCGCATCACCTTTTTCTCGTTTCTGTCTACTTCGTATTATTAGCTCGCGCGGGAAAAGTAAAGATCGAACGACAAGCGAGTGCGAGATAGACGGCCATGATACTGTACCATATACGTAGGGACGGGCCATCTGTGCTTGTTGTTACCTACTAAGGTACCTATGTACAAGTGTACACAAATACCTGCACTCGACATTGGACAGGTATCCATCTGATTCTACGCATTAGTAACGCGTGATTTTTGGAAGACAGCTGCACGGAGTACGGAGTGCATACATGTCCTTAATCGGCCCATATTGGAAGCTTTGCTGATCCACTGCTTGGTGTCGAGGCTCTGGAAGAACAGCACTGGGAGCATGAAGGCTGGGAGAGCCGGGCGAATACAGTGCTGGGATGCACCTTATCAGCACGGTAGAGGCCCACCCGGATGCTGACTTTATTTCGCAGCCCCGCTCTTTTTTTCGGTGCCGGGTGCCAAAATGCCAGCGCCGAAGCTGGCGCTGGCCGTTGCAGCTGAGCTGTGCTACCAGGAGCCGCGCCGCGCTATGCCGCCCCGTCACGTTTCTTGCTCAGCCAAAGGTGTCTGTCTGCCTGTCTGGGCATGGCAGCAGACTAGGTGGTGTTAGTAATGGCCAGCTCCAAGCTATGTCGCATCGGCAAATCCACACACGGCAGCCGCTGAGAAAAACACCCGCTCCACCCCGACTAAAACCCCTCCGGCCTGCAAGCGCCCCGACAGAGCACTAGCGCTCGGCATAGGGGGCCTCTGGGCAGGCGCAGGCTGGGCGTACTAAAGCAGCGATAGTAGCACCCGTGGCACTAAATTCCTCTCGCTCTCCGCGCCTCTTGCCCACCTGTTTCGCACCGCCACCGTGCGCACCCGCCGCCTCCCACTGGCCTCTTGCCGGCCGCGCTCGCTCCAGCTCTCCAGCACCTCCCATTAGGCATTGGGGCCCCTCTGCCACCGAAGGCCAAGTTCCCTTTTTCTACCGCCTGTCCCTCTCCGCCCAAAGAAAAAAAACCCGCCAGATCCAGTATAGATCCATCGGCACCACGCTCAAAGCAGTATCTCCACCACTCGTTGCCTTTTCCAGCGCCGTGTGATACAAGTCGACGACGATTGGATTCGGATTAGGATTGGCATTGGCATTTTATAGTCGCTGTCGCAGTTGCAACCGCGATTCCCTTCTCGAAAATGGCCGACATCACCGACCAGCACGACCAGACGTCGCCCACGGACCTGGACGACGCGCACTCGGTGGGCAATGGCAACAACGCGAACAACGAGAACCGCGGCGTCAAGCGACAGCGCCCGGCCGCCGACGACGACGACGACGATGACGAGAAGGGCGGCCGCGAGCGTCGCAAGATTGAGATCAAGTTCATCAGCGACAAGTCTCGACGCCACATCACCTTTTCCAAGCGCAAGGCGGGCATCATGAAGAAGGTATGTGCTGATGCATCACGCCGGACACGAGTCGAGGCTTCCTCCCCGCTCCAACCACCACAAAAAAAAATAAACAACTTTTCTCCAAGCTGCTTTGTTTTGGTCAACGCGCGCGCGCGCGCAAACGACGACCAGAATGAGCGATTCGCTGTCAATTCTAGCTTTCCGCTAGATCCGAATTTGCAGGCACAAGAGCTCTCAGCTAACGATGAATCTTCTCTCTACTCTATAGGCATATGAGTTATCTGTCCTGACAGGCACTCAAGTTCTCCTACTGGTTGTCTCCGAGACGGGCCTTGTTTATACCTTCACCACCCCCAAGCTCCAGCCGCTCGTTACCAAGGCTGAGGGCAAGAATTTGATCCAGGTATGGCAACCCTAGTCAGACGGCTGTTGCTGCGAATCACGCCGGAACGTCCTTCTTTCCGTTCCATCCTTCCCACACTAGAGATGCTGGATATTCCGCGACGAATCAGCCGCCAAGTGACCCTTTTCACGCATTCATCCACTTCTTTTCGAAACTTTCTCACTGACTGCTTCTGTTCAATAGGCATGCCTCAACGCACCTGAGCCCGCGACGGGCAGTGAAAATGGAGTGGATGGTGGTGACCAAGTTGACTCTCCTGAAGAGCCTCCCAGCCATTTGCCGCCGCAGAGCCGTCCCGGCATGCCACAGAACCCTCACATGGGCCCTGGAGGCTACATGCCCCCCAATATGCCCATGGATCCTCAGCAGGCTCTGGCTTACCAAAGCTATGTGCAGCGCAATCAGGCTTATGGCTCTGGCATGCCTCCGCAGCCAGGAATGCCTCCCAGCTCTCATCATCAGTCATGAGCAGTATCGTCAAAAGACTCTTGGGAAATAAGCTAAAGCTTGCAATCGCTTATGCCCAGCCTTCAACAATCTTTGGAGATATTCTCGGGCCTTGAGTCGTCTCCAGGATGTTGCTATAACGCTATGCAAATGTTCTGATTCGGCGTTGATGACGTGTTGATATGCTTTCCATATCTGTTCTTTTTTTTTTAAACTCAAATGTTGCGTTTGCCCGCATTACTTATTTATTTTTTTTCTCTCTTCGAGCTTTTTCGATGTTTCAAATTTTGGAGCTACGTGGACGTTGATGCCTTTTCAATTCACCGGGAAAGAGGATCCAACTCAGACGGTCAGAAAGATACACAGTCTTTTTGCTGCACTGACTCTGCCAAGATCTACACATATTTATTCTCAGTCCCGGAAGGTTTAGAGGCGTTTTTGTATCTGTGGCACCTCTCATTTCGAAGCGTCTATGACGTGTGTTAAAGGAGGGCTGAGCACTGTATCGATTACGACAAGAATGGACGTTGGCGGCGGCCTTTTGTGCAAGTATTTTGAACTCTTGTATGCGAGAGAGAGAGAGAGAGTTCTCTCAGATCTAGCTACTGAGGTGGAAGGGTTCCAGCTTTCGGGCATGGTTTGAGCGAGATGCGGCATTTCACATGCTGAGGCACAGTGATCTCGAGAATTAGGTTGGCACTTTTGGGTGGCAGGTCTGGGCAGGTTTGGACTTTGGGAGGTTGGAAGCGGATATGGGAGGCAGGGCAGAATGATGCTGGGCGGATGATAATGGACACATGAGGGCATGATTTGTTGATGGCAGAAAAAAAAAACGATCAAAGACATCAAATGAGTCTGACGAATCTAGCTTGCCGAACAACAGAGGTTTTTTCTCCTTTCTAATTTTGCAATGCCAACAAAGTATGTTTCGATGTAGCTGTAAATTTTCTCTTTTCCCATCTGAGACTCTACTCGCGAGCTCGAGTCAGTGCGCGGCACGGACAACGGAGAATCGTGATCTTCAAAATGGCCTGTTTGAGGTTAGAAGGAAAGACAAAAAAAAAAAGCAACCTCCCTTACCTACTATCCACGTTTTGGCATAGATCAGCCCTGCAGAACTGCTTGAATAGGCAATTCTGACCTTTAGCTGAAGCGGAGGCGGGCCCAGCCGGCGCAAGCCCTTATTCATGCTCCCTTTTTTTTTTTGCCTCTTTGCGATTAGATTTTTTTTTTGTCCCTCTCATTGTTATCTATCCTGGATTGGGGAAGATGGTTGCCTTTTTTGGTTGAGGGGAACAATATGATTGGGAGATTGGGAAGAGAGATAGAAAGAGGATTAGGAAAGGGAGAAAAAAAAAAGTCTAGGGCTTTTTGTTTTTCTTCTTCTTATTCTTTGCTTCTTTTGATCGGATTGAATTCGGGTGCAATTTCTTTTTTTTTTTTTTTGTATTTGTTTCTGCTTGATGGGATTTTTTTGTTTCTTTGCTTGGGTGGATTTTGGGGATGGGGCGATTCCGGGTCCTTGGGCGCGGGAGGCAATGATTTTCGGGCTTTATTTATTTATTTATTTATTTTTTTAAAAAAAGAGGAAAGATTGTGTTGTTGGTTCGAGTCTTGGTGTTGGTTGTAAGGCTGAGTGGGGAAATAGCTTTGAAGTTTAGTTCTGGCAGCGAGTTTTGTGTTGGTTGTGAAATTTTTTTGGTGATGCTGGTTGATTTCATACGGAGTACATTCATACATACAAAGCAGATGGAAGAAGAAGGTAACGTTTGTGTGGGGAACAGGAGGTGCGAGAATTTCGTACAAGGCAGGTTTTAAGACGCTTTGTGCATTAATGATTCATTGGGAATACTGAACAGATGGGCCTGAATTCTCATCTCTGTTGTTAAAACTACTTACTCTCAAGTGTGACCACGTCGATGATACTGTATTTCTCGCAAGGATCGAGACAGCAAATAGCTCTAGCTCGAATACATCACGCGCTACCAATATCCCCAAGGAATTCAGTTGTTGCGGAAATACCGTATTTGTCTTGGAAAGCACAACCTAATGCCCATCTCGTCTCCATCAGCTCATCACTTTAAATGGGCTCTAACATGGCCATAAACCCCAAGTTAGAAAGTTCAAATAAGTCTACCGGTCTGACATAAGCACCGGAGGGCCTGCATTCCGGTGAAGCCTCACGTGACTTTGCCTTTTCAAAAATGTGTTAGCCGCTTTCGGCAACGCACGAATTTTTGAGCAAGTTTGAGAAGGTTTTTATTAAGCTACGCGCGAGGTAGAGCGCGGAAGTACCGGATACTCGAGGTACTTTCTAGTGACATGCAGCATTTTGATAGAACGACTGCAGCTGGAATGCAGTGAAATGATGGAATCTGTAGTCATAAGCATTTTGCAGCGAAAATTAAGGGATTATCTCAGTATCTCCTGTTTTCTGTACCGGCCTCATTGATGAATTATTCCATACCACCGCCCAGCCCACTCCGCTCGATATTTTTGGTATCCGTCGTCCAGTTCTCCCTGCCTCCTGAATAGGGTCCTCCTTGGTCAAAATGCCAGACAACACCGTAACGCCCATCTGTAGAATACACAGATGAATTAAAAAAAAAAAAATCATGTCTTAACCGCCATTGCAATGCTGATATCATGGTCTTCGTATAGAAATAAAGAAGAAAGAAGCAAGAAAAAAAGGTCATTGCTCTAAGTCTTTATATCGTGATGTGATGATGTGTGATTTTGGCCCGCGACTCTTTAATGGGCAGGGATGCCGCCGTAACGGCCGAGAAGAAGGCTTCCCAGGAATGTGCCGCCCAGGACAGACATGAAGTAACCGACATTGAAGGTCATGACAGCCAACATACTGAAAAAGAACAAGTTAGCACATGTTGCAGCGTCATGTATAGATAGGGACGAAGAAAGAAAACTTACAGTAGATATCCAATGCCGACAATGACTGTATCCAAAGCCGCTCTGGGAGGATCAACGCTGAATCGCCAGGGAGCAACCACATGGTGCTTCTTCTCCACCACCAGGACCTTCTCCTCGACGCCGTTTTCCGAGAGCACCATGGTCATCTGCTTCGCATCCGGGTCTCTTGAGAGGCGCTCCGACATGGGCTCCTTGCCGTTGACGACAATGAAGCGTCGCTGGGCATTTCGATCAGCCCAGACGCGCTCCTGGTAGGCCTTGTAGGCCACTATCAGGCGGAGAATGACTGTGAGGGCGATGAGGAAGATGCAGGTGCCGGCGTAGGTGCCGGCAGTCTGAGGGGTCCAGGCGTTGGAGAAGAGGGCGGTATGGATGTCGGTTTGGAACGTCATGACCATGCCCATGCTCATGGAGGAGCTGCTGGAGTTGGAGCTGCTGCTCGATGAGCCGTCCATACCGCTCATGCCGTTCATGATGTCTGTTTGTTTCTTGCTGGAGAGGGTTGTCTTTTTTTTGGCGTGTGCGATCGTTCTAGAAGGGAGCAGAGCGGGTGTAAAGTGAAAAGAAAGAGGACAAGGGTTTTTCCAAGCACGTCTGGACACGTAATGCCGTCTATTTGTGTACTCTGTACAGGTGTGTATAAACAACTCGGCTTGCTTAACGACTAAGCCTGTATGACCTGAGACTGCGGGTATGAGATGTAGCTTCAAAAGAGTGTGACGAAGCGTCGGGATATCAACGAAGCAAGCTGCCACTCCGCCTTTATGTATCGTTTGAACAAGTGAATACCCGCTAGCTGGAGTGGAAAAATGACCCGCTTGTTGGTGCTCCAAAGGCTACCTATTTAAAGCACGACTTTTGAGAAGCCAGTGGAGATGGGTAAAAAGCCGAGGCCAAGATTAGGACGACCAGGACAGCGGAAAATATGTAGCTGTTTAAATTCTGCCGAGCAGTAGGTCGAGATGGCTTGTGGATGTTGTCTTGGATATATTTGCAGAGGAATGAAATTGAATGAAAAAAAAAAAATAATGAGTTCTATCCAAGTATTTATTTATTCATGAATGTTGAGCACGTTTGATAATGACAGACTAAGTACCCGCGCCCCCAGTATTCCACCTATCTGCCCTCGTGGAAACAGACGTTCTCAATGGTCTGTTTCATGACTAAAAACTCGCTCAACTGACCCGATCGACCGGTACCGGTTTCTACCTTGCGCATTCCTGGAGTTTGTGGTTTTCTGGCGTCTCCTTTGGTTTATCGTGCGCAAATGGACGCAAGTTTGGTTAGAGCTACCAATGTTTTAGTTGGGTGGAGATTCGAAGGGACCAAGCTCTAGCTCAAGGTCGCTGGTGAGGTAGCGGTACATGCAGCTGAGGGGCAAGGTACCTGCAGTACTTGAGCTGAGGCTGTTTATGGAATACGCGTGTTTTGGCTGCATATGCGCTTGTTTAAGCCTCAACGTCGAGTTATCCATGCAAAGTAATTCTTACTTTTTTTTTTTTTTTTTTTTTTTTTTTTTNGTGAATCAGTTGCTGGTTTAGCCCAACAAACGCAGCCTAGCTCAGTCTCAATGTCCGCTTTCTGATATTAAGGAGCTGTGTTGGGAAATGTCTAGTTGTAATGGAACCACATACATCATCCACCACACCTTCATCACAGCCCCCACTATTCATCATTTTCTTCTTTGTTGCTATATTACCATCTCAAAGTATATAAACGGATTCATCACCTCAGATAGCATTGGAAGGCGTGCTTGTTCCAAATAATACCACGAGCACCGCCGCCTAGGCAGCCGTAGCAGCTAATACGTCCTTCCCATCCACCTCTGTTGCAAAGAGGGCCATGACTAGAGCGAAGATGAACGTCGCAACTGATACAGTGCAAAGGCTTGCGCTGGTCGACTCATGAAGTGTCATTATAAGGATAGGACCAATAAGTGAGACCCCTATCATTAAAGCGAAGACTAGGCGTGCCGTGAAAGCTTTCTTTTGTACTCGACGGATGCGCCCTGCTTGGTCTATTTCACGGAAGCCAACAGGGCCTGTTGCGTTGCGTATGATATCATCTTTCATAATACGACTCACAACGCCGAGTGAATCATGAGTGGTGGGAACAAGGCGGCGCTTTGAATTAGGCTTATGCGCTGAAGGCGGATCAAAACTTCATATGCAAAGCGGTTGAGGTACCTGTATTCTAATTCGGTATTGAACACATGTAATGAGCCGATGAGAATCGCGTTTGGTGGAATCGTAGAGGCTGCATTATGGGATAAAGTCTCATAGTTGCGTACAGCTTGGGCTGGATAACAGTATACAAATGTAAGCATGCTAACACATGATCATTATTAGTTGAATATTCACTTGCCATATGCTGATAACGCTGCATCTACAGCTCTTTTGTCGTCTTTGGTAATATTCTGCTTGTGTTCCATTACTGGAGAGATCCGAAGCAGCTCATCTTGTAGGTCAGCTATTCCTTGCAGCTGACGCGCTCGGAAGCTTAATACAACGACGCTTTCATTGTTAGACCTTGCTGGCTGACATCTGGACTCATATCTCTGGTCTTAGTGCGGTTCAGATCTGGATTCGCCTCTTCCGTATTGGGGTGGTTGATATCTGGACTATTGTATCCAGACTCGAGGCTTGACGGCGATATTTAGAACGTCGTCGCAGGACAACTCTACCCGATGACTCTGCTCAGAGATGAAACTTCTATATATATATATATATATATATATATATATAAGAAAGCAAGAACGATTAAATTTTCTAGGAATAAAGAAGAATTTTGCCTAATGCGGCCCAACATGCAAGCCTTATATATAGTGTATATCTTCTATATGATTTGACGGCAATCACGTGAGCCAGAAATTGGCTGCATGGACTGCAGCAACAACATTGACGTTGGCCGGTATGGTTCAACGTTACTCCAATACGTACATGCGCAAATGAGCCGCATTTTGACGGCTGTGTTCATGCTTACTCGTCTATTTTTAGATGAAGCGGCTGTCGGCATGCAGCTGCCGCATCAGGACATGTGCATTGGTTCAGGGCGTCTTCATTAGCTCTTGGTTTAGCGTCTTTGATATAGCTATTGCAGCATTTGAAGTGTGCTACACTCAATCTAGAGATCTAGAGAAAAGCATTCAACTGTAGAGAATTCGCTAACCTAGCAATGATTTTCAAGGGCTCATAATCGGCAGAACACTGACGTCTCTGACTAGATAATGAATAAGCGTAATATTAACCCCCACCCACTTTATAGTATGCTATACCCACACGCACGATGTTGAAAAATCTCTTGCGATGCTCTGCTTTATACATACAAATAATGTCAAACGCGACAGCATCCGCTTCCTCATCATCGGATCTGGCCTTTGCCGGTGTGAAGCGAATGACGGCGTGACGTGTGGTCATCACTTCTGCAGGGCGAGACAGAGGCACGTGCAGCCAATAAAACATCGGTGCTACCAGGTCAACTTAAAATCTTGGGGAAGACGCCAAAATCTTGGGCTTCTTTCCTCTTTCACTGCAAGACTAGATGAGAAACCTCGCAATGTCGGCGCCGTATTCGGTTGTTGTGGCGGCCCTGGGCGGCGTTGCGACGCACCTATTGTACTTGAAGCGAGGAGAGCATCACCGGCATGCCCTCCGCTATGTTCTGGCCGCGGCAGCATCTTTTCTCGGTGTTTCGGTCTTCGGCTGGTCTCCTACTTTCGTTGATGCGCCTGGCACAGATTGGGTATCGGCCATCGGCCTGTCAGCAAAAGTCCACGGATGCTTCTTCCTCGGCCTCTATTCCAGTCTCATCACATACCGGCTCTTCTTCCACCCGCTCAACAAGTTCCCAGGCCCTGTGGGCGCTCGCATCTCGACCGTCTGGTTGATGTATCACTTCCGGGGCCTGGATGGATGGCAAAGAGTTGCTGCGCTTCACGACAAATATGGTCCGTATGTACGGATTGGTCCATCCGAGCTATCGGTGCGCGATCCGAAAGCCGTGAATGCCTTTCATGGTCCAAACTCAAAATGCAGGAAAGATCCTCATTACGACATGACGCTGCCTATGACATCGCTCCACATCTTTCGTGACAAGGCTCAGCATGACCGCCGCCGCCGTGTCTGGAGCCAAGCCTTTGGCGACCAGGCATTGAGGGGGTATGAGAAACGGATGCTAAAGTATCGTGATATGCTGTTTGACAAGATCGCTGCTTCTGATGGCCAGCCAATGAATATGTCCAAGTGGTTTCACTTTTATAGCTTCGATGTCATGGGTGATCTCGCTTTTGGAAAGCCGTTCAACATGCTTGAGACTTCACAAAACCATCGGGCCATTGATATGCTGGAGGCTGGATTTTTGCCTCTTGCGATCCATCTTCCAGTGTGGCTCCTGGTGCTGGGAATGAGTATCCCCGCATTGTCAAAAGATTGGTTCGAGTTTGTCGACTTTTGCAGAGATAGATATCAAGTTCGGATGAAGCACGAACCGGACATTCCTGACATCATGTCCACGCTCTTGAAGCCACTGGAAGGGAGAGAGCCTACCACTGAAGAGGCAGATTTGCTGACTGGGGATTCTCAGCTTGTAATCACTGCAGGGAGGTGAGATGACACGAATTCGAGTTGGTCCAATACAAGAACTTAGCTGACAGAATGCTAGTCATACAACTGCTGCGAGTTTGACATCCATCACACGCCTACTTGCAAAGCATCCGGAACATATTACAAAGCTACGACAGGAGCTGGCACCATTCGCCCACGACTCACAAATTATAGCGACACAAGATGAAATGGCCCGTCTCGAGCATCTCAACGCAGTGATTAATGAGTCGCTTCGGCTTTACCCTCCCGTGCCAACAACGCTATATCGCCAAACCCCAAGTGAGGGCATCATGATTGATGATGTCCACATCCCAGGAAGCATGTCTGTTATAGCCCCACAGTATGCAATCGGCAGAAGTAAGTCATTTTGGAAGGAGATCAAACTTTGGACCAATTTCTGCTTTAGCAGTTTGCTAATGACAAACGTTTGTTTGTAACAGATGAAGCGGTATACGCAGAAGCCGATTCATTCATTCCTGAACGCTGGTATAAATTCCCGGACATGATTAAAAACAAAGATGCGTTCGCTCCATTCTCAACGGGTAAGTTACACCCTCACGATGAAAACAACCACGGTTCATCGCTAATATGTTGCGTTCTTAGGTCCCTATGGCTGTATAGCGAAGCGCATGGCACTCATGGATATTCGCCAGGTGATTGCGAGGCTCGTATGGACATTTGACTTTGGCTTTGCTCCCGGAGAGGATGGTGTCGCTTTTGAAAAGAATGGAGTTGACGCATTTATCATGACCTTTGGCGAGGTGAACTTGACTTTTAAGCGCAGAGAAGCGAAATAAACCCATGCATAATGACTAGAATAGATGTTACACTTAGACGATTGATGGGCGCGTGTTGATGAAGGCACATTTCATAGTCTTGGATAATAACTCATTCTGACGTTTACTTTGGTAATGAGTTGGAGTCTGCTCTGCCCTACAGAAACTTCTCCAGCCGTGAAAAATCTTTCATGTCGTATATATCATATTTTCGTTTAGCATATATAATAAGAATAATATTAGCTATAGCCTACTATTCATTTGATACTTCGTATCATTCTTACACGCAGCTGCTTTCGGCATGCTCGCCCCCAACCCGTCTATTAGCCAACAGATATAATCGACCCGGCTATCCAAAGTTGAATACTTACATCTCTAGCATCGTATACTACTTCCTCTCCAACACAGATTCACCAGCCGATTCCTAACTATCCTTTGCCTCGAACAGGACCCCATAGTATTCGAAAAAATCCGGAGTTGGCTCGGGCTGTGTATAATCAATAGTCGTCGGCCTTGTTTCGGTAAACACAAACCATAACCGCATATTCACTGCATGCACCTCTATATGCACTGCTTACTGCCTATGCAAATGGGATAAAATGTTATGTAGTTCAAGATCCCCGCTCAAAAAAACACTTGCATAGGATATTCTTGAAAATAGGCACTATCAGTAGATAATATCCTCGTCCGTAATCATCCAAATCTACCCAAGCACGCATCCTAAACGGGCCAATGTCTGTATCACGACTTGCTGTGAGATGGCCTTTCACAATGCATCAACACACACACACACACACACACACATCTTTGGAACGGGGTCATGATTTTCATTTTCCTCATCTCAACAAGGCGAAGCCGTGCCACATAAAAAAACACACAACGTGGTACACACGTCTGTAGCCACGTCGCCCACAAAAATGCAGCCATTTATGCAGCCATCCGCGGCGCGTATCGACCCGAACCTTGGCTTCCCGCGTTTTTTTTTGTATCGCCGATCTGCAGAACGCCTTTTTTTTTTTTTCTTTCTGCCATTTTTACCCCCCCTCTTGACACGAAAAGTAAAAAAAAAGGTTCATTAACATATTCTGAAGTTTTTTTTTTTTTTTTTTTTTTTTTTTTTTAGTTTTCTGGGTAGGAGGGTTTGATAAATCCTCAGCCGCAGAGGTGGCGCGTGGCCAAGATGGAAAAGCTAAGGCAACACGAAAAGGGGGAGGGAGACAAGAAGGCGATTTTAGCGAAAGCGGCCGTGCTTATTTGACTGCCTAAGCACCTAGTAAACAAATAGTTGGCAGTATACCTGGTACTCGTTTTGCTTTTGTAGAAAGCTGGGAAATGGGGGGCGTGTGTGTGTGTGTGTGTGTGTGTGTATCTGTATCTCATGTGGTGTTACGTACATGTATGTATTATTTGCACCGGGACATAATCTGAGGGGCTGGGCTTTTTTTCGGGGGACAAGGACAACATGCAAGGAGTGCCTACAGCAGGCGAGTCAGAACCAAACATGTCATGGATGAGGCGTGTCTCGATCCTTGCAAACCGGTAAACCTTGATTCGAATTGCACATGGTTGCTGTTGCGGTATAAGCGGTGGGCGTGTCTTGGAACCAGAGAGCCTGTTTCTGCGCTATTTTTTATATAGAAGCAGCCCATCATCAAGGGCACGTGTAAGACAAAAAAGCACGTATACGTGGAAGTCTTTTTATATAGTAATAAAGTACTCCTTATTTCCTTATTATTCTTCTTCTCACAACTCTGGGAAACACAATAAGCCAATATCCATGCTGACACACCCACACCAAGCGCACTCTTCGACTAATTAGGCTCTCACAGCGTCAGGTGTGTGGTAGCACATTTCGGAGCCAAGTATGTAAATGTAAAAAATCAGCTGCTTTCCTTTCATTGGTTTTTTTTGTCTCTTATTCTTTTCTTTGCTTCTTCCTGCTTCTGAGGTTATTAGTTACTACATACCCTGTTGTGGTCCAAGGTTGAAAAGCTGAGGCTTAACCTTGCAAGTGGTCTTAATTTTGCTTGTTGCTTGATACGGACGTTCTAGGCTTGACTGAGTCAGGAACCAGGTAAAGAGGGACAGCCGACTAACTAAATAGGTACTATCGCGAGGCTGATTTGAGGCCCTCGCTAGTGACGGTGCCGTGTCATTTGCCCTTGCTTGGATACTTGCCGGATTCTACACTACATCTACTATACGTCTACGGAGAACTCCGCTCACTTGCTACTGCTGCTACTAGTTCTAACCCAATAGGCACTATTTGATAAATCAGAATCGGATGACTGGGTACGTGTACGTTATCAGACACATACTTGTAAGAACGACCAGCACCAGCTACAAGTAGTCCATCTAACCCCCGTCATCTTTGACAGCTTCAGGTGGGATCCATTCAAGGGTGCCTGTATATCCCGCTCTCAGCCGCAGCAGACTATTATATCGCACATACAGCAGCAAGGAACATGAGCACTCATGACACATCTAGTGTAATCAAACCCGGGTTTCCTCACTCCCCCACATCCTCGAAACCAAAAGAAAAAAAAAAAAAAAAAAGAAGCCAACAGTAGATTCCAGTACATGTATGTACTCTCGCTCCTATGCTATACACGCACCAAGCAGCACGTGCCTCAGAGAGGAGCATGGAGCATCGAATCTACGGGGTGAGCTTCGTGGGTAGCACTGCCTGCTGCTTACCTACCTTGCCTACCTATGCAATGCATGTCTCATGTCTCCTCTTTCGTCTTGCCTTGCAAAGGAATGTCGTAACGTGTACTTTGCATGCGTGTACGAGCACGAGTATATGTTGTTTTTGCGTATCTGCGAACAACAACCCAGTTATGAATAGGAATAGGATACAACGGAACTGGTCACACCTCCAATATAGATGCAACAGATGCTGACACCCCATCTCCTACCAACCACTCCTCTCTCTCTTTTAATCTCTCCAGTCTCTGCTGTTGTTGTAGCAAGCAATTCACTCAATACAACTGTGTAGAGTATCTAGTACAAAGACGACTTATAATCCTCAAGCATCCTAGCCCAAATTTCAACCGGGAAAAGCAAAAAAAAAAAAAAAAAAAAAAAAAAAAAAAAAAAAAAAATCNCATCCTAGCCCAAATTTCAACCGGGAAAAGCAAAGAAAAGGGAAAAAAAAAAAAAAAAAAAAAAAAAAAGGGCTCCCTCCCTCCCTCCCTCCCCATCCCCCAAGATATCCAAAACACACAAAGACAGTCATCCCCATCCTTGTCTCGTGTCACACACCCGAAAAGAGAAAAGAAGACGCTCCCTTTCTGCCCCCTTCCTCCCCAAAATCACATCCCACTATAATCCCAGCTCCAGCACCCAAAAACAGAACAAAAAAAGAGAGGGTAAAGTTTCTTGGGGGAGGCGCCACTCCCCTCTACCCAGAAAAAGCCCCCCTGCCTGCGCCTCCCTCCCTCTTCGCCCATTTTTTTCAGCCCCCCCTTCAGCCGCGTTACCGCCTCTGCCGTGGGCTTGCTTTAGTGCAGCGCCGGGTCAGAATAAAAAGAGTCAATTGATTAAACTCGAGCTTATGGTTTTCTTACCTCGAAGTGTAAGATTGAAAAGACTTGTTTTGATCACGGGAATAGTTTCGTCTTGACCAGAAAGCCAATTAAGGATGAGACAAAAGAGTTACCGTCAGACAAATCGTTAGGGAAACCTTCGTTTATGAGGTCATTGATTCATTTCGCTTCCGAAGCGCCGGTTTTTGCTCTCAGCTCTGCCGCTCCCTCCCCCTTGCCTGGAAATGTTGAAGTCCTTCTTTGCTTCACAAAGCATGACTGCCAAGATCACTGTTGCTTTCAAGCTTTTGGGTCAAAAAATATAGATTTCCTGCTGCTACTATGTACTACTACTTCAACATCTTCGCAGCGTAGCTCCCTTATTAAAGAAATAAGTATAACAACTTCAAAACCAATAAACAATCCCGTATCAGTGGCTCTGTAACAGCAGCCTCTTTTTTTACCCGTAGGCTGTGATCCCATATACCATACCATTTCCATACCGTGCTGCCTTCTAACGGCAGAAAAGAAGAATGACCAAAACACCAAAAGTCCCGTAGTCCATATAACCCATATCCTATGCCCGAAAAACCGTAATCTCCAATATGACAAGAGGTAGTACAGTCCAGTTCCAGTTCCAGTTCCCATCCCAGTCCCAATTCCAATTCCAATTCCTAAACCAAACACCGGTACCAATTCCAGCCCTGAATGCTGAATGCACTAATTTCTCCTGCCGTCGTCCTCATTTTCACCACCACGGCCGCCTCCATTCTCAACCGCTACCTGATTCTCGTGGCTCTTGTTCTCGCAGCCTTTGACCAATCTATGTCGCTATCATGAATGTTAGCAACTTCCCCATAGCCAGGTGAATAGAGAAGCAAAGAATATACATACCTTGAGAGCATCCTTTCGTGAAAAACTTTTGGAGCAGAACGTGCATGGGAATGGCTTGACGGCAAGATGGATTCTTTTATGCCGCTTTAGATCGTGATTACGACTAAAAGATTGGACACACTGATCGCATTTGAAAGGACGCTCTGACTGTGGCTGCGGCGGCGGATGTTGATACATCATGGTAGAAGCCCCGTATCCCGCGGGAACCATGCCGGGTATCATCGAAAGTTGGCTGCCAGGCTGGTGAATGTTCGACATGACAGGCCCACCCATCGTCGACAGCGGTGGATACGGTTGATAGGACCTATAGGAGCCCGGATGCGCCATAGACGGGAGAGGCTGCTGACTCGAGAGGGATCCCAAGCCTCGTGGTAGTGATGCCGCTCCGGTGGGTGAATGGCCCGCTGGCGCGGGTTGGGTCGCGTAGGGGAAGCTCGACTGATGCTGAGGAGCCGATGAGGAGGAGTAGCTCGGTCCGCTAATGGAAGGTCTGCTGTGCGTATAAGAGTCGACGTGGGCGCTGGAGTTTGAGGCCCCAGGTGCCTGTGTGACGTGGGGGGCCATCAAGTTCCCAGAGTGGCCGTCCTGGCCTGTAGAGGATTGGAACGAATGGTGATCGTACTGTTGAGCTGGAAGTCCATCCCCCCCAGTGGCCGGAGACTGAGAGCTTCGCTGATTGCCATATGGCAACCCGGTCTGGCTATACATTGATGATGATCGCCCGCCGTAGGGACCTGTTCCTAGAGGGGGCTGCGTGCCGTTGGCGGGATTGACGGGATAGGACGATCCGCCGGGAGTCTGCAGAGGAGCAGGCTGCTGTGCCGAGCCTGAGCTGACACTGTAAGCAGAGTTGCTTGGGGTTGGCCAGCTTCCGTGGACGTGGCCGCTGTATGTATACTGCTGCATGCTGGCTGGGGCCTGTGATCCTTGCGAACTGCTCGTGTGCACACTCGATAGACTTGGGCTCAGCCCATCACTTGTTCCCGACGTAGGAGGGTTCAGATCGATACTCTTGCCAAGGTTGTAGAAGGTGCGAGGTCGAGAGGACGGATCGTCCATGCTGGAAACTTCAGGCTGTGGTGGAGGGAGGGAGAAAGTAGGCAAAGCGCCAGCTGCAGGTCGTCGTGAAGAAAAGCTTGGTGGCGGGTTATTGTCATGAGACGTATCGTCCATGGCGGCGGCCTATCCGAACTTAGCTTTGTCGAGTCGATATTGTCCAAATTGAAACGATTTCTCGATGTTTTCGCACTCGACGCCCTTCCAACGACGCAAGAAGGACGAGGACGTATATCTGGGATATGCGGAAAGAGTAAAGGGATGGGGGTAAAGGCCGGATTTTATTCACTTGTCTTTCCAAAGTTTCCCTTGGCCTCTCAGCGATACAGCTGCGAACGGAAAGTTGAGCAGATAGCGCAGTTGGGTAAGAACGTTCAACAATACACTCAATAAGGTTTTCCTGTGGCTCCGGACGGCGTCGTTTTTGGCGTTCCTCTGGGGCAAATATGTATGGCGCAGGTTGCCCACAAGTATATGGGATCGAAGGCCAGGACAGTATACGCGCTACAGAGACGACGGCTGAGAAGCTTAGCAGTTTTTTTTTCGTCTGCTTCTTTTTAGCGTCCCAAGGCTGGATTTTTAGATGGCCACCCCCCAGCTGGCTGTTGGGTCCGAAGACTGGATCTCTCTCGCTGAGCCACGCGCTGTTTCTCCTTCGCCGTTTGCTGGACGGGACCTGAAAAGACAGACCCCCTCCCCCCAGTCATGTCCCGATCCTGGTCGTGGGCCCGCCGGGGCATGTGGGAGTGCGCGAGGTAGCACTACCGTCACTCGGGTTCGAGAGCTGTATGGCTAGCGCTCTTCAGGACGCAACGCGAGTCGCTGCTAGATTGGAGGGCTGAAGCGGAGCCTTGGACGCTCTCGCCAATGGCCTGGCCGGCTGCCCCAGACCCAGAAGCCTAAGAGACCCAGAGCAGGAGAAAAGAGGAGAGCGGGTGGATCACGCAAGAGACCAGGGATCCGGAAGCCCAGCGCTGAGCCGATAGCCATCCTGTCTAGCAGCTAGCTGTGTCAGTCTCATGTCTGCTCTGATCTTCAGCGCTCGCTCCTGGGCCTTCCAGATGCTGGCTGGCACAGCTGCCGTAGGGGGAGTGCCGACAGTCCAGATGGATGCAGGGGCGTGCCATGGCGAGAGGATCAGATCATGGACAGAGCCAGAGGCTTTTCCCGGCCTGCTCCGTCGTTGCAGTCGGCACAGGGCCGCAGCTTGGCCTGCCCGCAGGGCTGGCACGCAGCTGTCCCGTTGCCGTACCTGCAAAGCTGCCTACTGGTGCTCGTAAATGCATGCTTGTAGCGCTCCGTGACGATGCCAGCATATGCGAGGCCAGCACCTGCGCGCAGGTACTCGCCAGATACTTTCTGCCCACGGGGGGTGGGAGAGACAAAAACGGCGTCGAGCTCGGATCCCTGGAGGCGTGATGGGGGTGCTTGGAATGTTTCGGGCGGGCGCTGCCTCCTCGCACGGAGCTTGGATACTTTGCCCGTCGTGGCCGCAGCGCAGCGTCGCGCGCAGCCAGCTTAGACGCCGGATGTACTCCGTGTCGATGTCGGCGCTCTCGGCACGTTGCGCCCTGTCCATCCGGATGCTGCTTCGTCCTCGTACTCTGCGCTACCGTCTTCTCAGCCGCAAGCGCTCGCTCGCTGCCTTAGTCAGTATCTTAGTGCTGGTACGAAGCATGTACGCTGGCGCGACCTCGTTATCATCCCGTACTTCATACTTTGCCCATTCGGCGCGACTCAGCAGCGGCCAGCAGTTGCAAAGGTAGGCTGTACTTGCGGTCGATTAGACCTTCGCATCTCCAAGACATACTGGTGGAGCCCGCACAGCGAAATTCCCACTCTGACACGCATACATACTTTAGTCGGTTCGCATTGCGAGCCTTCCGAGAAATGTATGTACCCCAGTGACATGTACTCCGGCCTCCGTGCTAATCAAATCTTAGACATGCCGGGAGCGTTTTCTCCTCGTCGGATACGCCCAGAAATGTCCTTGAAACAGAAGCAGAAGACATGTCTCCAGCGGCAGCGGCCCAAGAACGCAATCCCAGCAATCCAATCTAGGAATCCCTCACGCAACCAGGCATGCAGGTCGACTGCTCCGTGCACCGCAGCGCAGAACCCAGCACTTACTTGCGCGGTACTTTGCCGGTATACCCACACGCCTCTCCTTCCGGTACAGCAGGTACTCCTCCTCCGTCCACTAATACCACCACCACCACCACCACCACCACTACCACTACCATCATGACCATCTCCTGCTAGGACCAAGTAGCTCACTTTGTTATCCCCCCTCCACCCCTTTCATTCTCCCCAAGCGCCAAGGGGAAGTTTCTCCAGCCTGCATACATGCTACCCAGTATGCATGATGCGCCTCCGTGCCTGCAAGCCTGGTAAGGATGCGTCCAAAGCAACCGTCCCGACGCCCCCCTTCAAGCTTACCTGGTCGATCGTGATTTATTGCAAGAGCCGACATGGTTGCTCTGAAATAGTACACTGGAAATACACGTATGTGCGAGAGGACGAATCTAAACAGGACATGAAATATGCTTCGGTTAGCACCTCTGGGATTCGGCCAAAAGGGCAAAGGCACTCCATACCTACTTTAGGCGGGCTTCTGGGCCGGGACAGTAAGGTATACAGGGACCCTTCCTTACCTTAGCCGTTGAGGCACGCACATTCAAGTCTTTGCAGGTTAGCCTCTGCGGTAGGTATTGAAGTAGTATTGCCTAATGCTAGTACCTTACTCGAGACCACGCCGATTGTTTGGTACTAGAGCATCTTGCTTTTGCCTCCCCCGGTTCAGAGTACGGAGAGCGAAGTACCCTGATCCTGGCTCTTCGCCCAAGACGAGGCATCTCCTCCCGTAGTATTGTCTTCCTCCTCCTTTTGTTAGGTACTGCCACATGCATCTGCATGCCGCGTTGCCAAGTTACATTGCGTTTTACATCATGTGTCAGAGACGGGTGACCATTTCGCCCATACACATTCGATATATTCTCATGTTTTTTTCTCTATCGTTGCTATTCTCTCCCGCTGATGGAAGCGAGTGTCATTATTTGCTCGATCCCATTAGACAGTGTTAAACCGATGACTGTCTGGAGAACTCTAAACACCAATTAGTAAAAGGTCTAGAACTTTGGAGCCCACAATTGAAGCTTGAAAAATACACAATTGCCAACATAGCAGCACAGCATAATACTTGCGGTACTCGTATTTTTACTCGTCGCACTCCGTATTAATTCATTATGAGCAACATATGAGAGCCGTGTGGATGGTACGATGGCACCTGAGAGCCAGATGTAGGCAGCCCTCACCAGAGTGTCAGTATAGCGCTAGTGGGCTGCTGAGATGGTCCATAGCAGCATGCTGAACACCGAGTAATCATACATTATTAGTCATAACTGGAGCCTTATCTTCTGTATTCGGCGTGCGCGCTCGGAGAAGAGTTGTATTCAATGATGTATTGAGTACTTTATCAAGAGCTGAAAAGCCAAAAGCATCTTTAAAACCCAATTCCATAGGCTGCTGAATTTGCTGTTTGAGTTTTTAGCAGGTTTGGAAATCTCAAGTTTATACGAATCGCAAGAAGCCACACCTTTTCTTCATCAGGTCATAGGAAGATGAGTAGGAAGAGCTGAAAGGCGGCAAAGTGCGCTCTGTATGACAAACGCCGGATACCTGCAGGAGTAGAATTGCTCCCGCTAGAAGGGTGAGCTAATTGCACCGGAACGGGGTACGAGTGCCTCCTGCATTAACTCTTACAATACGGAGTAGTAGCCAGCTCGTTCGTTCACATCCTGGTACCCCAATCGACTGAGTCCCCCTGTTGTGCGACGCTTCTTGAATGACAGCTCTCCATAAAAAAAGAACAACTTCTGCAGGCTGCCACTCCCGTCACATGGCTGCGCCTTATGCCGCTCCTTCATCGCCCCCTCAGTTCCGATTTTCGAGATCGAAGCGTCACATTGGTTGGCTTTCAATGCGACACCGGATCACTTCTTGGGTCAAGAGGCAAACCCAATATCCACCGGATGCAAGCAGTAGTGCCCATCTGCTAGCTGCCTACTGCTCATGACCGCAGTAATATTTGCAACTTTGGACGAGTTTATGAGCCAGACGCCGCCTTGTCCCCACAGTCCAAGCTAGGATCTGTAAAGATACCGCCAAGGTAGTCTTGCTCTGCATCAGTTGCTTTTAGCGGCCCCCGTTTCTTTTTAGCCAACCGTCAAGTGAGAATGTGTATTCTCTCTTGCATGTCGACACAAGCGTTGCTCTGTATTAGCGAGGGCCGTCCATTCAGTGTACCAATATGCGTTGCTTTCGTAGGATGCGTCTGTATCAGAAGCGGTACGAGCTGGGTTACAAAGCTGAGCCATCTCTACCTCCCTCTCCTTTGTTCTAGCGCTTCATCGTCGAGTTAGTTAATATGAAATTAATAGCTAGCAAATTGAAGCGACGGAACGGCAAAGCCATATGAGCCTCACAAGATCCCCCGCCGCCGCCACTTCCGAAGGCCAAGATGCTTGAAAAGACACTTGCTACCTGCAAGCAGTAGTACTCGTATCCAGGACAAACTTATAGGATATATCCTTCCTCAAGAGATATCTCGGGCGCTGCGAGCATCACGTCATGTGTTGGTAGTACAGGCGTCCAAACGACTGTTGCTTGTCAAGGTCTCTTGTCCTTTGCCGGGTCCACCGGAAAACCTCCACCTATTCTAGGGTCCTGGCAGCAACGGCAATCTGTACTTCGTGGTCCACACAGAGCATGATTTAAAGCTTAGCTTGCCTATGCTTACGTCCTCTTACATGGACGTATGAAAGGAAGTCGAGGGATAAGCGAAGAGTAAGATCTTGACAGATATTTCTGGTGCCCGCGCCGGGTCTGCAACGCTGGCGAGAGCGCGCGCGCACGGGCTGACAATCCATCCACCCCTCCCAAAGCTCCACTCCCCCGGCTCATGGCCCCGTGGCAACCCGGGCTTGCTTCCCAGCGCCAGCCGCAGCCATCGCCGGATAAGCTCAGCCATGCCGACCCAGCGTTTGGGGGCCTCGAGGACGCAGCGTGCCCTTGGCGTGGCGAGCAGGGAGTCGTCCGGTAGTCGCTATGGCCATGGCTTTATCAGCCGTGATAATGATCGCCAGCTTCGAGTATCTGAGCGCAGCGGTAAGACTGCGTCTCTGGTAACTCAAAGATTATATCTTCACTTCTCCCCCTCTTCCGGTCGCTCACCTTCTGAGTTTGAAGCTCGTGTATACCAAAAACCTTTTTCTTTGCTGTGCTCCAGAGACTCGACATCCCTGCCTGGCATCCGAATTAGCGGGTTCAGCTATTGAGACCATGCGCCCAATTAGCATGGGCCGGAATGATCTGCTCCATGGACAGCCCCAGTATGAATATGACAACCGTCTCCACGCACCCGCACTTGCAACTAGTAACAGTAGTTCAAGTTTTAGCAGTCCTAGCAGCAAATCGATGCACTCCACGCTCCGTATAGAGTAATCTTCAGTAGTGCTTAATACCATACCACTATGACGGTAATTCGAAGCTCTTGTACGGAGTACTCCAATGCCGACAGCTCGGCAGGATTGTTCTCTGCAATGAAAGTAAAAGTCAGAACATTTCAATGACCAGGAGCAGTTTTTACTGTTGGCAAATCCTCAAAGCGGAGACTCTGCTTTGCCGAACGGCTTGTGGATTCCTATTACTACTAGTAGTTGGTATTTCTTTACCATATTCCAGGGATCACTAACACTTACGCTGCATCTCCACCTCCGCGTATGTTCGCCGGCTGTGGGCGCCTCTAAAATGGTGCCTGCTGTCTAGGGAGTTGTTACACCATGATGCCTCATCGAAAATCTGCGGGTAAATTAGTGCGCTGTACCTCTGATCTTCATTCGTTTTAGTTTATCAAGGCCAGTCACAACGTATCCTGCACCGTTGAACGAGATGGATGGCGCTAAGGAGTTTCAAGAGCTTCTAGCATGTCGAATTAATAAATGACTCGAGATGTATGGCGTACTATTCAGCTGCTCGCCTCCATCTATGCGGAAATTGAGAGAATTTCTAGTCGGTTAGATAAAGCGGATATCATTCATTTACAAGGAGGCTAGACCCTCTAAAGTAGCCATGAACATGAAGTGGTGAGGTTGGGATTGCTCTCACCAGCAGTGGAAAACGGGCAAGTATGAGTCTTTGAATTGTCTTGACGTCCTAGTGAAAGATGAGGCGTTTGACAAGCAGCATGCGGAAATTGCCGTATACATAAAACTTGCATTAATGGCTCGATAGATGGATGGTTATCCTGCCAGCAAGCTGCCAATCTCCCTGCTCTGGGGTCAACTTCTCTTCTTCTTCTTATCCCCTGGGAAATAAGTTATTTGAAGCAACATACTTTCATAGAGCAATGCGTTTGATTATATACCTTTGGCATTCTGAAACTTGTGTGATCAGCATGCCTGCATCAGCCACCCATCTATGTAGCATAGAAAAGAACTCAAGATCTTGAGTGGAGAACTCGACTGTATCTCCATGAGAAAAGAGCGACTTTCCACACAGTAGACGACGACACTTGGGATACATATTCGGTACTCGTAGCACGGTATTACAGCCCAACTCCAATGGCACAGAGCTGAGGCTGGCCAGCAAAGCGGCAAAAAGTAGGTGTGCGCCTATGCCCGAATACGGTTTAACGCCCTATGAAGGAACATTACTAGTTGTGGGTGAGCCCACAATAGCGCCAAGGAGCTGAAAGAATCCCAACCGCTAATAATAAGCCGCGCAATAACGGACGACCTTTAGGGGCTTTGCCGCGCGATGGTTTGGGGAGTCATCTCGGAGTTCGGCTCAGTCGGAACTTGACAATGCCACGCATCCCGACTATAATGGTTTATTCCTCATAGTGAACACGGATGTCATTGGAGGATATTGCAGAAGGGGGGCAGAAATCGAGCCAGTGGCCAAGTAACTCATGTTGGCTACTCAGCAGTCTAGCGGGACAGAACGCAGCTAATATCGTGCAGATGTGTAAAGCTACTCAGCGTCCCGCGGGAGTTTTTGGATCCTTCTAGCCGCCACTGTCTGCAATGGAGATTCGGATGTCAACGGGGACCTAATCGTGGCGTAAATCAAAGCCCATGCTGCGTGGCGTCGAACAAGGTTGTTGCGGTTGCAAGGGAGAATGCAGGGGCTGGTATGACTAGCTCTCGATTTCCTCGTCAGCAGTCAAGTTTTGCTAACCGGGGGCGGCACCTGATTGAAGTGATAGACCTTTACGAGCAGTAGAATGGCTGTTGTGATGCCAAGACGTAGCTCCAGCTCGGCATGTTGATTGGGTTAAACCAGGGACAGTAGACGCGCGTGCATTAGAAGGATTCCTCCCCCGTCTGTCACGGGCTTTATTGCGGCAGGGAGGCGGCCGCATCCTGGACCCTGAGCATACCCCCTCTGTTAGTGTTGAGAGGCTTCGGAAACCAGCGCCATTGTCAGAAGCCAAAGCGCAAGGCGGAATGGCGTTTCTAGTATCTGGGGTTGGAACAGACGCCACGACGACGATCCACCAAATATCGAAATACCCATGGCGTATTTTGATTAAGGCGGCAGGAACTCTTGGCGATGTCGGCGATGGTGATTTGCGTATGACAGATTGGATTGGAAAGCCAACGAATATGTTGTCGCCCACTGGTATCGGTAGTATTGCATGACTCGTTAATTCTCGGAGAAGAAATGGGAGACTTTTAGCAGGAGAAGAAAAAACAAGAGGCCTTGATGAATTGTTTTGTGTGGGCAGAGATAAAATAGCAACTGACCCCCGGTGGTTTAATGGGAAGGTACGGAATAACTCTATTCTATATTCTCCTTTGGCGGATGCCGTGCAGATCAGCAGGAAAGACGGAAGCCATAGCCAGCCTTATTATGCCAGCGTCTCCTCACCTGACCTGCTTAGGTGTCTACTATACCTACCCAGCACCTAGCGATTGTAAACGGTGGAATGACCAATCATTCACCAGCCGGGCACGATCGAGTCTACGCGGCAATGGGCTAAACAGTCGCATCCACTAGAAATATGGCGGTATGTCATGGCCCTATTTGACGTACAGTTCTTGTTGATGTGCCAGCCAAATTTGAACATTTCCCTTTTAAGGCCGATGTCGAGCTACTTAGAGCTCGCCGTGTGCAAATCTATGGCGAAATCAGTGCCAAAACGAAATCATCTTCCTCGATCCCCAAGCAAGGTGCGCCTCACCAGTCTCTAGCTCTTCAAACAAAATGACAAACCCGATTCCGACCAATGTCTACAGTTCCCGTCCCATTGCTGGGCTTGCTCTGTTAGTAATGGGGATATAAGTTGCGTAAATGCTTACTATACGTCCAGACATCGTGCCGGTTGCATTGGCAAAGCACCCAATCTCTTACTGTTCTTATACGCGAGGGCCATCATAAACTATTAGCCAAGATGCGAATGCGCCCTTGGCATAATGAGCTAGAATATTCTCCAAACGCCTCCTTACGTGTGGAACAAAGTTCAGGCCGCCCAGAAAAAGTATGCTGGGTGCCAAAGTAAGCTACTTGGCACTACTGCATCGTAATGAATATACTCCTCGCAGGCAAGACGGATAGACTTCCAGCTGGCACCGGTAAGGCTGACAATAAGCTCTCACCAACTGCAGCCCTAACAAATGGATATTCGTCCCTACTAGATAGGACTTCATCAAGATCTGACGTACAAGCTAGCCGATTATTGACGGTATTTGCATAGAGAGAAGCATTGTGATCAAACTGTCAGCACTTGATCTCCAGGATCCGTGCAAATCTCAATCAACAAATCGAAATTTGTATAGCACGTACTTTATCGACAGGAGAAACATGAGCCTGAACCAGTTCGTCCGGGTGAATGCAAGATGCTGCAGTGCATACCAAAATGGCTGCTAAATCTACCAGTACTACTTTGATGCTAATCCAAGGCTCTCCGGCAGACTTGGAGCGACCAATTATGCCTCTTGTTCTTACTATAGGAGGGCGATAGAATTTGCACCGAGGCTAAGAACACGAAGTATTGACGCCCCTATACGAGAATCTTGTTGGCGTGCTTGCTGGAACCCCGGATACCAAAGCCTCATGACAGGGGTGTGTGCCATGCCACGCGAAGATCTGAAGCTACCAGCGCCACGATTTGCTCCATCTGTCACAGAGCCATGTCAGCGATTCAGTTGCTGGAAAGTCTATGCCAAGTGACGTATGTGTGTGTGTGTGAGAGAGAGAGAGAGAGAGAGTAAGAAGGCTGTAGCTGGATTCGTTTCCCGCGTTGTCGCATATACAATTCTTCCGTCAATCACATGGAATGTCAAAGCGATACGGAACACGCAATGCCACAGGTATAAAACTACGGAGTGCGATACTACTGCTATTACTAGTATGTAGTGCGAGTATGCACCCCTTTCTCCCCTTGTTTTCTCGTCCTTCACGACTAGCCACCCCGCTAAAGCATGGAAATGACTAGGGTGCTTGCGGTAGCAATGTTTGGGGGAGTACTTGCAATAGAGTACAAACCCAAATCTGGCTGTTGTTTGAGAAAGCTCATCAAAGATACTCTCTGTTACTTGACCCCTCTCTCCTTTTTTTAGGACGACATTAGTGCGAACAGCATGCAGTAGTCGCAATTCCATCAAAGAAAGTGGTCACGAAGCAGTGCTGCCAAAGGGCAGGGCCATATGCCAGCGGTGATTAGGGCTGCAACGGCCAGGCAGCGGCTAGAGCGAAGACCAGATTCCGAGTACATGTAGCTGAGCAGCCACTCACTGCAAGTGAAGGGTCCTCGGTTTGGAGCACAGGAGGCTCTCGTTCCATGTCGAGCGCGCGACAAACCGGTACGTCCACCAGGCAGCTCTCCATTATTACCGGTGAAACTACTCACACCACTATTAGTGGATATTGCTCTGCGATGGTACGGTTCAACTCGCGGAAATGGTCCACTAGCATTAGCATGAGCTGCACGCGCGCCGACACCCGGGAGCCGGGGCATGAGCGGGATGGCGTACAAGCATCCTCCACTGGTGGGAAGCCTTCCATGCCTTGGTCATCATCTGTTGGCTTGACACACCCAATTCCCGTCTCAGAACAGCCAAACTCACGCTGTGCATGCCATATCGTTTCATAGAAACCAGCTGCCTGGCTATGAATCATCCAAAGGGCGGGAGGGCAAGTTGGAAAGCCAAGAATCCCCAGCGCTATTGGATTGTCGTGGATCCTCTCGGCTGGGTGAAGGGTCTGCATCTCGTTAGCCCCTCTCGGCTGAGCACCTGGGTACTACTACTTACCCAAACAAGACGAGAAATGATTCATCCAGCGCGTGGCCAAGAGACAGAATCTCAACTCGGTTCAACTTGGCGCCGCCTGATTGACTCGGGAGTGGGAAATGGAGAACTCAGCTGTTTGGTCGACCGGCGGTGCAAAGCTGGCCAATTAATACGATGGAACAGGTTGAGGGTCGCCTGAGCTGAGCTTGAGCTTCAGCCGATACGAACAACCGCTCGTTTTTTTTACTTCGCCTGATTCTAGAACAGAACCACAAATACGGATGGCCACTAACGCAGTGCGGAATATGCTAGCCGAGGCTTGTATATAGGCCAAGCAATAGCTGTGGCGCGGCGGCTTTCCGCCTCCATTGATCAAATGAGGCCGTATCTGCTCTCAGCCCGGACGGCGCGGGAGAGGAGGAAAGACGCCTTGGCCGAACGGCTGGCCCTCAGCTATCGACCGATGGGTAGGTAATAATTGGTTGCTAGTGAACGGCGAACTCCTCGTACTGACGATTGTCCCAAGTGAGCCATTCAGATTTCGGATTGGCGAATCCTTGGGTTCATGCAAGATAGCTTGGGCAGCACTCAACGATATGGGGTGCACGTATTTCGTCGGGAGATTTTCCAAGGGGGGTAAGTTTTGTCTGAGAAGAAATTTGCCCTACTTATGACGAGTATCATGGCCCTAATCAACTCCCGGTATTATAGGCGCAGGAATTTAGTTTCCATTGATAGGCAAAAATAAAAAGACTAGGTCAAATACTCTTGAAGTAGTGGCATAGAGACGTATGGTGCGTCCGATCCCCATACCGACGATGCCGAGCCCGATGTCGGATACCCATAGGTATTCGGCGACGACCAGTCCGGCATATCGTGATAGCCAACGGCCTTTGAAGAAAAACTTTGCTCAACTACGTTGCTTCGATATCTCTATGCAGTTTCAATTATTGTTATTTTTTGTAGAAGAACGAATATATAATGCATCAAAGGTTGATTAATGATCAAGTTGCTGCTATACTACTTTCCGATAAAACTCCATGTTATACAGAGAAACAAAAGTACCATGAAATAGGTACATCGTGCAATTTCGCCAATGATATTGATATAAAACAGTCTTTTTCTTCCCCCTTCATCTCGTCATTTAATTTTACAGACCACATTCCTTACTAGACTCTCGGCATTTACAGCTTCGAGGCTGGCGAGGGAGATCCAGGTTTTGTAATCTCATCATACAGGAGACTATTTCGTGAAAAATCTTATTAGTTGAAACGCGCTTTACTACAGTATTAGTTGGGTGAAGAAGAAAACTCACGTTGTCAAGAAATCAGCATAGTCTTCGCCAGTGACCTGTCCAGCAAAGTACTGCGCAGCAAGATGGAACTTGTTGCCCTGGGGAGCCTTTGAGGCAAGGCCATCGGCGCACTCCTTCAAGAGTCTGAGGGCATAGGCCTTGTCGACACGCTTGCCATCGGCGGTAGAGACGCCGTGCTTGACCCATTGCCAGAGCTGGCTTCGAGAGACTTCGGCAGTGGCAGCATCCTCCCTATTGGTTAAATACTCATTAGCGATATTGTTCATATAGCTTTACACGGGCTGCTGGAAAACCTACATCAGATAGTTGATGGGGACGCAACCGACTCCTCGGATCCAGGCCTCCATGTAACCTAGACCAATGTTGAGATTCTTCTTGATGCCCTCTTCGGTAATGCTGCCAGGGACGTTCATGTTGAGCAAGTCGTTCTGGCTAATCTTGACTTCCTCCCGGCGGATAAAGAGCTGGTTAGGAGTAGGCATATACTTGTTGAAGATCTCAGTGGCAATATTGGCAAGAGCGGGGTGAGCAACCCATGTGCCGTCGTGGCCGGCTCTGACCTCGCGCAGCTTGTCGGCGCGGACGTTCTCCATGGCCTTGTCGTTTGCCTCCTTGTCGTCCTTGATGGGGATCTGGGCGGCCATACCACCCATGGCGTGGACGCCGCGCTTGTGGCAGGTCTGGATGAGAAGCTTGACGTAGGCATCCATGAAGGGGACGGTCATTGTGACGGCGGATCGGTCTGGCAGGACAAAGTTGGGGTTGTTGCGGAACTTCTTGATGGTGCTGAAGATGTAGTCCCATCGGCCGCAGTTGAGGCCGGAGCTGTGATCACGGAGCTCGTAGATGATCTCGTCCATCTCAAACGCAGCCAGGATGGTCTCGATCAAGACGGTTCCTCGGATGGTGCCGCGGGGAATGGCGATGTAGTCCTGAGCCAAGTTGAAGGCGTCGTTCCACAGGCGGGCCTCGAGGTGGCTCTCCATCTTGGGCAGGTAGAAGTAAGGTCCAAAGCCTCGCTTCTGCGCCTCAACGGCGTTGTGGAAGAAGTACAGACCAAAGTCGAAGAGACTGCCGGAGATGGGCTCGCCGTCAACGAGGAAGTGCTTCTCCTCGAGGTGCCAGCCTCGGGGGCGGACAATCAGGGTGGGGAGCTTGCGATCGGTGCGAAGCTTGTACTCCTTGGAACCTTGCTTGAAGTCAACTTGACGACGGACGGCGTCGTACAGGTTGACTTGGCCATTGATCATGTTGTCCCATGTAGGGGCACTAGAGTCTGTTTTGTTGCTCCGTTATTAGTTATCCATTGTCTTTCCACCTAGCTGTAGCTCAAGTGATGATTGAATTTGAATTTCAGACTCACCTTCAAAGTCGGCCATGTACGTCCAGACATCAGAGTTCAAAGCGTTCACAACCATCTTGCGATCAGTCGGGCCAGTGATCTCAACGCGTCGGTCGACCAGACCAGGCGCAGGGGGCGCACCCTTCCATGTGGGATTCTCACGGATGTGCTTAGTCTCGGGCAAGAAATCGGGGAGAACACCACGGTCCAGCTCGGCCTGGCGCAGCTTGCGGCGCTCAAGAAGATTCTTGCGGGTGGTGTTGAAGGAGCGATGTAAGAGAGCGAGGAAGGCCAAGGCCGGAGGAGTGAGGATCTTGCGGTGGGACTCGTCAACCTTGCCGAGGACGGTGACGCCCTGGAGGATGCTTTCTGTGGACGCCATTGTGCGGGTGGTGTGAAGAGATTGTTGGCGGGATTGGTGGAGGTTACGGATGACGGTATACTAGAAGGGCTGCTGTGGTATGCACGATATCGAAGAGGACTTGGTATGAAGAAGATGCCCAGATGAGGTGAGATGAGAGAAACAAGTTCAAAGATGCCTTTAAGGAGGAGTCCAGATGAATAAAAGCTCAGGGTGACTTTCAATTGCAGACGTCACAACCGAAGTGATGAGGAGCTGAGGTAAACTTTCACGTGTCAGTCAGTGACGGTTGTTCGCGGTAAGCTTTCCGGATATGGTTGGATAGGCGCTTCACTCGCACTTACAGGAGAATTAAGATGCTGCTACGTTGTTTGTTTTTATGCGTGTAGCTTGCACACGCAGTGAAGAAAGACTGATGTCTAATCAAGAAACAACAAAAGCGAGAAGGAGGATAAAGAAGAAAACACAGCGAGACGATGGCTGATATAGCTTTCCCAAAGCAAGGTTATCGCCATCCCAAGCATAACCAACCACCAAGGAGGAGGCTATGACGCACCTGGTCTACGGCCGGGGCCAAATCACAGCGCAAGGTCGGCAAAAAGATTAGCCTCGCCACCCCCCAAAAGCAATAGGAAGAAATAAAAGTCAAAGCCCCCCCTTGGCCCAAATTGCTAGCACAATCCCTCCATTCACCCATGTTTACCCTCTATTCTGCACGTATCCGTTTTACACTTTTCTTTGGCCCGTCAGCCGGATTCTGGGGGGGCGCTCGGCACCTATCGGCCTGTCTGGGCCTCGGGTGGACGGATGGAGCTTGTACCGGGTACCTAGAGGCGGGGGCAACAAAGCATGTGCACGGCGCCTCTGCACCGCCTCAAGGCAGCCTCTTTGCCAGCAATCGGGCCCGTGAAGGGAGACTGCGGGGTAGCGGCCGAGAAGTACTGTGTACAATGCAGCCGGCCGGGCGCCTCACACAGCACGGCACTTTGCCATCCATGCCAAAACTTGACTGCGTTGCTTAGTCCTGGGGGGCCAATGGGTTTGCCTCAGTGGCAGCTTTATGCTATGTAGATAGCCAAGGTACTAAAGCAAGCCTCTCTGTGGCTCCCCGTGTAAAGAGATCCAGTCGATGCTGGCGAGGTCTAATGCCGAGGAATTGAGACATGGCCAATGCCGCCTCGGGTCCATCACAGGGCGAGGTAGCATCTAAATCCGGCGTCGTACGCACATCAATGGGATAGGCATGGCATAACATAGCATTGCATTGCATCTGTAGCGTTGGATCTACCTTGTACAGTATATACTCCGTGCTCTCCTCTCCTCTCAGTCTCCAATGACGCACATATTACAATCAACGCTCCTCTACCTTTTCCTCACTTCCTCAGCTCTCCCCGTGCGGCTGTCAATCAGTAAAAGAAACGCCAAATCTATCAACTCTAGCATTTAAACACATGCGCCCAGTCATGCCACATTCAATCTTGGGCTCAGATACATAGTAATTCCTAGATATAGACGAGTGGCAAAAAAAGATGCCGTTTACTTTCCATCAGCCCACCGTCTCTGCCCATCTACCCCAAATTCTAGGCCCATGTGGTACCTATGTATATGCGTTTTTGGGGATAAACGATTTCTAACGGCTGCTCATACCGAGGAGCCAACCGAGGCTTCTCCAAATTCCTTAAGCCGCAAATTTCACTGCCAACCCGAGACTTTCCGGGCTTCAGCACCTTTAGTTTCTGTAATAGCAGAAATGCTTATCGTAATTATTACTATTTGATACCGGGTTGCTCTGCGTTTGCTTATGGATTACGGGGTCCTGAGTCGTGCAGTCTCAACGCTTGCCTGCCTATCTGACACATGCGCTACGCTTATTCTTTCACCCGACCATGACTTGAATCTCCTCATGATATTTAACTCTAACAGATGAAATACAATCCAGCTATGTGAAGCAATGCTATCATGTCCCCTGATTATAGCCGATTTGAGTAATCAGCCCCTGTAGTCCTCTCCTCTGCCCTGCGCATTAGCAACCGATCCACCAGCTTTTGCAGCCGTGCAACCAGCCAATCAGTCAGTCCTTTGTTTTGTCCAACCAATTCCAGCCTCATCGTCAAACACCAAAAGTCTTGTACAAAGAAGTTGGAGCCAAGAGCCAAGAGCTGTACATTGTTTTTTCCAGTCTTTCGATCCAACAGCATTAAAGTTGCGCTTATTTATTTCACCTCGCCTTTTGCCCATCTCAGTTCCACCACAATATAAGTCACCCTTAGAAGAATAGTGTTGTTCTCCATTTCGAAAATGTTCATTGAGAAAAAAGAAAAAGAAAAAGAAATCTTCAACAGCCATGAAATTTGCCGCAAAAACCCAATGCCGAATCCATTCGAATCCATTCTCCATAGCCACAGCGTGACTATAGAGAGCAGGTTTCGCCCGTGCTATCCGTATATGCAGTTGACTTCGAACAATGATTAGGTGTGTCAGCACGGCGAATCAATCTCAAGCATCCAAGGAATAGATGGGAAGCTCAGGGTGCGTTCATTACGAATTCAGAGTCTTGATCATCATCTTTTGCTTGCTTCGGTCCTTAACCACGAGGTTGCGGTCGGTAAACACAATTCTCATTGTATCGACAACTTTGTGAAAGCTGCTCGCGGCACCACGCTCTTGTGTAAAGCGAATGATGCTGAGCGGCTGTTTCTTGCCATGCTCAATCACCGTCATTACCTCTGCCGCAAACGCAACTTCTTTGAGATTCAAACCTATGTGTTTTGTTAGTTGTGATCGGGGTCAAATAGCTGTAGAGCACGCAACTCACAGTTCTTAGCTGCAACCCGCGCAAAGACGATGTTGCGTTCCTTATCCACTTGTATACCCTTAATTCCGTATCTGCGCTTACGCCATTCTCGCAGCAAGATGGCTACTTCCTGTCGCGCGCGTTTGCGTGACAACGTCATGCATATATAGCTTGTTGCAGGCTTGACGCGGAACAGCCTAGTAAGCCAGTTCTGCTTAACCTCAATATTGCGACTACTGGCCGACGACGATCGATGCCATTTTTGCTTCTTCGTACCAGCCTTTGTAGTGGCCACTTCTTGATTTCGGCTCTGGCGATCTATAAGAGAAAGTCCGTGTTAGTCTCCGTCTTTTAAAGAGAGGGGAAAAACATCCTATCCGGTGACAAGTCGATAACTTTACCTTCAATCATCATCTTCGAATCCCTATTTCGGTTGCTCTTCCAAAATGGAAAGCTAAAATTCCTCTTCTTGGATGAGGCAGCCGTCGCACAGCTTGAACCCGACTGGCGAGTTTCGCACGATACGGTTCGCTGCCTCTCATCCTTAGGCTCTACCAAAGTCTCCTCCGAGTCGAGCTTGAATGATCGTTTGAACCATGACTTCTTTTTCTTCACTGGGCTATGAAGGTCTGGCTGTGAAGTATCTTCCTTCTGCTGCCCATAGCTCTCCACCGCACTTTCTGGTTGCTGTGCATAGTGATATAATGGCCCTCCAAGGTTTTGCATGGTACTCTTCTTTCGCACGTTCAGCGGCTCGGGAATTTCAACTGGGCCTTGTGCCGTGGGAGAAGTTACAACTCTGATTGAGTTTTCAACTTGGTTCAGGTATTCAACACCGCTGATAGGGCGGTTTGCCTTCTTCGATGGTGAATGCGGTGGGGCTGATACGATTCTTGTTTTCTCAACATTGGCACTGTTGCCGCCTCCTGGATTCTCATTGATGCATGGCAAAGTACCTGTCCGGCGACTAACCTGGGCATACGGAGCTGAGACGACTCGGCGATCCGATTGGTTCGGAAGCAGCAATGGTAAGGCCAGTAAATTGACTTGGTCTACCATATTGTCTCTATCTCCAGCTCTCGAAGCTGGTCGAGAGTTCACATTAGTTGCCTTGGGGCCAGGCTCCAATGGAAGTGGTGGCAGGGGACGACTGCTCCAGGACATACATGAGAATTCTGTGGGTGCGGTTGCTTCTGATGGAGTATCGATTGTAAAGGAAAACGGTGTGGAGTCACGCTGCCTCTTCTCCATGTCTGTCAATGATCCAGAAATGGAGTCGTCCTCGATGAGTGAACTTCTAAATGCATCATCGCAGTCTTTGGCGATGTTGTTGCTAAAGTGGCGCAGCTCTTCATTAAAAAGAAACGAGGCGTCTTTGTACGTTGGTTCACCTTTGGCCTTTGGATAGGTGCCGTTAGGCAGCTGTGGCATTTCCGGTGTTGGAGATCGAGGCCTCGAAGGGACTTGTTGCGAGACGCCTTCTGATACCATAGAATTTGCTTGTGAACGGTTAGGGCCCCGTTGAATATGTGCGGCAGAGGCTGATCGCTTGCGGACATGCGAAAAATCGACTCCGCGTTTGTGCCGCAAACCAGGGCCGTGCCTTTGCGGCGTGCCTTGCCTATTGCTATGCAAAGAGCTCACTGATCCCCTTGATGACTGAGGACGACCTACAACTGTTCGCACAGAACTAGCCCTTGGGCGACGAGTAGCATTCGACCCGCTGCGTTTTCTAGTCGACTGTGATGTTTGTGTCATCTCGCCATCTCGATGGACGGTGATCCTGGCATGGCTAGCTTGAGAGCCGCATGCTTTTAGCATTCGGCTGCTTCTATAAGGGTCGTAGCTCTGAACAGTCCCATTCTCAGTTTCTGCCGTTGTGGAAATGACTGTGAAACGAGAAATGGATCTACCATGACCATTGGCTCGAGGCTGATAAAACTCGCATGTCGAGACGCGTTTTTTCCACGAGTTTGGCTTGAGGTGATGGTAGTCGCTCATTGAGTGAGACAGTTCCGGCTTAAAATCCTCCAACTGCTTTTCACGGTAGTTGTGGAGGAGCCAGTAAAATGCCTTTTGGTCATTCGGTCTAATTTCATTCGGGTTAATAGACAGATCAATGGTGAAAAGGTGTATCGCTACGAGACATCACTTACTCTTTGCAGCTCAGTTTCATTTCCAAGTCGTCATCGCTAAACATGTGCCAAAGAGAACGTAGTTGTCGCAGCAGCTGGGGGTCGATCTGATGCTGCAGAATCGGAGTGTACTGAAAGCCCTTCCGCGTATCTGGAGGCTGACCCGTGTTCTGACCAAAATCATCTAGGTAATTATATCGCTGAATCAATGGATGTTGCCAAATCTGCTTCATAGTAATTCGATGGTCGGGATTGACTTGAAGCATGCGGCGGATGAGATCTTCAGCTTCGGGGCTAAGGAACTTTGGCATTTCATACTGTCCCTTTTTTGTTTTACCCATCATGACACGCAAATCAGGATCATCAAAGGGCAGGGTCGCGGAGAGCATGGCGTATAAAATCACACCCATACTCCAGATATCGGCCTTATCTCCACGATACTGCCGGTTTTTGAGAAGCTCAGGTGCTGCGTAATGGGGGCTGCCGCAAGCTGTTGCCAGCCGGTGAGAAGCTGTCTGGTGGAGAGCTGCCATTCCAAAGTCGGCAATCTTGATCTGGAGATCGGCGGTAATCAAGATATTTTCAGGCTTCAAATCGCGATGGCACACGTTGAAAGAGTGGCAGTAAGCAATAGCGCTGATCATCTGCCGGAAGAAATAAATAGCCACTTCTTCGGACAGTCTTCCTTTTGAGTTGATGAAAGTAAAAAGATCACCTTGATCTATATATTCAAGAATGAGGTAACTAGAATCCAGCATCAGTTAGCTTTGGACATTGGACGTTGATAGGGAGAAAGGCAGGACCAACATTTCAGAGCGGTTCTCCCATATATCGTAGAGCTTCATAATGTTGGGATGTTCAATAAGTTTGAGAATGGCAACTTCGCGCTCAATCGCCACAGGAACACGCATTTCGCCATTAACTTCAGGAAGGCTGGAGTCCCACTTGCTAAGAGCAGCCAGGCTGCTGTCTTGAACAAGGTACGCCATGCGACGGTTGACAATCTTTACGGCCGCCATTTGATGGGTGATGCTGTGGCGACACAGCCGCACTCGGGCTGACGAGCCTTTCCCCAGAGTCCTTCCCAGCTGCCATGGCCCAATGTGGGTTTTGTAGTTCTTCCTGCTTTGGCTGCTGGAAGTGGACGCATACGATGCCTGAGAAAGACGCTTCGTAGCCTCTGCTGGCTGCGGTTTCTGTGTAGTGGGATTATAGGCGTCGTAAGCCACAGCCTGGCCACGTGAATCACGGCGAATACTCTGATTATTAGTATACTGGCCTGGGTATTGTGCATTGTTAGATTGATTGCATCGCGCCTTGCTCCTCTGGTCCTGGGCTGGGAACGGCATGTTGAGGCGATTAGTGGTTTCGACGAGAGGCGGACGAGGTTTTGAGATATATTCGGCCATGGTTATCGCCGTGAGGTGTAATAGGATTAGCACATAATACTCGAAAGCAACTTGAAAAGAGGTGGACTGTTATACAAGTGTGAAGAGGCAAGATGCTGATTATCGGTAGTGGAATTGTCAATAAGAGAGATTCTAAGGAATACGCATGCAAAAGTAACAGGCAATGCGATATTGGAGAGAGTTCAGACAAGAGAATCGCGAGAAGGAAGCTTCCAGCATAGAGCACCGAGACTGTGGGAGGAAGAAAAGACGCGGCAGGCGAAGTCCACAGAAAAGAGAGAATGAAAAAAGAAGGACGAGGGGCAGGAATGCAGTGGATGAAACCCAGCTGTGCAAAAACAAGGAATGTAACGTGCGCTGGCCTATGATTTGGCAGCTTGATAGAGGTGGCGGACGGCTGGCTGCCGGCCAGAGGGAGAAAGGGAGGCTGCTGGCACTGGAATTTGGTGTTGACGCAGTCTCGTCATTCCATTTCAGTAAGAGTGGAAATCGAGTCACTTGCTAGAATAGCGCAGAGCAGAGGAATCGTTTCTCTGTGCATGTCGCCTGAACATTGGTGTATATGAGTGGCAAAAGGAAAAGGAACCAAAATTACATGCAAGCTACCGTAAAAATATCGCGATGCATTCCTGCTACATTGGAATTTAGGAGATGCGACATCACGCTCACATCTCTCTCCTCTCTACAAAAGATACGAGGCTCGTTTACTATAAGCATAGATCTTCAGTATGTTCATCAAGGCTTTTTATCATTTTATGATAGGGGCGTCTGTGAATTATACTACATGACCATATACCATTTTGTGGCAGCCATGGCTAAAGCAGATGCGCATTGCATATTAGCGATACGGCGCGGTAATGGAGAGTAGAGTGGACGCGGTCCTCGGGATATCGGCCCTAGGAGCATAAGTATACTATTTATGGATAATTTCTGTTTTGCTGAAGAATCTAAATTGTCAGCGTGTAAGGTTTAGGCAGCAAGAAGGGTGGAAAACAATCATATTCGGCCCAAACTCAAGTGAGAGTAGCATAGAAGCAAAAGTGGCCAGCCAGAGGGAAACCATTGAATGGTTCTCTTTAGGCAAATGGAATTGTATAAATATATCATTCAGAGTTTTCATTTTATGTAGGATAACGTGATTTAAATCTTAATTCTATCAGGTAAACATAATGCGAACCCCAAAAACAACGTCAAATACCAAGACAAAGGCATGCAACCTGCTTCGCGAACAAGGGATGAGGTTGAGACATGACTAAGCAAGCAACAAGCAGCGATCGGGCCTTCATGTTCAAGTCAGGCAAATTTCACTTTGGTCTTCAATAAGTCTTCTTTCAATCTCATTTCCAGCTGGTCCATGTCTCAGGCAGCGATCAAAGACCAGCCCATTAGATGATCTAGACAGCTCTGGTTTATATATCAAGTTATTTACGATGGTCTCAATTTGCCACGAGTCTATTGAATAGAGATACATCTAGATGGCGCACTTATTTTACAGCAATATCTAGAGAATAGACCAACGAAAAGATGGTGGATGATCCGAGCTTAAAGAAAAAAAAAACTTAAATTAATATTTTCCCTATGGTTATGGCTACAAAACCAGCGTGTAGCTCCCAATGCTGTACTCGAGTACTCCGTACAATTCTAAATACTTAGGTAGCGTCAGGCCGATGAAGCTGGGGAAACAAATACGTTTATGATTACATATATCCATCACCTCAGACATCTCCAATGCAGTTAAACGCATACGAGCGAGCGTAATTGGTTTAGTGGTAAAATTCTCCGTTGCCATCCGAGCAACGTCGGGGAGCCCTGGGTTCGATTCCCAGATTACGCAGCATATCTTTTTTTGCCTCTGTAATTGAATGAATGTATTCTTGTTTTGGTAACTGATGGGTTTTATTGAGCCTGCAGATACACGTAGCGGTTTTTGGCATTAACATGTTGCGAATTTGATGGATTTTTTGAGGGGTGTGAATTTGGGATATAGACTATTCTGGGAGGCGTGTAAGTCTTATACTAAGCCTTGCTCGATCTACGTTATGCACTGTGTAACTAACGGTGAATTGCTCATGTAAAAGAGTATAAAGGACAAGACTATCGATTGCACAGTCGCGAGCAGTAGCCTAATGCGAGACTTGGCAAGATATAGTATGAAGCTGGTGCTCTGAAAGTTGGTGAGCGCATAGAGCGAGTGCTGTGCTTTCGTTATCGATAGCCTACCTAATCTTGAAGAGCTGGCGTTAAGTGGTGGGGGTTCAGAGACGCGTCCAACCGCGTCGCACAGGTCCCCGCCATCTACCTCTGCCAACGGCTTCGATGCACAACATCACAGCTGTTGCTCTTACTCTGCCTCTTCGCACAATCATTTGATTTGAAGAGATGAGCTCCAGCACCTCGCGCCGTCGACGGCGTGGGGATGAGGATGAAGATGATGACAGCGGCACTGACGGCCGAAGATCACCATCTGGAGACGACAGCCCGAAACGACGACGAGTAGACACCGAATCGGAGGAAGATGAACAACGACGAGGCCGAAACGTCCCAGTAGACAACTCCAGCTTCCAGCCAGGAGCCATCGTCCGGGTCAGCGTGCAGAACTTCGTGACATACGAGAAGGCCGAGTTTCTACCCGGCCCAAATCTGAACATGGTTATCGGTCCAAACGGCACTGGCAAAAGCTCTTTGGTTTGCGCCATCTGTCTAGGGCTTGGATATAGCCCCAAACACCTTGGCCGCGCAGGCACTGTCAAAGAGTTTGTCAAGAACGGAAAGGATACGGCAACGATCGAGATCGAGCTTCACAAACGGCCTCAAGATCGGTCCAACTATGTTATTCGAGTTCAAATTCGCCGAGAGCAAAATATCCAAAAATGGTGGTTGAATGGCAAAGAGACGACCCATAAGAAGATACAGTCATTGATGCATATGCTCAAAATTCAGGTAGACAACCTGTGTCAGTTTCTTCCTCAGGACAGAGTTGTCGAGTTTGCGGCCTGCACTCCCGTGGAATTACTTCATGAAACTCTGCGCGCTGCTGCCCCTGAAGAAATGCAAAAGTGGCATCGGCAGCTCCAAGAATATCACAAGGACAAGAAGGACATCGCTGAAGCCGTGCAGACTGATGCCGAAACCTTGAAAAATCTACAAACTCGCCAGCAAGGCTTACAGGCTGACGTGGATAGAATCCGCGAACGAGAAGAAATCCAGGAACGAGTCAGTAATCTAAAAGGCGCGCTCATTATTGCGCAATACCAGGAAGCACGTAACAACCACATGGCCGCAAAGGAACGCAGAAAGGAGGCAGAAAATAAACTGAAACTTCTTGAGCGGGAAAGCGGGCCATCTTTGGAGGCAGTCAACCGGAAACAGGTCTACGCCCAGGAAATTGAGGCCGCCATCCCATCGAGAGTAAAGGCGGTTAAGGATACTCAGTTGGCAGCCCAGAACCTGGCCCAAGACATAAGCACTATAGTGGACGATGTCAAAGAGTGGTCCAATAAGATAGGTGCTGAGAGAACAGGGTTTGATGAGAAGAGGAAAGAGGTAGCAGCATCGAAATCCAGAATTACAACTCTACTAGCAGATTTGAAGAATCGACCGTCAGATTTCAGTGCGGGCGAGTGGAATCAAAAAATTGTGAGTTCTCAAATCTATCTGTTCCGCTTATCCTTCAAAGACTAACCAGGAAATTCCTCTCTAGCGAGCCGAGGAGCACAACCTGCGAGAAGTTGAGGCAGACCAGCGCCGATTAACTGCCGAGTTAGACAATGTTAAAGAAAAGGGGAGAAAGAAGATGGATGAGCTGCGGAAACTTAAGGCAGACATAGAATCTCTGGATACTCAAGAGGGTCAGCAGCTGAGCTTTATGCGAAAACATTTTCCTGAGCTGGCTACGGCCTGGGACTGGGTTCAAGAACACCAAGGCGAATTCGAAAAAGAAGTTTTTGGGCCGCCTATGCTATGCTGCTCGGTTAAGGACGAACGCTACTCGGATCAAGTTCAAGCTCTACTACAGACCGACGACTTCCTTTGCTTTACGGCACAAACTAAAAATGACTACCGGAAATTAACAAACCAGCTCTACCGCGAGATGAGTTTATCTGTCGTTATCAGAACCTGCTTGCAACCTCTCGCCGCTTTCAGATCGCCTATCGCTCTCGATGAAGCTCAGTCACTAGGCCTGGATGGCTTTGCGCTGAACTACTTGGACGGCCCTGAACCAGTGCTTGCCATGCTGTGTGCTGAAAAGAGGTTGCATCAATCCGGTGTTTCGGTGAAAGACCACAGTGACGATGAGTATGAAAGGCTTGTCAATCACGGTCGAATAAGCCAATGGGCAGCCGGAAAGCAGCAGTACTTGATTCGTCGGCGGAAAGAGTACGGTCCCAATGCCATGACAACAGTTACCAAGAGGATACAACCTGGAAGGTTTTGGACTTCTCAGCCCGTGGACTCACAGGAGAAGATGGAGTTGAATAGGCAGCAAATTGAAGTGACTGAGGAAGCAGAAGTTATGAAAGTCACATACAAGGAACTGAGGCAAAAGAATGGAACATTTGAGGAACAAAAAGCCGAAATACAAGGCAAAATTGTAAGATGAGATGGACATCTCAACCTGGATATATATATATATATACCGCTTTGCTAACACAAACAAAGGAACAATTGAGAACGGAGAAGAATGCTTTGCAGAGGGAGTTTTCGAAGTGGCAGATGATACCCCAAAAGATAGGTTGGTGCTTATTGAGCAAGTGTCACTAGCTATGATCGCTCAACTAACTGAATTAGAATCTGAGGAACGGCACAAAGAGGCGAATGAGCAGGCCATGCGCGAGGCCCGGGAAAGAATCGTGGAGCTCGGCTTCGAATGGGACAAGGCAGTGGTGGAAAGAGCCAAGCTTGTTCTACGCCACCAGGAGGCTCTCAGTCAAATCGGAAAAGCTCATACCGATCTAATCGAAGCCAAGTTGCGGCTTATCGAAGCCAAATCCGATATTGAGGGCCTTAAAGCTCGCAACTCTGATATTATGGAGAAGCTTGAACAAGAGAAGCTTGTAGTGCAACAAGCTACTGATGAAGCTATTCAAGCTCGAGAATTAGGGCGCAGGCTATCTGACAAAGTTCGAGAACTTATCAGCGAGAATCCTGACAAGAAGGATACATATACCTCCCTGGCTGAAAATAAATTGGCTGCGGAGATAGAAATGGATATATCTGCTGAGCAGGCAAATCTCGAACTCATCCACGCAGCCAATCCCAACGTCATTCGAGAGTTTGAGAAGCGCGAACAGGAAATCGCCAAGCTGACGAAGAAGATGGACGCATCAAACGGCAAGCTTGCCGCCATCACCCAGCAGCTGGATGAACTGATGAGCAAGTGGGAGCCCAAGCTGGATGCATTGGTATCCAAGGTCAACGACGCTTTCGCCTACAACTTTGAGCAGATTAGCTGTGCTGGTGAGGTTCGCGTTAATAAAACCGAAGACTTTGACCAGTGGGCCCTAGACATTATGGTCAAATTTCGGTATGTCTTTCCCCCTTTTCCTCCTATCGGCTATATCACATTATTCATACAGTTTGCAAACTGACAACAAATGTACAGAGAGAACGAATCCCTCCAACAACTCAATGCCCATCGCCAATCCGGTGGCGAGCGCGCCGTCTCCACCATCTTCTTCCTCATGGCCCTCCAATCCATGGCCCAGTCCCCCTTCCGCGTCGTCGACGAGATCAACCAGGGCATGGACCCCCGCAACGAGCGCATGGTCCACGAGCGCATGGTTGAGATTGCCTGCCGCGAGCACACGAGCCAGTACTTCCTCATCACACCCAAGCTGCTCACGGGCCTGCGGTACGATCCCAAGATGAGGGTGCTGTGCATCGCCAGCGGGGAGCACATGCCCAAGGATGGAACGAAGCTCAGCTTTAGGCGGTGCTTGAAGATTCAGAAGCGCATTATGGCGGCTGCAGCGTAAAATAAAATGTTGGTATTTATAGGCACTAGAGCCTGAGCCTTTAGACGGATGATTTGTTTTTATGAGCTTGAACGGCGGGCAGCATCTTGAGCGTTGAGTGGAATTACGCAGCCTTGTCAGTTTTTTTCCCCTCTTGTCTAAGAGGCAACAATGTATATATATAATTGATCCACAGACAAAGCAGCAACTATAGAAGCACACAAAGCTCAACGCCCTTAGTCTTCAGTTTGACCTTTCCCTTATACTAATAAAGGAGACGAAATTCTCGGTAGCACAAAGTTCAATATAACAGATATATTTATATAATAAGGCCAGGCAATTCATCTCTCATCATTTAGTTAATATAGTTATAAAAAAAATTGTAAGCCAAACCATGCAAAAAGAAAAGAACGGAAAAAAAGAAAAAGAAAAGCATTCTCCTTCCCCCTTTTTTGCATGATTCTCTGTGTTGCTTTCCCCCCCTTTTTTTAAGCAGTCTCTCCGACAAAAAGTGTAAAGATGTCTTCTCCAGGGGAGACAGCCATTAAAAGGAAAAAAGAGGAAAGAAAGGGAAAAATTCACGCATATACTGCCACAATTATTGTACAAACAAAAAGGTAAGGACTCCGAGGTCCCATGAGCCATCTTTTCCGTCAATGTCAAGGACAACTGGAAAAGAGAAGACGAAAAAAAAAAAAAAAAAAAAAAAAAAAAAAAAAAAAAAAGAAAAGACAAAAAGGAGCAATAAATAGAGAGAGAGAGAAAAGCAAGGTAACCGTATATAAAAATTGCTGATATCCCGTTGCAAAAAAATAAGAACCACAGATTCACATCTCTCCCCGGAGAGAGCAAGCGCATGCGCCGTACGCGACAGGCCGTTAATGTGTATCGTATCGTGACAAGTAAAACCCAGACTCGTAATCAAACGAGCCTTAGTTGAGGGGGAAGAAAAAGTATTAAGGAGAGAATAGGAATAGAAGAGTAAGTGTGCTAGTAAACAGGGTGTAGGCATTTCAGTGACATGAACTAAATGATGCCATTGTCATATGGCAACAATAATCATCAGATTATTAGAAGAGAACCAAACGGCTAAACCGTCTTCAAAGCAGACCATTACTGGGGAGCCTTGAATAGGTTTGTGGTGCATAAAACGAAGCGGCCAGGCAGGAAAAAATCGTCATACAAACGTAGCGGTATCCAAAACGTGGGAGAATTGGTTCAATCTTATTTGGTGTCTGGGTGGTTGTCTGTATCAAGTCGCTTTCTCCAATCAGCTAGACTCTCGCTCATTCCGATGGTAGGAGTCTCGTCTTCTGGCTTAGAGGGGGCTGCAGAGTCAAAATCAAAGTTGGTACTCAAGCGATAATTCTTATTCGTTGTTTCCCAGTGGTTTCGAAGAGTCTCCAGCTCGCTGGCGAGGTTGTCCAGTGCAGCACTGTTCCTGTTACCAATATTGCTCTCTCCATAAATACTCTCTCCCTCGGAGCTTTCGTTGCGACTGTGGCCAAGGCCATTTGGCGGTATCATCCCCTCAACGTGCCGACTACGGCGGCGGTAGGTATCAACAGAGTGTTCAACTTGATCCAGGAGTAGAGAAACCTTCTGTTCGGCATCAGAAGCACGTTGTTCGAGAAGAACATTCTCCGCCTGCAGCTGTTCCAGCTCCTTGCGCTGGGCGCTTAGATTCGCACTAATCTCGTCCCTCTGCTGCTTGCTCTCCAGCAATTCGGCCTGGAGGCTCTCGAGGTTCTTCTCCAGCTGAGAAGCAGAACCGCGGAATTCGGCCTCCAATTCAGATATTTTACCCTGGAAAGCAGCACGCTCCTTCTCCCAAGTTGCAGAGCCGGGTTCGTCTGAGCCGGCCTGTAGCCTATCTTCAAGTCCCACAACCTCTGATTTTAAGCGGCTGTTCTCCGTCTTGTAGCGTGTCAGTTGCTCCTGGAGCTGCTTCAGCATCTTCTCTGTTCCCTTAACATAGTGCACCGCCGATTGGTAATCGCTCTCGAGTTGAGATAGTTTCTCACGATACGCAGTTTCGGAATCCTGGGCCTGCATGGCGAATGTCTGCTTAGTCTCTTCATGAGCAGCGCTGATGCTGGCCAGCTGAGACTCAAGCTCTCGTAGGCGATTCTGCTGCTCAGGAGACGTTGTCCGCGGGCTGGTGAGGCCGCGAGATCTAGCAGCACCTGTCGGGCTAATGCCTCGTTCGACAAGAATGTCTTTGAGTGCATTGTGTTGCACAGTCATAGCATTCGTTTCGAGCTGCTGAGCAGCCAGCTGGTTCTTGATATCTGAATGAGCGGCCTGGAGACTCTGGTTTTCCCTCAGAGCTGACTGAAGTTGTCGTCGGATACTGACGCCTTCTCGACTGGATTGTTCTTGGTACTGCTCGAGTCCGGCAATACGCTCTTCTGCGCCGCGCAGTCTATCAGCAGCTATATCTGCTTCCTGCTGGTACTTCTTAACCAAAGCGTTTGCGGCAGTCAGCTGGTTCTGGAGTGCAAGAGCACGATCAGCATCTGGATTATGTGCATTCGCCTCGTCTTTTGATGTGAGCTTGTGAAGTCCAGACAACACAGCCTCACGGTGAGTTCGTGCTTCAGTGGCATGTTTTTCGGCAAGCTCTTCAGCATCTCGCAGGCGTTGGGTCACGGCAACCAGCTCTGCTGTGCGTGCTTCGTGCTCAGCCTTGAGCTTACTCAGCTTCCCTTCGACCTTCTCTCTCTGAGTTCTCTCTTCTTCGAGTTTTGTCTCAAGATGAACGGTTGCATCTTGCGACGCTTCAATGGCGGCTCTAAGGGATTCAAATGTCTCTTCACGGCCATTAGACGAATCAGAAATTTCATCAAGCTTCCTTGAAATTGACTCCTTCTCAACCTTCAGCAGTTCCAGGGCAGCCACAGCCTCGGCGCTAGCCACGGACTGCTCCCGAGCTTCACGCTGCGAGAAGTGAAGCTCTGCTTTGAGACGCTCAACCTCGCCAGACGTTTGTTGCTTATAATTTTCTAAATCAACCATGCGTTTTTGGGCGGCTACTGATGTATCATCAGCAAGCTTACGGGCTCTTTTCTCGGCTTCAAGTTCGGATTTCGCAGACTCTAGTTGCGTTTGAAGACTCTTCTGGTGATTGAGAACAGATGCCAGCTTTTTGCTCATCTCTGCCGATCTAGCGCCGGAGTCGTCTCGCTCGCCATCGGGCTGAGGGGTGCTAGAGGGGCTGCCACCACTCTGAGCAGCCAGCTTAGCCTTGGCATAGACGGCTTCCTGAATGGCGACATCTCGCTGCCTTTCCGCCTCCGCGATTTGCTTAGCAGCAACAATGGCTTGTTTGTCTACAGCGTTCTGAACGTTCGCTAGTTCCGTCCTCATGGCCAGAAGTGCCTCGATCAACGGTCGATCTTCATCGTCAAAAGTCTCAATGGCCTTTCCGTCAAGCGCAGGCCCCATGGATGCGTTGGCGACATAACCCGCCTTCCTGGCTAGTTCTAGCTCCGACGCGTACCATGCATTTCGATTTCGGGCGGAGTCAAGCTCTTTTAGAAGAGCCACTGTCTGCGAGTTTCGGCCGGATGAGCGTCGGTTCAATGAAGTATTCATCGGCTTGGCTAGATGCGTGGGTGATGTTGGTCGGTTCGGTGCCATCCTTTGCATTCCTTCTCCCGTAGTATCAATCGAGCCTGACGAGTTTCCGGGGCGCATTTTGCCTCGAGGAGGCTCGCCCCTGGGAGGTTCGCCCCTAGGAGGTTCACCTCTAGGAGGCTCATTCCTAGGAGGCTCGCCATAGGAGCCTTGCTTAGATCCCGACCTAGTGGCTTGTGTGGGCGTAGTTGGTGTTCGTCGCCCATTAGCAAGGTTACCCGTGGCAGAGACAGGAGCTGATGTATTGACACCTGTGGGTGTGGGGATTTCACCCTCGGGGATTATCTCGCGAGCTATGGGAGATGGGGCAGAAGTCAGCTGTGGTGAGCCTGTCGCCATCGCTCGGTCAACAGAGGCGCCTCGAACTCGTCCTATGGCAGATGGATCACCTGGCTTAGCAGGAGTTGGGCCTTGTGGTGGCGGTCCGGAGGGGCTAGAGGTCGAACCAGCTCGCATTTTGTTTCCTGGTCCCGGAGGGCCTCCGGGGCCTCCAGGACCTCCAGGACCTCCGGGAGGTACTCTTGGCGGCGCTCCGACGGGCGGAGGAGAGCTTGGGCCTCCAGGATTTGGCGGACCGTTTGGCTCCATGCCGTTTGAAGGGACTCTCTGGCCACTAGGGCCACCAGTTGCGTTCCTGGTATCGGGAGGCCCTCCTCCATTGGATACATCGCGCATTGGCGGTTGCCTGTTGGGATTCGACGCATCGCTGGGGCGCCGCGCCTGGGGTATTCTTTGAGGTCCTCCCGGAGTGTCATTAGGATACCGAATCTTAGTCGTATCCAGTATATAGAGGATTCCAAGATCGTTCGTAGACGGAGAAGCAGTGCTAGGCTCTCCGCCAAGCACTACAATGGATTTCCCAACCGTTGTCATACTATGTCCAGATCGAGGCGAGGGAGAGGGGCCCATGTTTTGGAAAGTATACCATCTCCGCTGCGTGATGCGAAATGCGGCAAGGTCGCCCAGGTCTGTGCCCTCTTCAGTTCTTCCGCCGAAAATGTACATGACATCGTCCACTATAGCAGCAGCGTGGCCCTCACGAGGAGCGGGTATGTAACCGATACAGTCCAGTTGTGTCCACTTGTTGACTGCAGGATCGTAACACCAGACATCGTTGAACCATTGGAACCCATTGGTACCACCAAACCTAACAAGACCGGTTAAAAAAGAACAGCCACAGAATAGGACAGTAATATTACACATACAAATACATCTTGTCGTTGAATGTCACAATGGAGTGATTCGTTCGTGCAGCGGGTACCTTGGGGTTCGCTTCTGCCTTGATGAGAATCTCCCATCGGTTGGTTGGCGATTGCAACTGGTTGAGATCAAAGGCAGAGAGGTCATTCATAAAAAATCCTTCGACCTGGCCACCGAAGATGTATATCTTGGAACCTAGAATGTTAAGTGAATGGCCGTAGCGCCCTGACGGACGAGATCCTGCAGGCAAGGCGCGAGACCAATGCCGTGTTGCTACAAGGAGGAAAAGATGTTGGTAAGATTTCTCGATTCTGTTGTCGCCAGATTTTTCACATAGCTTTGCCGGGGATGAAATACTCACAAGTATTAAGTAGATATAGCGTTTCGTCCAGGATATCGTTATCATCAATTTTGGTGTCTCCACCATACACGATGAAAGCGTTGCCGACTAACAAACTGGCATGACCAACACGAGGCCCCGGGCCTTCAGCGGTGGTCGCCAGGGGGTAGCAGTTCAAGCTACCGCCAGCCTCAATCATCCAAAGGTCGCCCTTTACTGTTGAACTGTTGATCAGGCCACCCATCAAGTAAACGTCTCCCTCTTTCGAAGCAACTGCGTTGACGGCGGCACCATATCGGGGAAACGGGCTCGGATGCGACGAGGTATAGGTCAAGCGCCGCTGCGACCACGGGTAGAGCGAAGCGTTCGAATTGCTCACGGGCGGATTGTTTCGAAACTTAATGATTTTACGTGTTAGATGTCGCACACACATGGATACAGGAAATGCAGTGGCCAGCTCAATTTAGCTCCAGGTCAACGTTACTCACTGGCAAGTCACTCGTCTGAGGCGTATCCACGCTACCACCACGACGTCCATGGCCTGGGCCGCCCTGGTCAGGGCTGGAAGTGCTGGCGTCATTGTCGAGAGAATGCAGGCTTCCCGTTGGTGTTGCGCGCTGCAATGCTGTGTTCTTGTCGTCTCTGGCCACCACGCGTCCGGGGGCGTTCTGAATGGACCCCTGGGAGCCCGAGCTGCCGTCGCGACTCGATGTGGTGCGGTCCTGGTGCTTCTTGGATTTGAAGAGAAACGCCATGGTGGACTGCGGACCGCTCGCTGGCGGAATATGGGCAGTGGCGTATTCGCAGACTGGCTATAGAAGGATGCGGTTGTCGGAGTCGTAAACGAGTGTGGGTAGATGGTGAGCCGTTCCCAATGAAACGAGCGAACCGGCAACGAGAGGATTGCGCGCACACGCACACAAAGACGCGGACGGCTCAATAGGCCCAAGGAGTGACTGAAGAAAGAATTGCTAAGAAAGAAGGGGGTCGACGCTCGAGTGTCGAGATGGCTGGGCAAGCATCTGCGGGAGGTCTCCGGGGGAGTGTCGCCGAAATTTCAGTGGCCACCTATTTTGGGGAGGATGAGAATTTGGGGGGTGTGTGTGGCAGGAGGAAGAACCATGTGCTCTGCCCTTCTCGAACCCGCGGAATGGAGACGCAGAAACCAAAGCACCGCTGGCTGCAAGCTCGCAATTGCTGGGAAGGAGAGGAATAGCCTGCGGCGAGAGAGAACAGACGAGAAAGCCACAGCACCGCTGTTGGTGATTGAAGTTGGGACGGGGTGGACAACGACGCTCGGTTGTGGTGCTGGGCTGCGTTTCGGCCTCCTGTCACAGTGCCAGGGCCTGCTCGCCGGGCCAATTAGCGGGCAATGCTGGCCTTTGGGGTGCCTGACTGAACACTTTTAGGGGCTGCAGGCTCACCAAAGGACACTAAGCTGCTGTAGGTACTGACGTACTGCCGTGCCACAGAATGGCTTTGTGGGGGACTCCTAACAGCAGTGACCTGAGGGGTACCTGCAGCCGCGCCTGAGTGGGCGGGCGATCGCCCTGCGCTGCGGCTGGCGGCCAGGTTCCTCCGCCGTAGCGCCCTGGGGAGTCGGAGATGGCGACGATGTGGAGCTGGCCAGAAATCAAGGGGCTGGAGGGGCAGCGACAGGCATTTGCAGCGTCGAATACGGGAAGGGCCAGCTCTTGACGCAAGGAACAATCTGATGGCAATTTTTTTGCGGCCTGGCCCAAAGCTCTGCTCCGTTTCGTCTAGAAGCTCGCGATCGAGAGCCCACTGCTGACCTCATAGTGCTCCTGCCTGCATGTGCCGTATCGCTCGAGACAGACCCCGTGGCAACGCTGAAAGATATACAAGTATATGATTTTTGCTGGTAGTATCAGCAGCACTGCATTTTATACAAGGTACCCAATAACTGTTAGATGCTTGATTGGATTTCATTCTGGGCATTGCTCTACGCGTTTGTGCTCTCAACTCCAGCGTTGATCGCCCGTTGGCGTCCCGCTCCTGATCATTTCCCTCCCCTTATGGCTTTGCGATCCTTCAGGCCGGGTACCGGGCACTCAGCCCGAGGACCCTTGGCAGGCTGGTTGTCTGTAAATGTACATTCGTGAGCCGCCCACCAGCAGGGGCAGTGTCGTCGATCGCATTTGGCTAGGGAGCATGGATGCTCCTGTTCCTACCCTGTATGCTCAAGGCAATGGGGAGATTTGATGTTTGCTGGGCAACACGCCAGCTGAAAGCATGCACACAGACAGTTTATAGAGATTTCTTTCTCTCTTTTCTGAGTATTGTATTTATTGTTGCAGAATACAAATCTCGACCCTCAGTCAACGAAATGCTATGCTGGCATTCCACACGCACTGGTTGTCGCATCTAGCATCTCAGTTCAAGTGCTAAGCACTGTTATGACGACGCAAAAGAACGCTGCATCAATACATGTTACACAGCACCCTAGCTATCCATTCAAAGCACTATCGCTTCTATTAAATCCAATTTCTTTCAACTTGGCGCAAAATAGTGTTTCTTATTGTCGCAACCAGCACGTTCATGGACGGCGTCTTTGGTTAGATCACGTGCTTAACGATGCAAAGAGGAGGCAACTCGTCTGTTAGATTTGCTGAAGCAACACGTACATGTATGTATGATGGGCAAATCCCTACCTAGGGTTGATAGCGGCTTAATTGCCCATTACAAGGTCGTGTGAGAATTGATATCCATTACTAAACGGACTACGTCTTGCCGACGCTTATACATGAACGATGACCCTCTGCCGCCAACAAGCTCTAAGCTTTTTAGCGCCGTTCGTGAGTTGCTAAAAACATCGACATCACTAGTGCCTGCCTGGTACCTAAGGTAAGGTCGTAGCGGCATGCCGCAAAGTTGGTTCTTTGTTCTGGCTCGGAAGCTACTGCGTCCTAGATATCAGCCATCAACTCCAGCGAGTGCTGTTTCGTCGCAGTGAGCGACCTTAATTGACTCGACTTCCGGTTGTAAGCGCCTAGTCGGCTAATATCATATACGAATTATTGACTCACAACTCATATGACCTTCCAAGCGCATGCTCGGGTTTCTGCCTGGCGGTAAGATGCGGCATGGCTGGATAGCTTCAGCTAGTGAACACTGGAGCAGAGCCGCTCCAGCCACAGGACTTGGCCGGACAGCACCCAGCTTTCGGCAAGGTACATGTAGTAATAATCCCATGGTCGTAATAGTTACCCAAAGGCGCCGTGTGGGCTGTACTACCGCGGGCGTGCCTTGCATTGGTCAGTTTACAGTTGCTCTAAGCGTTGCGTCGGCTGCAGCACTGGGCAGTAATACGCGTGGGCTGGCAGCTATCAAATAAAAAGCCAGCCGCCGGCGACCAAAACTCTGTGCCCAAGGCTGGCCGTGAACTCTCAATCCAGTTCTTATAGCGACTTTTCCGCCCAGTCCATCGCCCATAGCATCGCTTCTGAGCAGATGAAAGCATCATTCCAGTCCTCGCACCCTGCTCTGCACTGATTAGCATGGGTGTTTCATCATGGTGATTTAGATAATCGTGCCTTGCTCCACTTTAGACCGCGACCGTCACGACCGCCATGTCTCTGCCTCAACCGCACCAAACTTTGCCTCTCCGGCTGCACCACCCACAGCAACGGCCTGCGAGTTTCACCGAGGAAACAAACTCCCACGTCGACGCCCACGAGACGCTTCTGACCCCGTTGCCCGCGCGCCTAGGAGAGTTACGAGCCGCGGCTCATGGACTTCCAGCTGAGATGACGCAGCGATCTGGTGCAAATGGCTCACACGCATCTGCCGCCTCCGCCACCAACGGCGGTGAAACGTCCCGATTCAAGGTCCAGTCGACTAGCAGCTCCGACCGCGAATCCCAGACCAACGAGGCAAATGACAGGCGGCCCTTGAGCGCGCCGGGCCGCAAGAATGGCATCACTGCGAGCGACGACAACAGCATAGAGCCCGAGCGACCGAGTCGGCCGATGAAGCCATCGCTTCATCGCTCAAAGAGTGAATATGCGCCGCGACAGGTCGAAGAGTCGGACCACGAAGAGGACGAGATCCGTGACTGGGGAGCTAGACACGGCTTTGAAGACCATTATCAGTCAGAACACATCATTTCTCAGCTTGCAAATGTATGTTTATGAGCTTCTGCTAATTTGCACCGGGGTTCTTCAATTTCCCGAATGTCTTGCTGACTTCAAATGCTCAGAATTGGTACATGTATTTTACAGATAAGCGGCATGAAACTACCGCCAAGCCCAAAGCGGTGCAGTACGAACTCCAAGACTGGCGCCAGAGAGACAGGCTCAAGACCGTATCTGCAGCCCTCGCAGTGTGTTTGAATATTGGTGTCGAGCCTCCCGATCAGCTTAAAACCAATCCGGGCGCAAAGCTAGAGGCCTGGACAGATCCCACAATCCCGCCCATACAAAAAGCACTCGAGAACATTGGCAAAGCCCTCCAAGCGCAGTATGAGACTCTCGCGATTAGGGCTCGTTATAAACAATATCTGGATCCGTCAGTCGAAGAGACTAAGAAATTTTGCATTTCTCTTCGTCGGAACGCCAAGGAAGAGCGTGTGTTGCTGCACTACAATGGTCACGGTGTGCCAAAGCCGACGGCGTCGGGCGAGATTTGGGTGTTCAATAAGACCTACACTCAGTACATCCCGGTTTCACTGTACGACCTGCAGCAATGGCTTCAGGCACCCACCATTTTCGTGTGGGATTGTTCAGAGGCTGGCAATATTCTGAACAATTATCACCGATTCGTCGACAAGCATGAAGAGGAAGAGGAAGAAACTGCGCTGCGAGACCCTCATCACGTCAAGACCAATTTTAGACCATACATCCACTTGGCTGCGTGTGCGGTCAAGGAAAACCTTCCCACAAACCCGCTACTCCCCGCCGATCTTTTTACATCGTGCCTGACCACTCCAATCGAAATGGCACTTTGGTTCTTCGTTCTGCAGAACCCCCTCAAGACAAATCTTACCCCAGAGCGTGCCAAGAAACTTCCCGGCCGTCTTCAGGAGAGGCGGACGCCACTTGGCGAGCTCAACTGGATATTCACAGCCATCACTGACAGCATTGCGTGGACCACGCTGCCTCGAGATCTGTTCAGGAAATTCTTCCGCCAAGATCTCATGGTGGCTGCTTTATTCCGCAATTTCCTTCTTGCGCAAAGAATTATGACGGTGTATGGGTGTCATCCTCAGTCTTACCCTGCTTTGCCAGATACTCATCAACATCCCCTGTGGGAAACATGGGATTTAGCTGTAGACATGGCTCTAGCGCAGTTGCCATTACTAGAGAGGAAAGAGAACGAAGGTATCGACTACGAATATCAGAATTCAACTTTTTTTACCGAGCAGTTGACTGCTTTTGACGTCTACCTCACCAGAGGCGACGCCGTGGCCCAAAAGCCCCCCGATCAGCTGCCTGTCGTCCTTCAGGTGCTTCTGAGCCAGCAGCATAGAGTAAGGGCTCTGATATTACTGGGCAGGTTCCTCGACTTGGGGCCTTGGTCGGTACAGCTGGCTCTAAGTATAGGAATTTTCCCATATGTTTTGAAACTGCTGCAGTCTGCCGCAACGGAGCTTAAGCCCGTCATGGTCTTCATCTGGGCCAGGTTGATTGCGGTGGACATCTCGTGCCAGCAAGATTTAATTAAAGATAGCGGCTATAGTTATTTTGCTCAAATCTTGAAGCCAACTGAGGCTTTACCTGTTGTCAACGGGGATGAGCACAAGGCCATGTGTGCATTCATCTTGGCCATGCTTTGCAAGGGCTACAGAAATGGCCAGATGGTATGCAATCAAACGGAGATTATGAGCTATTGCCTATCCCATCTATCAAATGATAGCAACCCCCTCCTGCGCCAGTGGGCTTGTTTGTGCATTAGCCAGCTGTGGCAGGACTTACCTGAGGCTAAATGGCGTGGCATTCGAGAAAATGCATATGCCAAACTAGCATTCCTCACCAAAGATCCATGCTGCGAAGTACGGGCGGCTATGATTCATGCGCTTACCACTTTCCTCGGAATCCCTGACCTCACTGAGGAGGTTGCGCGGATCGAGGAGTCAATCGCTTGGACAATTCTCGACATGGGTAATGATGGCAGCCCGATTGTGCGCAAGGAATTTCTGGTTTTCTTGTCGCACTTCATCGTTCGCTTTGAGAGCAAGTTTTTGGTAGCGGCATATGAGCAGCTCCTCGAAGAGAAGGAGTATCTGGTGTTCCCTCCGCAAGATGACGGCCAGGATCATAAAATGGGCTTACACTATGCCAGGCCAGATAACCGACAGAGAGATGGGACCATCAAGCCAACTGCCCATGGTCTCTCTCATAATACGGTTTACATGGCGTTCTGGAAGCATGCTTTGATTCTGAGCGTTGATCCTCATCCAGAGGTACAGAAGGAAGCTACAACAGTCATCGATTACGTCCACAACGCTTTAATCAACTCTACACTCGGTGAGGCAGCCCAAGGCTTGATGGTAGAGATCCAGAGACGGGCAAATAGGGCAGCGCGCAGCAAAAGCTCAGTCAATCTGGGCCAGAGGAGCAATGGTGCCCTCAGCCCTCAGCCGCTGCAATCCCCTGGTCTGCTTCGACGGACGGCTAGCCTTCTCTTCCAGTCCTTCATCAACAGCGAGGACAAGTCGAGGCCTACCACTCCTAATAGCCCAGTTCCGCCAAAGTCACCTTCGTCCAAGATATCGCCTGATCGGGTATCCGCACCCCCTGAACAGAACGACCAGCCCGGGTCCTCGGCGACATACCACAGCGCGCGGGAGCCAGTTTCCGGCGCATTTGAAGAACGTGATTTGACCAAAGAGCCAAGCCTGCCACTTACAAGCAAGTTCCTTGAGTGGTCGATTGAGTACTTCCGCGAGCCGCAGATGAAGAACACCGAGGCAGATGAGCCCGGCAGCACGGACTATAATGAAAGGCTATGGCGAAGAGCCCGAAATGAAAATATAATGAGAGAAACCCAGCCGCTGAAGCAGCTTGCAGGGGCTCACAAGTGGAATAACCAGCTGGGCATTATAAATAACGGCGCACAGCCTGCCAAGTTGACATTCCACCAATTTGAGGATCACCTGGCTGTAGCAGACGATGCTAACACTGTCTACGTCTGGGACTGGAAGAAGCAAGGGCGCCTGAATAGATTCTCCAACGGCAACCCCGAGGGTTCCAAAATCAGCGACATGAAATTCATCAACGAAGATGACCAGGCCATATTGATGACTGGATCTTCAGACGGTGTAATTCGAGTTTATCGCAACTATGATTCAGAACAAGACATTGAGCTAGCGACGTCTTGGCGAGCGCTTACACACATGGTGCCCAGCAATGTCAATTCTGGAATGGTTTTTGACTGGCAGCAGGCGACGGGACGAGTCCTCGTTGCCGGCGACGTGCGAGTTATCCGAGTATGGTTTGCCGGGCATGAGACTTGCACAATGGACATTCCAGCCCGATCTGGCTCATGTGTTACGTCCCTCACATCTGACCAGATGACGGGCAACATCTTTGTGGCTGGATTTGGCGACGGCGCCGTCCGAGTCTTCGATACAAGGTTGAAACCGCAAGAATCCATGGTGCGTAAATGGAAAGATGAGACGGATCGCCAATGGATCAAGAGCGTGCACATGCAGCGTGGAGGCAAGCGAGAGTTGGTAAGTGCCAGTCGAAATGGCAAAGTCAAGATATGGGATATCCGCATGGACAAGGCTTTGCATTCATTCCAGACAACGCAAGACAGTCTCCGAACGGCAAGCGTGCACGAGCATTTGCCAGTATTTTCTGTGTAAGTCATAACTCCCTTGGCATGCGTGCAGATTTTTGAAAGCGATGCACATTAGCTAACGCCGTTTCCTCTTTCTGTAGTGGCACCTCTTCACACGCCGTCAAGGTGTTTAATCTGAATGGCAACCAACTTTCTCGCCTAGAGCCGTATTCAAGCTTCTTGCAGCAAACCCGAGGAACTCCTATTTCCGCTACAGCGTTCCACCCACATCACCCAATTCTTGGATGCGCAGCTCGAGGGGATTACCACATTAATCTGTTTACTTGTGAGAAGACTGAGCCGATGCAGCTTCCTTAATGAACCTATGTCACGGTACTAGAATTTTTATATTCTCATTCTCTCATGTCCTTTTTTGGAAGGCCATTTGTTCAACTGGAAGACATTACCTTCCATTGACTGGATTGTAACCAATTCTTCTTCTTCTTTTTGTTTCTTTTCTTTTCTCATTAATGATATGAAGCGCGCTCGGCAGCGAATGGTAGAGACTCTGTTGCTAGGTTTCCTCATGCTTTGAATAGATGCATTGATAACTGTACAAGCGCAGGGGATTTTATGCCTCAATTACGTCCTCGTGAAAGGTTTGGCGGAATTGGCCTTGGGAACGACGTCGGCTGGATTCTGGCGTTTTGGGAGAGGAGTAAATAGTATACTTATTGATTTAATGCTGATGAAAATTTGACTACCCCCTTCTTTCTCTCTCGTTCCCTGCTTGGAAGGCTTACCTGCAGCGGATCCATGCGATTCTAATTGTGCTGAGTAGAGTGGTGCAGCTCTAAGCGAATAGCGTGATGAAATCATATTTGTGCTCGGAAATTTGTGCATGTTGGTGATTTTAAAGCTCTTGTGAGGTTTGACATATGCTAACTGCAGCTCCTTGGAGGTGCGTTTCGACCTCGGCATTCTTGCAAGCGCGCAAAGCTGATCAACCCTATTTTTGTCTTTTTCAATCTCCAACACTAAATATCTTTATATCTCTCTCTTATTTTCAAGGTTGCATTTTTTGCGTGTTATTGGAGGGTGGATATCATGCATGAACGGACATGGATGCTTTATCTGAAGGAAGGTAATCTCCGAGGTTTTTTTTTTTTTTAAACCGGTTGGTTGGTTCCACGACGTAAGCGAGGTTCAAAAAATCTTTTTATCTCTGCTTCCCGTCTCTTTTTGCATGTGTTTGTGCAGAAGATGAAGATAAAGACTGGATCCAAGACATACATATTCATACCTAGTTGGTACCCCAGATATGAAGACATTATGTAATTAACTACATGCACAGCACGTTACTAGTAAGGATCATGGTGATAGGTCGAGCTGTCCGAATCTGGCAGTGGTGAGAGAAAAGTCATGTGCTTATTGCCTCTTCTGGACTCTTGCTCTCAGCCCACTTGGCAGAGGTAACGTGGTCTTCAAAACCGTGCGGCGTTCGATCGAGGCTCTGGGTCGGGCCTTGATGGAGATGGTGGCTTGCTCTCCGCGGGATCATATGATATCGGAGTTGCATCTTTCTGGCCGGCGGCGATGTGAACAGGGCATGTGAGTACATTGCTACGCTGGCAAGGAAGAATGGGCACATGGCAGCGCTTCCGAGGCATTTGGACGGTGATGGACGCATGTTTGGGCATGCCATTTCTCTTGTTGCACTCAGCAGCAGCGCAAGGCTGTGCCGTGGTCTGAGTGCCCGCGTAACAGGCTCGGGTTGGGCTGTTTGCGGCCAAGCAGCGGTAACCCCATATCCGCATCTCGGCTCTGCGGGAGCTCGACTAGATGGAAGAAGGGCGATGCTGTTATTGGTTACCTGCTATACTGTAGGCCTAGTACTAGATGTATGCGAGTTGTGTCGCAGCAATATCGTGCCGTCTTGGAACGGGTTGTATTAGTACCTATGGCGTGCATATCGAGGTAGACGATGGATAGCTTCGGGCTTCGGAGCGGGCGACGGAGCGCTGCACCGTCTGAGCGGCTGGAAGTAGCTCTTGTACGAGTACTCACCGGTGCAGCAGCTCCATCAGCCGGTGCGAGATCGACGTGGTGCTACTAATGCTAGCGCGAGTCTATGGAAGCTCCCATGTCATCGATGCGTTCGTGCCCTGCCTGGAGGTGCATCCCAAGGTTTTCAGGCTTTCCGGCCTGGTCAGCGCTGGGCCGGCGTTGGTCAGAGGCGCTGGACGATTTATTACGTGGGGTGGGAAAAAAGGGCAATACAGTGGCTCTGGATCCGAAACGCCATCTTTTTGCCTACTGAGGCATCCGGGCAGTCGCTGCATACACCGTTGTGTTGGCGGTACATGTCACTTCGCTACCAATCTGGAAGCCATTGCGCCTGGGCAGCTGTGGGCACCTTGCAGTGCTAGAAGCAGCACTAATCCTACTTCCGCCCGGTGGAGACGCTGCTACGGCGCTCTATGGACCCAACAAAATCCCCCAGAACGCCACCAGCCAGGCCCGGCAGAAACCAGTGCTTGGGCTTGCGTGCAGGGGGCCCTGGAGCAATCAGAGCAGCGTTCCCCGTAGCGCAGCTCCCGGTCGCAGCCTTGGCTGATTGGACTCGAGCTGCTGCATCATGTATTATTGCAGTGTCGCAGTGCTGGCTGCGCTAATAGACTACACGAGCGTCGTACCGGTACCATGCGCCTCTTAATTGCAGGCACGCGCGCTGCAGCCACAGGTGCTAGCCCGGTGGCCCAGGGCGCGGCGTCGAATGTACAGGTACGGGTGCCCCTCAGAACCTGCTGCTGCACGCTGCGCGGAGTACCGGCTACCTATACGTAACTTCAATTATCGCCTTGCCTCTGCTTCCGAGCTCTGCCTCTTCGCCTTTTTTTTTCTCTCTCCCTTTATCTGTGTCTGCCTGCATTGCCACGCAGCTCGACGCCTGACTGTTCCCAACTCGATCCCTCTCGACTCTCCTTTGTCCAGACCATCACTCCTTGCCGTGTTCGCCGCCGCTTTCTTTTGTTCACCACAGCTTTGAATTCATCCGCCCCGAAGCTTATACGATACAAGAGCCGGCTTCTCCACCCCCTCCCCTGCAGGCTGCCCAGCGCGAGAAGAGCTACCTAATAACGTCTCTTTCCACGTCTGCCGCTTCTTCTTCCTCCTCTCCTCCTCTCCAATCCTTCTTCTCGCCTCTCCATCTTCCACCAGAAATCCCAAACCACAACCATCCATCATCATGGCGACGGACTGGACTGTGGGCGTCATGCCCATGCACCAAATACGCAAGCCGCCCTTCACCATCGAGGCTCCTGGCTACGAAAAGGTGCCTGGCGAGACCATCCCGCGTCGCCACCCAGCAGCCAAGGACGGCCTGCTCACCAAACCCGCCGATGACGTACACACCGTCTGGGATATCGTCCGCCGCAGTGCCCGCGAGTATCCCAACCATCTTGCCGTCGGCCACCGAAGGCTCATTGAGCTGCACAAGGAGATCAAGAAGGTTCCCAAGAACGTCGATGGCCAGGTCATTGAGGTGGAAAAGGAGTGGCAGTTCTTTGAGCTATCCAAATATGACTTCCTGACCTTCAAGGAGTACGAGACGCTCGTCAAGCAGCTCGGTTCCGGCCTGCGCAAGCTTGGCTTCAGCGGCCACCACAAGCTGCACCTGTTTGGCACAACCAGGTAAGCACGGCCATACATCTACTATGGTGTCTCATAGGGGTGTATCATGGAATACACTCTCGGCTACAGAGTGTTCAAATTCGCGAAAAGCCAGCTAACAATGAATCTTCCCCGCGCCCCGTAGTGTGAACTGGATCTCCGTGTCCCATGCCTGTGCTTCACAAGGCATCTCCATCGTCACTGCCTACGACACGCTCGGCGAGAGCGGAGTCGAGCACTCTCTCGTCCAGACCGATGCTGAGGTCATGTATGTCGACCCTCACTTGCTCAAGACGGCCGCTGGTCCCATCAGGAAGTCAAAAGTCAGGACTGTCATCGTCAATGAGGACAGCATCTTCACCTTGGGTGGCGAGGTCGAGGCTTACAAGAAGGACAACCCGGATATCCGCGTCATCACATGGGAAGATCTTCGAAAGCTCGGCGAGGAGAACATGGTTGAGCCTGAGCCCGGCCACCCTTCCGACGTTTTCTGCGTCATGTATACCTCTGGCTCCACCGGTCTTCCCAAGGGTGCTTGCATCACCCACGAGGCGCTTGTTGCAGGAGGTGTGTATCTTCCTCTTACGCCACTACACTCGTGCTGTAGAAAATGCTAACTTTGGCGGATAGTTACGGGCCTCCTCGCCTCTGTCGGCGAGACCGTCAGTGACAAAGAGGTTGTTCTTGCGTATCTGCCGCTTGCCCACATCTTCGAAATGGCTCTCGAGAACCTCGTCATGTTCATTGGTGGCTGCTTAGGATACGGAAATCCTAGAACGCTTTCCGATACTTCCATGAAGAATTGCGCTGGCGATATGCGGGAGCTGCGGCCAACTGTTCTCGTTGGAGTCCCTCAAGTATGGGAGACTGTTAAGAAGGGAGTCCTGGCCAAGCTGGACACTTCCAGCCCCCTCCTCAAATCTCTATTCTGGGGAGCGTTCAACTACAAGGGATTCATGACCCGGAATAAGCTTCCTTTGGCCAACATCTTCGACAGCATTGTTTTCGGCAAGGTGAAGCAGCTTACCGGAGGGCGCCTTCGATTTACCATGAATGGAGCTAGTGGTATCTCAGACAGCACGAAGCAGTTCTTGTCTCTGGTTCTTGGCCCCATGTTGGCTGGTTATGGCTTGACCGAGACTTGTGCTAACGGTGCACTTGGAAACCCCCTGGAGTACTCTGCCAACTCCATTGGCCCTGTCTCCGGTGCCATTGACGTAAAGCTGGTTGCAATTCCCGAGATGGGATACTCAACCGAAGCCAAGGTTCCTCAGGGTGAAATCTGGATGAAAGGTCTCCCCATCATGAAAGAGTACTATAACAACCCAGACGAGACAGCCAAGGCTCTCACCCCTGATGGCTGGTTCAAGACTGGAGATATCGGCGAGTTCGACGCCGATGGTCACTTGCGTGTCATTGATCGACTCAAGAATCTGGTCAAGATGCAGGGTGGCGAGTACATTGCCCTGGAGAAGCTGGAGTCCGTTTACCGAGGCTCCCAGATTGTGGCCAACGTCATGGTACACGCGGACCCCAATCACAACCGCCCTATCGCCGTCATCATGGCCAACGAGAAGGTTCTCGCTGCAAAGGCTGCGGAGCTCGGTGTTGACGAGCACAGCATGCACCACGATTCTAAGGTTCAGGCGGCAGTTCTCAAGGATCTGCAGGTTACTGCCAAGCGATCTGGCCTATCTGGCCTGGAGACCGTCGGCGGTGTAGTTGTTACTGACGCGGATTGGACCCCGGATAGCGTAAGTTTCTATAATCCCTCATCGAGATTCCCGTATTAACTTTTTTCCCCCTCAGGGCCTGGTCACCGCCACTCAGAAACTCAACAGGAAAGTCATCCGTGAGACTTTCAAGACGCAGATCGAAGAGTGCTTGAAGCACGCCCCTTAAATTCATCAACAGACGCGACCAAACTTCTGTAATTTTTTTTTCTATATATTTTCATATATAAGTGCTAAAGACGGCGAGAGATGCTATAAGAGACGGGACGATGAAACGCGCGGTTAGTGATGAACGGGGAATGAGGAAAGGAGAGGAGATGACGATGACGATGATACCGCTGTTGTGATTCACGTGATTTAATTTGTCTTACTGTACTGCTATCGGGGCGTGGGCTTAATTAATGATATTTATACCACTTTTCCATTCTAACTATGCTTGATTCTTAATCACTTGCTTGTATTAGACACTTTGTTTATGTTAAAGTTGTATCATTAATGGTTCATAGATGGGAGACTAGGATGGACATGAGCGGCATAATCTCACATGCACATTGGAGAATTTTAACAAAAAAAAGTATATATTTATCGGGAAAATACAACCGCTGCAGTGATATTCTAGTAGAGCCCCCCTTCTTCAAGACTTCTTTCTTAATATATGCGGTACAAGTCGGAATAACATATCAAAGATATGAAAACAGGTGCATAAACAAAATAAAGAATTTCAATTGCAATTTCAATTTCAGCCGCACGACATATGAACAAACACAGATACATTACACACACACGTACACACTCATTGGTATAGATGAACATGCTCCAACCAAGTGCCAACTCCATTGCCATGCTGTTTTCGTCCCCCCTAAACCCTAAATATACTAGAATAACAAAAATAAAGATATATATATATATATATATATATATCTATATATATAACACGCAGGCTTGAAAGGCAAGTACGAGTGCAAAAACGCTCAATGGATATTTGTAAGAAGAACAAAGAGCAAAAAGATGAAAAAAAAAAAAAAGAAAGAAAGAAAGAAAACGAGCAAATGTACATCAAAAGAACGAAGGCTATAACGACAAAAAAAAAAAAAAAGAAGATATTAAGCCATGTCTTTCCTTCTTTCCTTCTATTGTTTCATCCCTTTTGCTCACCATTCATAGAGGAAAACTTAAGAGTAAGAAAAAAAATGGCTGTTGTGGTAATTTAGGGCAAGATTTTCCTTTGCAATGATGCTCTCCCCTCCATTGTACACATTCAGCTAATCTTTTCTCCTGAAAAAGGCCAGATAGGGGACAGTGTCTCGCCCCGATTTGAACACCCTCTCCTTAAAATCTGACGCATCGCCGGTGCCAATACGCACTTTGGTGACGTGGCTGTCCTCACAGCGGAACCACGCGTACTGGTCATGGGTGCTGGAGTCTCGCACGTACGCATAGTAGTGTCCATTGTCCGTTTTACTACCGCTGTGGACAATCACGGCGTAGCATTGGTACTTGAACGGCCCCGAGAAGGCTCTATCACTCGTGCTTTCGTTTGTTCGCATGAAATAGGGGGTGAGGTCGATCTCGTTAAAGTCCCATGTGACTTTTCTTGTCGATTTCTTGATATCCCCAACGGATTTGTCGAAATCGAATCTGCGGAAGCTCAAACATAGCAAAGGGGGCATGCGGGCAAAGCACGTAGTTTGCATGGCTTTCGTATTTCTCTTGCATGTATCGCATGCGAAATTGTCTAGGGTGTTGACAACGTTGTGTTCTCGGAATGAGTCCTCGAGAGTAATGTCTTGATTCTTACCAACAGGTGCGAAAACCAAGTCAAACGTCGAAAATGTGTGCGTTTGCTTATGGCATCGTTGGCAGTCGACTGTTGATAGTTCAAGACCACGCCAGTAACGATCCACAATAGATCGATTCAGCTCTTGGTAGTTTTTCCAATACTCAGTGGCAGCCTGTAAACGCGCCTGAGGAATTGTATTTGGCTGCACAATGTTGCCCTTGAGATTTCGGCGAGAATTGGTCTCATCGTGCAGGTAGTCTAATAAAAATGACATGAATTCTTGAGCATCTTGCTGCCCGGTCCCACCAAACTTGGAAATAGTTTGACTATTTTGGCAAAGATGAAGGGAATAGTCCTATAAGGGGAAATAGTCTTGTTAGTATTACAATAAACACGTATGAACGTATAGATCGACATACCATCAATGTCTGAGCTTTCATGGTTTGGAATTTTCCTGTTGTCATCCAGTGGAACAGATTTGATATGATCTTGATCATCAGCTGTGGCTGGTCAATTTTTTCGTCATCTTTCCTTGGTGCGCTATATTTATCGATCCATTCCGAGTCGCTCAGCTCTCTTCCGAAATTAGGCGATGCCAGCAGCGATTGAAGAGTACTATTGGCGTAGCACCAGTTGTGAGGGTTGTTTAGGCCAGTGTAGAAAATTTTCTCAGAAGGCGGTGGTGTGGGAGCCACTGGAACCGGCTCATGATACATGTCGTGATCCTCAACGGTTTGAGATAAGCTGCTATAGCTTAATCGCGGTAATGCTGGGGCTGGCCTTGTGGGGGGAGAAGGTAGATCAGTATATAAATCTACCTGGTGAGACGAGCCGTAGCCTGGAGTCCTTTGTTCGGCGATAGCAGGCGAAATCATTGATTCCTGAAGGGACAAAGAAGGAAATCTCCTCAAAAAGGACTCTGTTGAACGATGGAAGGCTTGTTCCGTCGCCGTCTCAGTCTCCTTTTCTTCAATCTCGACAGCTTGCTGCCAGACTTTAA